ATTTTTTAATGTGCTTGATGAAGGTGACTATGAAATCTTGTGACTTTTCAAATAAAATCCTAAATTATCCCCAAAAACTACAAGAAATGTCTGTTCAAAATTTCAAATAATTATTTCCCATTCCAAATATTACGGATAAATACTTTTATGTATCCTCCGAGTCGGTGAATCCACCACCACCACGACGACGACCACCACCAGCCATAAAAACATAATAGAGTTTAGCAGATTCCATGCATCATCATAAAGTTAATCTGTGCCGCCCGGGGTATAAAAATGTTGTAAGAAGAAGAGCTCTCTTTCTCTCTCTGGGCTGAAAGGAGTCGCAGTCGTAGGAGTAGCTGCATTGCAGGCGGAAGGAAGGAAGGAGAGAGAACCTTGGCAAATATGATGAATTAAAGCCAGCCTAAAAATAACAAAGGGGAAGAAGAAAACTCAATTTCCATTTTCACCAAAACCACTCACCCCAAGCGGCGGAAGCAACATTTAACCCGTACGAATGCGTAAGTACGATCCATCCGAATAGTCATTTAAGCTTTCACTTGTCACTTTTGATTTTGTTATGTAACTTTCCCACCACCCAAAGAGAGCCGAAGAGAGGAAATGAACTTTATCGCGATGATTTGCTTAACTGTTGACATTTCAATGCTGCACTGAGCAGCAGCCTTGGTAAAAGCAAAATTCGGAGCAATCCTTCCTTTCTCCGGGTACCAGAGGAGCGAGGATGGAAGGAAATCTTCACTTCCTTCCGCCCCGAACTTTCCCAAGTATTGTGTGAGGAGGACTATCGCTATTCAAACTATTTACTGCTCGAATATCGAATTCAATACCAAATTTAATTTCACTTGATGAATTGAAAAGTCAGATCTGGTTGGTGAGTTGAGTGGGAGAGAAATTCGGATCCAGCTTATTCCATTGAATTTCGTGGTGAATGATGACGGCCTTTTATTACTTTTGCATTGTGACAATTCTACAAAATTATTACGTAACGGGGTGGGCAGTAATTTTGCTGAACGTTGGTAGTTGAGAAATTTTGGTGATAAATATTCCAAATTTTTTGGGTGTTTCCTTTCCTTCCACTTTGCGCGAGCATGACCGTGATGATGATGAATGAATAATCTTCATGACATGAGGACATGACATGACACGAAGCACAATGGAGGTCTCCCAGCGTGTGCGATCCGATTTTGAGCAAACTAGTGTCAATCGGTCCCAAATTTAGTTAATATGAAATTTTCAAAAGACACGATCTCCCAATGGGCACGTTTGGCAGAGATATTTGCATCCAAAAAGGAGAAAATGCGCAGTTAATTTGGAAAGTTTAAAATTTGGCAACTTTAGCGTGCATTTTTTCCTCTTTGGATGTAAATATCTCTGCCAAACGTGCCCATTGGGAGATCGTGTCTTTTGCAAACGTATTAGTCAAATTTGCGATCGATTGACACTAATTTGCTCAAAATCTGTGAACATACGCTGGGAGACCTCCATTGTCAGTCATGAACTCCTCTTCCATTCTGCAACCACCCACATCCCGTCGATTGACGGCATCTGTGTGATGTGAACATTCCCGACAAGGCGAATATAATGCACTTATCGTTATTAACCCATCCACCACCACCACCACCTCCTCCTCGGAGGGTAATAAGGGAAGGAAGACATAAAACGGCGAGAAAAAACGGCATGCTCCCTCATATTCATACACATGCACATTCACGCATACCAACAACCTCCTCCAAAACGCCAAGAGTGGAGGAAATCCTGAGGTAACGGTGCGAATAACAACTTTTCTGGGGGAAGGACGTTCCCCTACCACCACCACCACCACAATTCTTGTCTCCAAGAAAACTGACTGGCTGGAATTCATCCTCATCTTTATACTTGGACACTTTCTCTCCTTTTTTGTGGGGAGGAAAATTAGCCACGAGGAGAGAGAAAGACGGACCAATAAAGCAGGCAGGCAAGCAGGAAGAAGGCGCCGCAGACGTGATCTTATTGCAAATTTGTCTCTTAGACAAGATTCATCTCGGAAATCAGGAATCTCATGAAGCTTTGCCAACTTTGGGGTGGTTGGTGTGTTCGCTTCCTCATCTACTCCTACTTACTCACTTGCTTGCTTGGTGGTTCACTCAATTCGTATGGATGTGTGATAATTTCGTCTGAAGAGAGCTTTGAACTTGACGGAAAAAAGATCGATCCGATTTCAAAATTTCTGAATGCAAAAAGCGAAACGGGATAAATAAATCTTGGCATGTACATTTTTTCTATGGGTTCGGGGTTCATTTATATTTAGGAATAAATTATCGACTGCCTTTTTACATGGGTGAGAAATTATGTGGGGATTTTTTTCCTAGGACCGGAAGTAACTTCTTATACTCCAAACCAAACCACAGTTTTTCCCCAGAATTCTAAACCGTTTTCATGTTTTAATAAGAAATCAGAGACGTGCAAATAAATAATTTTAATGCACCCCACGATCTTTCACTCTTTCTCTGTCAACAGCACACAACTTTCTCTTGGTTCTCCAGTTTTGACGAGTGTGGTCCCGCTCCACCCGGTGTGACTGTGTGACTTTTGGATTTAGACGGGGATTAAGAACCTTCCTGAATAACGAGGGTATAATAAAACGGCCAATTTGAAAGATTTGAAAGGCAACCATTTTTTTGAGAATTGAGCCACAGCTGCGAATCCCAGTCCAGTTACAAATCACTGCAAGGAAGTAATAGGAAGGAGGAGAGGAAATTAGGGCGTGCAAAACCGGAAGATTCAGTACAATCGGTTTTCGATTTTGACAAACTTTCGAAATACCGGTTTTCAATTTTTCAGGTTTATTAAATTTTCGTAAAACTGTTTTACACCTAATTTTAAAAATTTTGTAAATATTCATAATCTGTTAAAGTATAACAAAATTTTGGAATTAAATTGGGAAAAAATATTTCAGAACAATTAATTTTTTCATGTAACACAAGAAATGGCAAATAATACCTCGAGCACAATTTTTATTATAAAAAATCAAAACCCGGTTTTCGTGATAAAACCCACTTTTACCAGGTTTTGAAGCAAAATTTATAACCAAATTTGGAATTAGTGAAATCTCAGTTTTTAACTGGTTTAAAAAAATCGGTCAAACCCGGTCTTGGATGCCTTATTCAGGAAACACTTATTTACTACAAATACCACCAAGAGGAGATCCACTCCTTTGTTGCGAATGGAAGTGGGAGGATTTTTCACACATCGTTACTTGTCTCCGTCGAGAGGGAGGATTAGGATGTCGCAAATACATGAATACTTCATTCCGCTGGAAGGAATCACCTCCATTTCTTCGAAACTTGTTGTTCCCAGTTGTTCAATGGTGATGTCAATACGAGCCAAAATGGAAAATGACAGGTTTTATGGCATAAAACGAATGCGTGGAGCGAGCGAGCGTTGCAGAGTTTTCAAACTTCTCCCAGTTCCCGTCGTTTGCTTAATGTTTCGTGAAAACGGGTCCTATTTTTTGCGCTTATGCTTTCTCGCCAAACTTTGTGGACAACAAACTTTACATTTCGGACAGGATACGCCGGAAAAAAGTGGTGCTTTGAATTGATTACTATTAGCTTATTTTCCATTGGGTACATAGTTCCAGTAATATTTGACACGTGGTGGCACATGCAGCATTTTAGGTAGGCACGCATGCATGACTTCTCGACTGCCTCTACATTGGATGGATAACGCAGAGATAATATTTGAAAATCAGTCCCACGGGGGATTTTTTTTTCTAGAATTGATATTTTCCGTGGATTGCAGCCTCAAGATGTGGATAAGGCTAATCATAACAAGGGTGGAAATTCTCCTGGAAAATTGAATGTTGTCAGAAGCAAATTGTCATTTTAGCTTGAACTCGAAGTGCATGCATATCCGAGATCGCCGCAGGGAAACCAGTTGCATAGACACGCACGCACGCTGCACTTTTGAAAAAAAATGTGTACATCTTTAAAAAAATGTAGTACTTAATTTAATAGTGCTAAATTTAAAGTTAATTTAGCACTTAAATTTATACGAATGCATACATGAACATCTTGGACTGGGACGAGACTAAAACCCAAGTCAGAACCATCTTCGGCTGATTTAAAATATGACAATTTAAGCATTGTAACATCTTTGGCACGAAAATCATACATTTTAATAAAAAATAAAACCATTAGATCAGAAAGTTGCAAATATTAACATTAAATTCGCACATATTATATTTTTGCACGTGAAATGCTTTCATATACATAGGAAAAAAGAATTGGATCAAGTTTTTATTAAAGCTGCATTAAATCCATTGTTTTTTTTACATACTTTCAAATTGTTTACTCACACACATACTTAACCCATTTTAAAGACAGTGGCAGATTTAAATTGGTTTGACGAGCTTGCTAATTAATCGTTTGACCAATCCCACATAGTTAGGTTTCAGCTCATGCATACAATATTCTTAAAAAAATTAAAGTCTGCTGCGGCTTTATTAATCCACTTCACTTCACTTTAAATACCTCGCACAAAAAAGTCTGTGCCTTTGGGTCACATCACAAATGTAGTTGTGATTAATTGTTGGCTTACTTATAACAAAAAAGTTGCAAGTCCACTTTCTGTTTCTTTTGAAATTTACGAGGATCAGCTCACTCATTGTTATTTTTTAGAGAGAGGAAGATACCATGAGAATACGAGTGGATTTGTGCATATGGACGGATGACACCCACCACCACCACCACCAAAGAACGACTTACCTTGATCCTGACCCTGTCTCGCTTGACTTGAAACGTCTCAATGAATGCAATACCGTGTATCATACCCTTCTTTAAGTAGGAGTTGTTTGATGAGTCGATATAGGAAAATTTTAAATTGTCAGTTTCCTGCTTGTCATGCGACTCGTGTTCTTGAAGCACTTTCATTTTTCAAATATTGAACTCTACCCAAGTTCAGTTTAAGATAATTTTACGACGCGATACTGCGTGACGAGTCCTTCTATGCGCCCACTAGTTAGTCGTTATTTGAACCCTTGAGAATGAGGACAGTGAGAAATATCTGAAAGAAAGTGCGATAAGAATTTTGATATTTGGCGTAGTAGCGCCGCCGTGTGTTTTGCGACATTGTCGAAAATGTCGAAATTAGGAATTTTGTTGTGCATTTTACAACTTTTGAGTTATGAGGGTGAGTAGAGACAAATAATCTGGAAATATTTTTACAAAGAGGACATTTTGTAAAGTTTTTTTGTTTTTTGCATAATTACTTAGGATCCGTAACGGGGCAGAATTTTGGGCGATTTCCTCCTCCAATTCCTCCGCGAAGACCGCTAGTCCCATTACTCCCACCAGTCCCGTCCGCCGAGTTTGTGGAGCGTTTGACAAAAGCGCAATTAGCGTTTATCCGGCATCACCAAGAAATTCAGAAGAATGCAGAAAAGACGAATTACACTCCGTACGCGTGTCTCCCAAAGTACATTTGTATCGTGGAGGACGCTAATGGACACAAACGGACGGCCGTGGTGAACGGGTTGCATCCCGTATTGAGAGAAATGCCCAGCACAAATTCAATGTGAGTTGTTCTAAACTTTTATAATTAGCGAGATGCTACAAAACAAGCATCCTTAACAAAATGGGAGTGACGATTCGCAACATTTTCTTAAAAAAATGTACAATGCGATGCTGCTACCCACATCATTCTCATTATCGTCTCTGGTTCAATATGCAAATGGGCACTTTCACTTTGTTTGTACCGGATTTTTGCAGAGATTTTCACTAAAATTAGAGTGAAACTGTAAATGCATGTACATACATACATATTTTACCCTGAAAATATTTATTTGCGATTTTATTACAAAAAATTTCATCACATAAAAAACGGAGAGGATAATAGTCCGTTAACGATCTCGACATCCGTTAAGAATTGACCTGATTTGCAGTGACGAGATTTTTCTAAACACAAGTTTTTTGTAACCTATCATATGTCGGTCACTCAGAATTGTACCCTCACATTTGACATCCTCATTACGCTTTAAAATATTTAAGTTTAAATTAAAGTAGTTAAATAATTTACCTCCCCAAGCAACAAATGATAAAATGTCTCCTAGAAATATACGCGTACCTTTGTCAGTGACCTTAGAACTCTGGTTGAGCGTCCTTCGATCTATGAGAGTAGAAGTCGGGACGATATTTAGGCCAATTTTTAACTCAAATATCAATCAATTTGTGGAGGAGAATTTCATTCTCATGAAATTGAATGCTATGTCTGAAGTAACGGAAGTAATAAAAGATGTCGCCGATGATGATAAGCGCCCTTCGCAAGAAGAAACCTCAGGCATGCAGCTGCTCGATCTTCCCAACGAAGTAAGTAGTGATATTAGACATCTGCCCACGTGACCAAAAACTATTATGTAAATTCTCCCCCAAAAAATCAGATGCTCGAGAAAATCTTTGACTTCTTGACCACTCCGAAGGACATCACCACCCTTCGCGGCGTGTGTTCCCGGACCAAATTCGTTGTCGACGAACTCATCGGAAACCACGCTCGGATAGAACACGACAAACCCCACTCAACCCCACAGCTCGATTTCTATTCATCCACCGCCCTTCGATCCGCCTGGATTAGCGGATCAGCCCATTTCCACGCATCCCTTATTAAAGTGGAGTCCATCATCTCCAAACCAAACATTCTGCGATCCATGACCTTCAACAAGGCCACTCAAGCCCACTTGCCGCTCTACATTCTGCAAAATTGCCGAAATTTAGAGAACTTTCAAGCCTACGGGAAACTTGACGGGCAAATCACCTTGCCGCCATCTGGAGACCGGATCCACTTTGACCATCTGACCAGCATCGACTTGAGAATGGTGGAGGTTTCCGACTCCTCAAAACTTGCCGCTTGCTCCACAATTAACACATTCACTCTGTTGGAAATTATTGAGGCTCCTGCCCTAAAAATATTTTGTACAGAAATGTGGGTGATTTTCCCCATCGCAGAAATTCACACGTGTCTGGTCGACTTTCTCCTCAGGAATGGGGCCAACTTGGAAAAACTGTTTATCTGCCTGCGTTGGAAGGATGTCGATCCAAATGAAGAATTATTAACGCGAGATCAGGAAATATTCAAAAGTTTGAATAACAAATTATCTTCCGGGAAGAAATTCGACCTTCAGAAAGAAATGGCCACCCTCGGAAATAAGATACAGCTCGACGCCTTCCTCACCTCGATTCATTTGAGGGACGATCCCTGCCTCCATTTTTTGCGGGGGCAGAAGAAACTGAGAAAGATTGGGATTTGTGACGATCTCGGGTTCGTGCGATGGTCCCCGTTCGAACTTGCGGTACGAAATAATAAAGCCACCCTTCGCACGGTGTACCTCATGTCGCACTTTCTTCCCCATGAGACCCTCAACTTTGTAAATTTCGAGGGATGCACGAATCTCCAAGAGCTGCTTATCATCAATCTAAACTACACACGGAATCAGAACGCCATCAATTTGAATCTGGATCACTTTGACAATTTTCATGTGGCGGAATTCTGCCCGAATTTATCCTTTATCGCGACAACTAATATTTCATTTGCGAGAAATAAGTTGTCACAACTGACAGAGTTGAAGAAACTCAAGTATTTGGCATTACTAAATTCGGGGGAGGGTGAGACGGTCGGAATGAATTTGGATATTATGATCTCCTTCTTGAACATGAGGTCGCTCGAAGGTCTAGTTTTGGACGGCGTCATTGCCCAGTCTGCAGCACAGTTGAGACGAATTAATAGGATCATCCGAGCCCTAAAAGAACCCGAGGACGAGGAGTGGGACGATTTCGTCATTAATGTGAGAGACGTGAATGATTCGGAAAACAGGAGGTGGTCCCGAAGTGAGAATGGATTCGTTTTCGATATAGATTTCTATGCAGACTAATAATCAAGCAATTATCGGGATTATGCAAAAAATTTCATTATGCAAAAAAAATCAGGATTATTTAGTGAACAAGTGTAACGTAAATTATTATGAATTTTATTTCAGGATGCTTACAAAAGTGTCCATGTTTTATTTAATGACACCTACAAATCATGTGTAGATCGAGATTGTAATAATAAAGTTTTGCTTGAGCTGTAAACTAGTGTAAACTGCAATTTTTGTGAGATTGTTGTGTAATAGATAGATAATTTTTTTTACGTATTTAACTAATTTTTGTGGTGTACTAACTAACACATTTTCTTAATTGTAAAGATGCCTTTGTACTACACATCTTTATAAGTTGCGCCATAGTTAAATCATAACATTGGCGCAAGTTACCAAGTGTAAACACACACTAAAAGTACTTAAATTACCAAACCAGCAGTCCCACAATTTCAGATTAATTGAATTGTCCCCTTCTCACTTTAGGAACACTCCGTACCAACCCGGGAGTACGACAGGGAAAGGTCGTAACGACTTAATCGGCGGTGTGATAGGTCCCGTCAACCCAGAAAACCAGGAGCGGCTGAACCGAGATGATTTCCTCCGAGAACAAGATCTCGCCGAACAGGCCGCATTAGAACAGCAATTCCGCCAAGAACAGTTACGCCGAGAATCTGCCGAGTCTGGCGAGGGTGGCGGTGACTCTGTCGAATCGGACGAAGACTCTGGAGAAAGTCCTCCCGCCAACAACAATTCACCACTTCGACGAGTCAAAAGACCAGGAGCACCACCCCCGCAAATTGTTGGTTCAAATGTCAATTCGTCCAGTAATAATGATGGCGGATTATTGAGCAAGTTCAAGCATGGTATTCCACTCCCGTCCATGATACCCACAATTTTCACACACAATAACGAACCCCCAACACCACCAGGCACTCCAAACAAAGGCCTGTTGAGAAGAATGCTGGGATTCCGGGGAAAACGGGACACGAAGTCAAAAAAGGTGAGTCTGACCGATGGTAGGGACAGAAGGACTACGGCTATTCTACGTCCCAATGTTATACAAACCCCTTCCTCCCCTATCCTAAATACAATGTTAGCGTCCCCAGATGTCCCCACGGCTTCCGCATCCACTGAGTCTAACCTCCTGTAAATTATTTTGTGTTTAATGTAACAAATTGATTTTTTCAGCTCAACACCGGCCTTTCATCCCCCTTCATCACAAAATTAGGACCCGGAATCAAAAGTTCCGACCAGTGTCGCATCCTGTACAATGGTTGCGAACTGAATTACGACCAAATCATGCAGATTGCTGACGAAGGTCAAGTCTTGATTGAGGGAGATGACCCCACAACAACGACCAAACCTCCAAATCGGCACAACCAGAGAGTCAAATTGCGACCAGAAGATGATGAGGCGGAACAAGCTGCGAAAGAAGGTGGAAAACTGCCCCCAGCCAAACCATTCGTTCAACTTTTGCACTCCGGCTTCAAACCGTTCGACAAAAAGAAGAAGGTTGGCTCTTACAAGGTTAAGATCAACAAATACGCGAAACCCCCACTTCCGGGCGGTGCACACCTCAAGTTCACCAAAAAACCGGTGAACGATGAGGAGGAGGAGGATGACGATGAAGATAATCACATCAGTCGTGTCCCTTCCTACCCTCACAGACCGATGAAATTCACGTGGGGGAAGCCACTCGTGTACGTGAATGGACAGCCACAAACGCCGGAAATTTTTGGGGTCAATTCAAGACGACCAACTCAACCTGTGAGAGAAATCTTTGTTTCTTGCGGGTTTGCTACATACATTTCTTGCACTGCAAAGCAAGCAAGGCAAGAAATGCGAGGTGCAATAAACTGCAATAAAGTGGCAGAAATATGCGCCATCCAGTCACGTGTCGTATGAACTATGCGCGGCGGGGGGTACTTTCTTGTGCCTTGCATTTCTTGCAAGTTAAAATCGCTGCAAGGAACCACTTTCTTTCGGTTATTTCTTGCAAGTGGTTACGCGCACCCGAAACACTGAATCTCAGTATTTACTCAAAATCTCACACAACTTTTTTCTAATTTTTATGACATTATTAAATCCACAGCCAACCCCACCCCCACCAACCACACCTGCCCCACCCACCCCAATCTTCGTAATGAAACCAATCTACCACAAAATCAATAGAACCGTGACAGAGACAAACGTCGTCAAAATCAACTCTACTCACGCACTTGAGATCAAAACTCCAAAAACTAAACCGTACCGCCCCATTCGAGCCGAGCTTGCCGACAAGAACGGAAATCCCGCCAGTTTCGCCAGCGTTTTCACCGAGATTGCTGGAAGCAGTGGTGGCATTCACGACTACTTCGATACCATTGCGAATTCCGTGGGTGGTCCTCCCATGAAGAGGAAGCGTCGAGTAAAGCAATTCCCACCACCGCCGCCCGGCCCTCCACCCACAAAACCACCACCACGGTCGGAAGAATGGGTCGACGATCCATCCGACGAGGAAGAGGAAGACGACGCAACCTCTGGGCAACAGAAGGACAAGGCTGAAAGTGAAGAAGAGGAGGAAGAAGACAACGACGACGAGACACCCGCAGCAGTTGCAGGAAAACCTGAGACGACTACGACTCCAGTAGTGAAAACCAAGCCAAATCCAACGCCTAAACCGAAACAAAAGTACAAAACCACGCCAAAAAAGAAGGAGAAAGTAAAGCCAGAGAAAGAAGATGAAGAAGAGGACGATATCGCAGATGACGAAGTTACCAAAGGTGAGGATGATGAAGAGGATGACGTCGCAGATGACGAGACTACCGGTGCGAAACGGAAGCCACAAAAGGGGGATGATGACGACGACGATGAAGAAGAAGACGACGTTGCCGAGGATATTCCCAGCCCTCCAAAGAACAAAAAGAACAAGAAGAAGGACAAGAAAAAGAAGTATAAGAAACCCAAGAAACCCGCCAAGCCGCAGGAGGACGAGGAAGAAGACGACCTTGACCTCGAGGAAGACATGGACGAAGAAGATCGTCGCAAACGAATTAAGGCTGCCGCAGAAGTCCAATTTCCCTCTTTTCTCTCCGAGGACATCAAAGAAGCCATTCGAGACGGGATTCGAACCGGGGGCATGAAGAAATTAAAGGAAAAGCAGCCTAAAAAGGGGGCAAGTAAAGGGGGCAGCGGAGGAGGAGGACCACCACCAAGTCATGTAAATCAAGGAGGGGGCAGCCCTGGCGGCAGCCCTGGCGGCAGCCCTGGCGGCTATTATGGTGGTCAGCAACAATACTCCAGACCGCCGCCACGTGGTGGGGGATTCTTATCGTCATTCTTTGGTTAAATTAGCAAAAGTTTAATTTTACTGTAAACATTTACAAAAAGGTTTATCGAGTAATAATTTATTTTTGTTTCATGCGTGGATGACTTTAATGCCAAACTGATATTTATTATAAGAAATAAATAAATCTTATATGCAGATAATAAGGTCAAATAATTAAACATCATATAAAAAAATGAGTACTTTAGGAATAAGTTCATACATCAATTAAATGGAGGATCGCGAAAGAATAAATCTCAAATTTTCCAAAAAAAAAAAATAAACAGATCTCATCTACATCAAATCCATGCTTTCTATTTCGAAATTCAAATTACAGTAGAGGATGGAAATCTCATCTAGATTTTCTAAAATTTAAGTGGTTGTTATATTGATTTCATAAATTATTATTATTTTCATAAATCACGAATTAATTTTTCATTGCTTTATTGACATTCCAAAACAATTTGGTTGGATTAGCTAACTTTTATAAATACACACAAATCACATCTTATAAGTATTTGACCAGTACCAGGTTACATTTTGTGAATTTGTTAAAATGACGTCCAATCCTGCCAAGATTTCCGGAAACCCGCAGAATAAGGCGTTCCACAAGTACACGTTATCCGACTGGATGAACTACTCTCCAATTCTTCTCCTCCCGTCTGAAGTACAAATAAAACACATCAATCTCATAATTAGTTAAACCAATTAATCAGTTTAAATAACTACTTATTAGGTTCGTGCTCCAATGTGGACCTACCTCGCACCCAAGGACCGCATGAATATTCGCCAGGTGTGCAAAATCTTCAAGCACGAGGTCGACACCTCCGCCGGCCTGGCCATCGACTTGGACGAGCGTTTCTTTGAACAACGCAACATCGCTTCCACTCTGCCCCCATCCGCCTCCAAAATTTGCATTTGGGGCTCCGACCACACCCAAGATTACTTGTCCCGCCTCCTCTACAACGCCCGCCTCGTCACCGACGTCACCTTCGGTGGGCCCACGGACATTACCCACTTCAAAAAAGTGATGGCACGATGCCCTCACCTGTCCCGGATCAAGGTCACCGACCATGCCCAATTCGACACCCGTTTCCTCATCCCCTTCAAACTCAGAAAGGTCAAATCACTCCATTTGGGGGCTAAAGAGAAGCGAAAATCTCCCTCCCCATCACTGCCTCCCACGCCCTGGCACATGTACGCCGACCTCCTCTCCAACCTGTCCTTCCCATGCTTGCGAACGCTGCAAATTGAGTACACCTTGCCCCGAGAGAAATCCTCCTCATCCAACTACTGCTCCACGTTCCGAGTGATTTTGAAATATCTCATTATCCACAAAACCATTGTGGACTTGACAGTTCGTCTCCACATGGCAGAAAGTCTCGTCCCGAACTCCTCAGAATCCGAGTTGGTCTTCATCCATCCTCAAGAACAAGCTCAACTCCAGTCCCTCGCCTTGAAAAGGTTGGTCGTCAGCACGGAGCCGGAAGTGCAAAAATTTTGGGAAGTCATTCTTCCCAGTCAGAAAAGTCTCGAGTTGTTCGACTTCCTGAACCAAGGCACGGATTGGCTCTTCTTCCCAAAGATCATTAAGAACAACCGGAATTCCATCCAAATTGTGCGTTTGAGACGACTCCTGCCCGACGCAGTGCTGCAAAAGCCACAAGCTCGCGTGGACTTGGGAGCATTTGAGTTTGAGTCGTGTCCAAATCTGGTGGAATTATTTGTATCCAGATTTAAGAATTCTACGAAAGAAGTCTGTCTCAAGAAGAAGGGGGGAGGCGACGACTCGCTCCCCTTCTTGGATCGACCGTCGAGCAAATTTCCGGAGCTTATCAGGTTCAAAGCGCTGCCAAAGTGGTTGGAAAAACTGCACGTTCAAGGTTTCACTGTGCGAACGGAAGATCTCTTTGCTCTCGAGGGGGCTAAGAATCTCAAAGTCCTAGAACTTCAGCTGCTCGGCTACAACGCGGGACGTAATCATGTCACCAGCAATTTTCCTCCTGGTTCAGATTTACTCGAGCATGGCGGCAGTGGGGATAGTTCCGGATATGGGGATCAGGACAAGAACAAGTTGCTGGAGGAGTACGAGACGACCACGAAAAAGATGCCAAAGGACGTCTCACTGGACGGATTTGGCGTGACTCCTGCCCTGTTAAAAGGACTGGTTTCCCGACTCAGAAAATTGGACACCTTGTTCATCGAGGAATTTTACAATAATCACACAGCTCTCGGGAAGGAACCACATTTGGCCAAAGCCGTCCGAAAAGTCAACTTGATACCGGGTGAAAATCGGCTTAAAGGTCTCGGCTACTACGGGATTTTGGTGGCGAGGAAGGATCCAATTTCTCGAGATGGCAGTGATTCCACGGGGGTGAGGAGAATGGAACGACACCAACGCGGTGATTTGTGGGATGTTCGGTATAATCAGTACCGGAGTCAGTATCGGACTTTGATGTTGGGCAAGAAGAATGCGAAGCTGATGTAGAAGAAAGGGAAAAAGTGAGATATTTATTTCCGCACTAAAGACCAGGATCACTATTTGTCTCGAGGGAAAGTACTACTAAATGTCGCAGGCTCATCGCTCCGGAACATATTTTTCGGTTATATCCATTATAAATAAATATATTTCTGATACCACGCACTGACCAGATTATTTAGCTCTCCATTTCCAGGATAAACTTTAACATGATAAACATAAACAGATAAGTGTCCACTAACAGAAAGAATAAAACTATGCACAAAAACACGCTGGGCATTTTCACACGCCGTAAATATTTCGACACCATGCAGCAACGCACCCACTATTTTTCACCAATATATTTTTTCTACACTGATAAATTTGTTAAACTGAATAATAAAATATGGGATTTTATTACTGCGGGAGAAATAGATTAGAAATAGTGCGGCCTGAATTACCTGCCACGTATTTTACAATGGGAATAATGACACTATTGTGAATCGGACGGATGTTGAAAAAAATTCTGAAAGATACCCCCTCAATTACTCCACTTTTAACTAATAACAATGTGAAACTCACTGCAAGTAAGTAAAGTTGTGATATGATGGGACAGGTATGAAATGCAGGTGTGTGATAAAATCTCTTTGGAAGAGCCATTAGATTTACTATTTTATTATTGTGAAGAGTATTATAAAATGATGAGGCGAACATTATTGCACTACACTAAACCAAATAAACACCTCTTCTGCTTAGCTGTTTCCGGTTGGAATTTTTTATCGCTAAATTAGTCTCTCTCCCTATATGCATTACACACCTTACTTATTTGTAATATTGTGGTGGTACAATTACAACAATGCTAAATAATAACCAAGTTAGAATAATATTATTCATCATCACAATTAAAATGTACAACAACTTTCACTTTACTTAAAATTGCAGATGCCATACGTACATAATTGAATTACAGACGGGGAGACAAACAAGTTTACGACTCTGTGTCGTACATATGCATATAAAATATTGACGTATGTTGTACATATGGACTCGTCTCGTCTCGTATGTGCTTCCTGCCTGCAACTTGACATTTGAGACTACATATTCCTTATCCAAGCTATTTAATAAAAGTCGATAGGTATGCCAAGCAGGAACCAAAATGCAGCAGGAGCAAGTTTTATTATGTAATTTGCCCATCTGTCAAAAACTATGAACAATGGCAAAAATGCACACAATTTTAAGGAGATTATGACCTAACTATGTACATATTGCTCCTGCATGGTGCATCAACACGTGGGACGATTTCATACAATTCATGATGGATTATGTAATTGCTATTGAAAGTGCAAGTCCCAAAATAAATGTAAAGTTCATGACCCTGTGAAAGCGCTAAAAATTATATAAGGCACCTGCTCACTTCCTTCACTTGAGTCATTTACCATTTTTCAACAATCAAAATTTATCTATTCACGAAAATAAAATGTTTCCCGTCAAATTCCTGGGATTTTTTGTTCTCACTTTTTCCTCCGTCCTCCTCCTCTGCGACGCTCTTAAAGAAATGGAGCTCATGGCCCCGTACAAAATCAAAAATATCGCCAGCAATCAATACTTGACGACACAAGAGCAAGGCATCCTCGGCCTTCGGACGGGAATTGTCATCACGGCGCCAGATTTTGGAAAGCTGGCTCCCGATCAGACCTGGACCTTGGCGTGGGACCCTTCGATGGACAGTCAGCATGACGGATATCGAATCGAATCCAGCCACGAATATTGTACGAATTTTTAATTATTCATAATTTTTAAAGAGCGGAACTAACAATGCGATGGTGTGAAGTGTAACCCTCTGATTTGGTTGAAATTTCGAAATTATGTTGTCCATCGCAATACAACCAACGTTTCTTGAGGCAGATGTTCAGAATTTGCCAAAATATTTTATGGCAAAGTTGAAAAACGGGCGATTTTTACCAGCCGGAGGAAGCAAACCCAAGTTCCATTCCCTGCCCGTGCTAAAAATCGCATATTTTTTTTACCTCCGACCAACCCATCACCGTTTCCGCTAGTTTATTAAATATATCCGTTATCGAGTTGATTATCTGCATCATAGTCTCAATTTTTTCTCGCAGTGAATGACGTGACGACCTACTACCCCGACGGGAAGACGCGAGCCATGCCAAACATTTGGGAGATCATCGAGCTGCCCAACACCATGCGAGTCTTCCGGAACAAAAGGAACCAAAAGTGCTTGACCACAATAAAGTCGAAGGTGGAAGTTGTCGAGCGGACGTGCTCTTTCAAATCGCGCTATCAACAATGGAGGCTCGAAAGGTTAGATTTGGACAAAAGGCTGCGTTCCTCTCTTCACGAACTTAATCATCATCATCCCGACGACCATTATGACGAGGAGGTCGATTATTAGGATAACCATGCACGAATGTATTATTTATTATTTTTATTATCATCCAACCACCAGACCACTAATAAACTTACGTAATCTTATCCTAAACTTGGGAAAATGGGGAGAATTTTCATGTAAAGGTTGCTAGATATCTTCAGTTTCATGCATGCATTGCATATCTACCTCATCCATCCATAATTCAAGGACATCAAGTGATACCACAACCACCACCAGAGACCAACATGCATAATAAACATACTCATGATTTTTTCTCCCATTTACTTATTACACAGCACAATTTACAACTTGTACGTATGCACGATACGTCTATTTGTACCACGGGGTATATATTTCCCACCGGAATAAACATGATTAACAGTTTTTGATCCCCATGCAGCTGGACAAGTCTGCTTGAGCTGAGCTGATAACAAGACGCCAGCTAATCTTCGCTGGGTTTCTTCTAATTAAAAAATAAGCTGGTTAAAATTCCGTATATCGTTTTTTAAAATCTCACAATGGGTTTCATGCGTTCGTTACTGGGATCCATAAAATTTTGGTATGCCGCAATCCGAGACCTCATCCTTCTAGTCTTATACATTTTCTACACATATCTGGGAATTTTGTGGAGGTGGGTTTTTCCCCGGAAGCCGAAATCACTCAAGAACGAGATAATTTTGGTGAGTGGATAAATAAGCACTTACATATTTTCGATAAAACTAATCGCACCCTCATTTCGTCAGATTACAGGATCCGCAAATGGAATTGGGCGACAGATATGTCTCAAGTTGGTCGACTCGGGGGCAAAAATGGTCTGCTGGGATATTAGCAAGAGGGAAAATAATGCCCTCATCGTCGAGCTTAAGTCGTTGGGAGGTGAAGCGTTCGGATATGAAGTGGACGTCAGCGATTTGGGACAAGTACAAAGAACAGCGGCGTTGGTAAGAATAAGATTCTCCCAATAATAATAATACCTCTGCGCTAATACTTCTTCGCGGATTTATTTATTTATCGGTGCTCATCCGTGACTAATACTTTTTTTTTTTCCTTCCACCAGGTCAAAGACCAAGTGGGCGATGTCACCATGATCATAAACAATGCGGGAATAATGCCTGTTCATAACTTTCTAAGTCACAACCCCCGCGAGATTACGCGTTGCTTTTCCGTCAACGTGTACGGCCCGATGTGGATCCTTCGCGAGTTTCTCCCCTACATGATTGACATTCGGAGGGGACATGTCGTCACGATTTGGTACATAAGTCAATTTTTGTAGGGGAATTTCTCTAGTGGAATTACTAATATTTTTTTGGGTGTAGTTCCTTCGGAGGAATTCTCGGCTCGAGAAACTTGACCGCTTATTGTGGCACGAAGCATGCCATCAACGGGGTCATGGAGTCGATGCGGGATGAGGTTCGCGTCCATCCGTCCAAACCGGATATCAAGTTTACAACCGTGTATCCGTCGTGTTGCAATACGTCGTTTGCGCAAAATGTGATACATTCAAGGTAAAAATAATATTCGCAGTAAATATTAGCATACATGAAACGCTAAAAAAACCAATGTCAATGCTAATAACTTAACTTTTTGCCACAGATTCCCCTGGCTTCTCCCAGAAATGGTTGAGCCCGACTACGTGGCTGAAAAGACGGTGGAAGGAATCCTTTACAACCGAGATTACGTCTTTATCCCACCCATTTTCAACTTTATGTCGAGGATTCTCAGGTAAAATGGTTTCATTGTGAAATTCCAGATTATTCGTATTGCTATTTTTTTTACATTTCTATATATTTAGAGCCTTCCCAGCCAACGTTTACTGGGCGATGCTCGACTTTGTCAACTATTATGTGGAACCCAAAGAAAACACGAGGGTCATGGCAGGACCCAAACTCAACGGCTCAGGTTAAGTAATTCTTTGCAAGCCAGAAGAATACTAAAAAATCAAACGATTCTCAAATTCGAAATCTCATTTTTCTCATAAAAATATTTTGGAAACTGAATAAAAGTCAATAATTTATTACAAAGTCGGGATATGTATGTATTTTAAACTTTTTCAATAACAGCCCGATTGAATTGAAACTTATAGATCTTGCTTATTGTTTCGGGCGACGACTTATGTCTTCCGAAATATACTTTTGAACAACGACTTGTGTTGATCAACTTATAAACTTGGCTTTATTACTTTAGAGTACATACATCGGGCATCAGTAATCATGCATAAGTACTAACTTGACATACGTACATGAAAAAATGACCCTACTGACTCTCTGATTCAGACTCTAAAAAAAATGACACCAATTACTCAAATTCTCAGACATTGTAAAATTTACAGACATACATATTTAGACATGAAATAATGATAACACGTTGTCGGGGTAATTCACTCAACCCACGACACTTATGGTCAGGCATTTAGGTCACACGGTCAAAAAAATGTTTTCACATATTTTACATATTTCGAGGTTTTGATACACATAAACATCTTGTTCCATGCACATAAATATGTTTTTACATATTTCGGCGATTTTGTAAAAAAATATATTTTTTTGGCACACATAAATGGGTTGTTAAATATTTCAGCGATTTTTTCAAAAAAATATATATTCTTTTAGAAAAACTTCAGAAATTCACAGTACATATATAATTAATAAATATTGAACTTTCTCCAAATGCGTAAAGTACAAGTTGTACTTTATATACAACTGTGGATACCGATCGTAGTTTTAGCCAACATACATTATTTGTCCGATTATTGTAGAAACATGACACCAGAGCACGTGGAAATGTTGTTAACTTGTCACTTTGAACTTTGAAGTGAAAAAGCTTTTTTTGGCATTATTGCGGCCAAATAAATTAAATTTTAAGCAATTAAAAAATTTTTTTATACATATGTCGGCAATTTGATTAAACATTTTGCATACATATTTCGGGATTTTTAAGAACATGATATGTTTACCATAATTATCCGGCCTCTGTATTATTTAAGTATGTAAAAGTGCTTTCTTGTACGTTTTGTGCTCCGTCATACAAAAAAAGCTCACTTATCGTTAACTGCAACCTTGAGACGGTTCGTGCAAGCATAAAAAATATTTGATAAAAGTGACTTTAAGTGGGCGATAAAAATTAGAATTTTGAATAAGTCTGTGCAAATAATTGACCTCTTTACGACCACTCTGGGCTCCCTGCACCCTCTCAATTCTCCTCTCGGTCGTCCTCTAAAGTATTTATTATATGGATGCAATGAAGGTCTGGAATTGGAATTGGTTTATTGTGGCTGGCTGGCAGAGGAATAACAAAAAGTTGAATATTTCTTGCATGTGTGTGTCGAATAGTTTTATCGTTTTATTGCCTATTTCTCCCATTGCTACGAGATAGACTGACTTTAGGGTGACTACATATCTGTACATGCACATGTACATATGGAGAAGTTCGTTGAGCTAAGCATGCAGTTTATCGCTATCTGGCCTGAAATAGTGTCAAATCGGTTTAAAGTTTCTGGAGACGATTAACATATCGCGAGGTGCATCAGAATTCGGAAAATTTTGCGCTTTACGAGAGTAAATGGAGGTTTTAAAATTAAACTTTATGAATTATCCGCATCATCCAAATGCTTATTTTCTATTCCATAACCACGAATGTCTGACCTTTGGTATGTTTTTACTGTAATATTGATTAAAATGCTGCACTATCGTGTCCCGAACGGCCAGACAGAACGATTCCATAAGCCCTGACTCTACCTAAAAATTAATATTTTAATCGTAACCCGACCACCATTTTGCTCAACCGTTAGGAGAAGTAACTAGGCTCTAAATATCAAGGAATCGTACAGATTTGAGGTTTCGCATCGAATTTGAAACCTCATTTTATGGCTGCTGTTAGTCTAACGAATCGTAATCGTATAATTCGTAAATCTTATGCAGGTCGTAATAGTACCCTTGCACAAAATGGGAGATAACGCCAACTTGACATTCTCCTTTAGTGTCAAGTTCTTCTTCGAATTACTGGCTGAGAACAACTTTGTCCTTCCTCGGAATACGAACAAATGTTAGAAATCTCATAATGCAGATAAAGACGACGACGACGACGATAGTGGTCTTCATGCTATGAAAATGCTAACGAGACACTTTACTTATCTCTCTCATTACAACGAATGGATGGAATCGATACACTTGCTCCCGATTCTTCAAGAATAACAATAAAAAATTTGACTTTGAGATTGAGAATGGCTTGAAAACTGAGTGGGATGAAGAAGTGTAGAATTTCTGCCAAGATTGGGACGAACGAAATTTTGTTCCGCTTGGCTCAATTTTTCCAGTGATTGGACTTGAACTTGACATTTTTTCTAGTGGTTTGGCTTGGCTTCTCGTCTGCCTCGGGGTTTTGATTATGGGAAAAGAGTGGTGCCCCACCATCATTTTTATGGGGTTCATTATTATTACAAGTGAATAATAATAGTTATCCTTTTTATTACTCGTCAAGATAATAACGTCGAAAATATTCAACAAATGCATAAAAACTATGTAGGTACGTTAGGCTGAATTTAAACAAAAGTTGAAAAATCAGGGAGGGAGGGGAAGCAAGTCTGGAAGAAATTGGAGACATCAGAGACAGGTATTCCCTGAGGAGAACAGTATTTGAAACACATCTCAGACAAGACTGCAGTAAAGACGACTTTGTTGTTATCTCGTTTTTTTTCCTACTTGAAATAAAAAAAAACTCACCCTTCCGTTCCGTTATAAAGTTTGAGTCTTCAAAAAGAAGATATTAAATACGAGTCTAAGAATATTATGATGATATGAATAAGACCTCTACTCTGGGTTCCAAAATAAATATGAATCTATGTCTGCGACATGCGTTTCCCTTCCGCAAAAAGTTAAAGAAAAGTTTATTACGAAGAAAATGTAAGTAAATCGAAAACAGAAAGTCTACTCGAGCAAAATGTAAGTATTTTAAGAATGAGAGACAACAGTGAATACACAACAATTTAAATGCACCTCAATATTGATGCATGCAACTTTTATCTAAATCGTAATAATGGTCTCATTTAACAAAATTTAGAATAAACTGACAAAGAAAAGATTTCATCAGAAATAAATAAATTTTACATGAAATAAAATTTTACTAATTGCCACGTTTAAAAAAAAGACGCAATTTTAGATCCATAAAGTATTCGACATGTTCTATCCCATCCTATTCTACACGCCAAAAAATCAATCCTTGAAAATTTCCCAACGTCTCTTCCCGTCTTGAATATTTGAAATATTCCAACTTTCCCATTCCTCAAAGCCTCAAAAATCATTGTGAATTTGACGATGTGTGTGATGCCTAACCAAACCAAACCTCCACCACCAAACTGTCTGAACTCTGAGGGAAAAGGGTTAACTTTTCCCTTCTCTGATTCCATTCTCCGTACGATTTGAAAGTAAGTGTGTGCTGCGACTGATTTTCTTTCCCCACGAGATACACGCGGACCAGGAGGAGAAGAAGGAAGAAGTATTCCTATTATTGCACCACACACAAAGAATCTCGGAACGATCTGAACGAAGGAGAGAAAGGATTCTAATCTGATCATCATTTTGATTGCCCCTTCCTCTCATCCTCAGTCCCCCATTTTTGTCAAAAGTTGGTCTTTCTTACGTATTCGATTGGACCCGTTTTCTCTCCTCCTTAGTTGTCGATACAACTTCCTACTTGTCATGTCGTATCGGCACACGTATCTCAACACGGCAAAAGAAGGGTTGGGTTGGTTGTTCAGTGTAAAAAATAAGTACGAGCCAAGACTTCCACTCAGGCACGAGGGAGGTGGACTGATTGTCAGCTTCCTCCAAGAAAAGGATGTGACCGGCAAGAAAAATGTCAATTTTAGTGAGAAAATGGCCAAACGCGTGATGACACCGGTCTCCGAGGAATGATGGATCATGGCTTCATCATAAAAAGGCTCAATTTCCAGGTTAAAAATGTTTCCAGATAAAAAGTAAAAATATTCTCAACTAAATTTTTCCCGTCCATTCCCAGCTTTAAGGACACATCTCTTCCAATAATTAATTATACGAGTCCACGCAAAAATAGTTTCACGTCGTCTCACTCTTGTTAAAACAATTATATTTCACTCCCAATTGCTGCCGAGGGAGGGAAGTTGTTGAGAAAACATGAAAAACAATTTAGAAACCTTGAACAAATTCCAAAGTGTAGAATCTCTCAACAAAATTAACATAAAATAAACACTGAACCATTCAAAAAGCGAGGAGATAGTCAAGTCCTTGTACTTGGGGTAATTAATCTTGCGAGAAATTTGAACCATCGCATGCATCACAGTGCATGCATGCATAGCTACGTATCTACATGTGTAGCTGATACGTAGTAAAACTACCCTCCCCGATTTTCGGGTAGATATGTTTTTTTGCTTGGCAGGCACATGCTACAGCAATTTTTCCAAGTCCGACACCTCGGCTAAACCTTAATGTGTGTGGTGGATATGTACTTCCTACCAGTGGCCGCGGAAGCGTGGGGACGGAGTTTTGTCCCTCCGATGTCCCCCTCATCTGCCCATGTCATATAAGCCCCTCCCTCCCCCATCCTAAATGCCCCCAGCTTCCGCGGCCCCTGCTTCCTACAACTTCACTAATACTGCTCCCCAAGTTTGTCTCATATATCAATGGGAAGCATTAAGTGTTGCCGATAACTGCCTAATTTCCCATTTAAAACGAGACTGCACAGATTTACCGACTTGGTTGTCGAGGTCTGGCCCTCCGTACGGTAAATCATTTAGAGAAATGAAATTTGAAACTTCCGTCCTCTCCGAGTTATCCGTCCACTGATTATTTTCAGACTCTTCGCATTTACTCCACCTGATACCAACGAACGCGTTACAGACATGCATTCATTCCTGTCCCAGTTCATTAATTTTGCAAAAAATGGAAAGATTCCGACACAAAAAGTATTTAGGAAATGGATGAACGGTATGTAAAAAAAGAGCTTAATTTATTTATGGAATCCTTGAAATTCTAGGCACCCGTTTAAACATTATTCGTCGTGTAGTACTGACTGTTCGGGTTGTAAAGGCCGTTTTGTGCTTGTTGATTGTGACGCAGGTCTGCCGAGTAGGGTGGCGGGTACTGGGCCGAATAAGGGGGAGGGTTTCCTCCGTTAAGAGTTGCGGCATTAGAGCTGATGAAAACGGTGGGTTGTTGGTGTGGATAGTTTTGCGGGGGGTAGTTGTGCATGGCGAAGGTGACACCCCCGGCAAATCGGTTGAGGTCCAACTTCAGCTCTTGGATGAAGCAGTACACGACGTACATCATGTAGATGCGATAGACCATGATGAGGATGGCCACGATGCTCCCGAGCGGACCGGCGTCGCCCGCACTGAAGTTGACAATCAGGGATATCAAGTCAATGCAGAAAAGGACGAGTTTGACGATTAGCCATAATCTGCAGTTGCGGATGTCTCTCTAAATAAGGAATAAAAGTGGAGAAAGTTGGATTTAGGATATAAGCCTGGATGGATAATATTTACGTATTAACAGAGTTTCGCTGTGGTTTTAACCAATGTCCACAACAGTCGTCCAAAACAGTTTTGGACACCGAATTTTGGACGTCCAAAATGTCCAAAATAGAAAATGGGACAAAATGATACAAGTTCTTTATTAGTGAGTCTTTGCATAAACCTTTGACTTACGAGTATACATATCTTCTAATCATTTTGAGAATTTTGATGTGTATGTAACCCGGCATGGTTTAGAAAATTTCTTCATTTCTCATAACAGAGCATGTTAATAGAAAATAAAAGTTTTTCCAAATTTTGTGGCATTACTCACTAAGATGCTAAAAATTAAGGGGAGATTGCATATTTGTGTATAGATTTGCAAAAATTCGTTAATAAAGAACTTATAGCATTTTCCAATGTTGGACGCTTTTGGACATTTTGAGCGTCCAAATAATTTTGGACAATTTTGGACGGTGTCCAGACCAAAAGTGGTGGACGTCCAAAACGAAACACTGTGTATCAAAGTACCCTTTGTGCTCCAAAGTAGAGTCGAATGGACAATAATAACCCGAGAATGGCGATGATCAAGAGGATGATGCAAACCACGATGGTAACAGTAACTGAAAACGTGTGTAAAATATGCACATACTTAATTTAAATATACATATCTCTGTATACAAACAAAATGAATTCTTATTTACTCTCTTCATTCTCCAATTCGGGATGATCGTCACGATTAACGGTAACGGCAATAATTGCCAAAATAACTACGACCAGGTCGAAAATGGCGAAAACCTGGAATTGTAACAAAATAATTATAAAACAAAATCGGAGAAAAATATCTTCTTTTAAATAACTTACGATATCAATTATCGCCATAATTATCACACCTGAAGTTGAATAGTTATTTCATTTCTGTTACAAAAATGCATTATAGGTATTTAGGAATTTTTGTATACTTACCCCTTTGGAGGGGCATGCAACACGGGTTCACAGCCATTTTTTTATTTTATTAGATCTGAAAATTCCAAAAAAACTATCCCAAAACGAATTATGTAACTGCGCCCACTAGAAATAAATTCTTTACACGACGGAGATCAGATTCTGTCCACCATGACAAATATATCTATGACTTATGACACATGTATGAGTACACAAGTACGTTAGCACGATGAAAGTCCAGAGAAATCGAATTACAATTTTGCTATGTAGAGTACAAGTGCTCCTGTTATCATGCCAGATAAGGTAGTTATCTGTTTGGCTTATAATTACGTCTGGCTTTTAACGATTCGTATATTACACCATTTTATCGCGACAAAGATAACGAAATGTATGATTTCATGCCAAGGTGAAAATATTTTCCGTTTTCATAATCAAGATTGTGTACATATGACGTGATTACTATTATTTATGACGTAGTCCTTAAATTAACATGTAAATCACTTGAATTGAATTACAATCATTCTCATTTCAAGATATACTTTTATCGAATCTTTTATCGTTCCAATTTTCACAGAAAAATAGAATGTTGGCAAATTTTCAACTTTTTTTACCGATTTACCGAAACAATTTTACTCCCGAGTTGTTGACTGAACCAAGATTGCATGAAACCAAAAAAGATTATGCAATATTCACACCAAAATCGTACTCACTTTTGCTGACGTAAAATTTTTGGAAAATTACATAAAATTTTTGTAAAATTACAAAAACAATTTTACAAGCTTCACCAAAAATCGTGCTTTTGTCGAAATAAAATTTTTGAGTATATTCATTCTCGATAATTCGTGATACATAGATATACATATGTATTTAAAAGCGGAATCCCAAGATTTTCATGTAGCGGACAAAAATTTGGTTTAAATGCAGATTGAATTATTGTGAACCCGATTTTTATCGAGTCCAATTTGTCTCAAACTTGCTTGATGCCTGAACGGTCACAATTTATTGAATTTTATTAGCTTTCACCTCCTGGCACCTCTAATCTTGGCTGAATTTCACCCCGTTCTTTCTGAAGTTCCAACTCTTTAGCGAGACAGTAAATACAGTATTTCATATAAATTCGATAAACGAGCGTGGTTATCGTAACAATTAAAAATGGGAGATCAAAATCGTGCTCAGCATTCCCATCCACGTCGGCCGTGTAGACGTAGATCACGACGAGGGATATCACGTCGATACAAAATAAAATGATTTTTAAGAGCAACCAAATCCTGCAGTTTTTTATGGCCTCCTGGAACAAGGGTGAAAGCACTGCTGAAAATGCAATAAGCGAAACGGTCGCCTTCTTGGCACCAAAATAAAGTATGACAGATAAAAGTAGTCCAATTATTTCGACGATGAAGAGCAGTATACTGAAACTTATGGCGACTTTTTCTGAAAATAATTAAAGTAAAAAGATTGTATGTGTATCTGTACGATGACATTTTGACCTGTTGTGGTCGTTGCGTTGTTGTATTTTCATACCTCTTGTCCCCGTCGGTTTAATATTCGGTTCATCACGATAAATGGGAGCAAAATGTAGTGCTGTAATTGTTATTATTGCAACCGCAGAAATCTAGCGATATCAAAAAGCAGTTAATCACTAATTGCTTTAAGTCAGTAGCTTTTAGATAACACAAAAGTGCATAATATGCATGTATGTACATATTTATTTAAGTAGGTATGCACTTACAACGTCAATGACTGCGAGCAATGTTGCCCCTGAAAAAAAGTTGCAAGACTCTAATACACTCTTGTTACTTAAAGTGTTTTAAATTATAACCCACAAACAATAAGTTACCTCTTTTTAGGGACATGCAACACGGGTTAATTCCCATTGCACACTATTTTCGTCGACTTTCACCCAAAATTTTAAACTATGAAAGTCTATTTTATTCAGAAAAATGAGGATGAGCTCCACAAAAGTGCATTGTTACTGACTCCACGATTTAGTCAACAGTAGATTAGTAGATGCTAAGCACCCACTTACGGCGGATGAGCCAATCATTTCGGCTTTTATCTGAATTTGACTTTTAGAGCTTTAGATTAGGTATATCAATTATAAATTAAAGATCCGCTTATAGTGCATATTTAGTTCATAAGGTTAGATCCGTGTTATCGATTTAGTGTATATTAACGATTTATGCATTTAAAAACCATTTTACCAACACATTGTAAAAGAAATGTAGGCTTTAATACTAAAGGGGAAAATATTTCCTGTTCTGTTAATCATGATTGTATTAACAAATACTTAAGACGTATGACGGACATAAATAATTCTTAAGCTAACGTGTTAACCAATAATTGAATTATCCACATTTCGTGACATAAATCATCGTTCGTTCCAATTTGTACAAAAAACTAGAAATGTTAGCAAATTTTGAACTTTTTGCCAGACTATAAATTTATCCACAACCTTATAGATTATTTGTCGTGGTGTAGTTTGGATTCGATATTCCGGTCATTTGGTTATTTGCGCCGTACGGAGGAGGATAATTTGGGTTTGGGGTCGCCGTCACAAAAACCGTGGGTTGTTGATGCACGTTCGGGGGAATTGTCCCCATCGGATAAGCAGCAGTTCCCCCACTGGCCAATCTCGTCTGAAATCCGGCCCGTTCTTGGTGCATTTTCAACTCTTGGATGAAACAGTACACGCAGTATTTCATGTAAACGCGATAAATGAGAATGATTATCGTGACGACTAAAACGGAGACTTTTTTGTCGGATTCCTCATCCCCGGCGGTGTACGTCACGATGAGCGATATTACGTCAATGAAAAATAGAATGATTTTTACGATCAGCCAAATCCTGCAGTTTTTTATGTCTCGCTGGAACGGAAGTGAAAGTTGTGTTAAAAATTCGGAAAATAAAATATTCCTGAAAAAGTGAAAGTGGAAATATTTAGTCACCTTCTTGGCACCAAAATAAAGTCGGAGAGATAAAAGTAATCCCATTATAGCGACGATGAACAGAAGTATGCCAACAATTATTGAGACGGTTTCTGGAAATTTTCAAAAATATAAAGTTTTCATATGTACGATGACATAGTTTCTCTCATTTGACATGTTACAGTCTTTGTATGATTTGCATACTTTCTGACTCCGTTGGTTTATTTCTCGATTCGCGATAAATTGTAGTAAAATCCAGCGCTGTAACAATTAATTTCCCAACCGCAAAAATCTAATGTCATAAAAATCCCATTAATTGATATAGGTCAAATAACACTGAAATAAGCCGACGCATCTGCAAATATGCACTTACTACGTCAATGATCGCCATAAGTATTACCCCTGAAATTACATTTAGAATTAATTAGAGTGAGCCATATAAATTTTAAAATATGGATAATTTACCTCTTTGGAGGGGCATGCAACACGGATTGATTGCCATTTTTTGTACTAGATTTGTTCACTTTGTGCGAAAATCTTAAAATATTTATGTTCTTAAATTTTATCCAGAAACTTGAGCTTCACAAAACTACCTTGCAATTTATGACTAATTAAATAATTCCTGTTTACGTCCACCCCATTGGAATGAGATTCAGTAAAAAATACAGGGTCAATAATAATCAATAGTTGTCACTTTCTGCCTTGCCAGTACATATGCTAAGTACATGCATGCATACATGTACCTATCGTAAGGTTTCAGCAAACCGATAACACTATATTGTGATTTGATAACCCATTGTGTCCATGATTCATCAACTGCATCACTATTATCGCAATCGGAATAACATTTGCAAGATAACATACATATTTTCAGCTAAATCCTCCTCGCCGCTTAATTCATTTATATATATATTGGACAAGACCATGTGGGAGGTTAACGTCGTTTCATGGGTGTCAATGCATCGATCATTCTTAGAAAACTAGTATTATGACCAGAGTACATATGTATTTGACTCGACCGGCACGGTAATAACTAGTATTACCCTTTAGTAATGTTGTGGTAGTGAGAAACTTACCACTCATAAGCAAATCACTACCAATCTGGTAGAAAGTTACTACCAAATCAATACCAGTGCGGAGTATATACGGAGTTTATCAGATTTTTCAGTGTGGTGATCAAGTACAAGACGATTCCCCCAAAATTTTAATCTCCTTTGTTGCACTGCATCATTATCATCATCGTCATCATAACAATTTCAATCCCGAGGAATTTCTTTGTCCATTACGGCATTCACTTTGTTTCCGTCTCGTATATTCATATATTCTCCTCCTCCTGATCCAATATTGCGTGTTCATGTAAAAAAAACTGGGAGAAAATTTGCATGTGAAACAGAAACACGTAATGAGATTTAGTGAGTTCAAATCCCTTCATCATCAGAGAGAGCATTTTCTACTTCATACCCTTCCCATATTTAGATACGTAATAGTTGGTCACATTTGTCAAAGAAATGCAAAAATGTATCTACATACCTGTAATAACAAAAAGAAACCAACAATACAATAACGCCACCCGAAGGCTCTCATTTATTTTTTAGCCACACCACTATCGTGCCCTGGAATAAATGGGAAATTAATGCATGACCAAATCCCCGAAAATAAATCGTAATATAAGAGAATGACATGACAGGCCTGGTAAATAGACCTTTTCTTCCTGGTGGCAAAGGATGAGAATCATTTCGTAATATTGCAACGTTACTGCATACATAGCTAAACCTAAAGTGGAATATTTACATACTGGACGAAGTGAGTACTGAAGATGAGTTGTGCCAAGGTGCATACATATTTAGAGATTCAAAGGAATTTAATTAAAATGATATACTAAGAGAGATAATGTAATAGGGAGTGACAAAACAATTTTATTTCAAATTACGGTAATTTTGAAAATTTATAAATAAGAATAAATATAAGGCCAATGTTCATACCGAAAAAATAAACCAATTCATCTGGTGATTTAATGATATTAATTAGGATGACGATCATTTAAATCTTTCGTGATTTCTTCATCTAGCTTTTCGAACATTTGCTTAAATTCTTTGTCGAGCTTATCTTTTAGAGTCTTCAGTGTTTCACGAAATTTCTCTGCTTGACCTTTCACACTGTCGTTTCTCTCTGCATGGATAAATTGAATAACTGTTAGATTCATTTATATAAATTTATACTGATTAATGATTCACGTCAATCAAATAATGAGGGTATTAATTATTTATTCGTATTCTTCGTATCGTAAAATAACTTGGACGTTTACGAGATTTTGTAAGCGTCCTAAAAATTTCTCATCGAAAATCACGTTATTATGCTTACGATTTTTACGAAACCTGACCCCTTGTTTTATCTTCATAAGTTATTTTGCGATATTAAGGATACGAAGAAATAACGAATGCCCTCAATATAAATACTTTCACCCACCGTAGAATGCATCATTTTTTACTTCAATTTCTTTCTTTTTCTTCCTATATTCCCTTCTAGATTGGATATCCAGACTTCTATCATGAAATTCATCCAGACCCCCGAAATTTTCTTAAGATTAAGTATTTTAAATTATACCTTAACGTTCAATTATCGATTTATAAAATTTACTCACCTAATATGGTTTTACTTTCCTCTTGAAGCCGCTGTTTTTCCACTTTCAAAGTTTCTATAAATTGAATGTATTATCGCTTTAGAATTATATTCCTATAGTTAATTAAGCCATCTAAAAAGATTGATCTCCTAGATTAAGTCACGTACCAAATTGTGTTGTAATTGTTTGTAACGGAATGTCGAAAACATTTGCCAAATCTTGCGGTTCAATAAGAGCAGCTTGAGTTGTTGATGGAGATGGGTCATCAATGGGTGGATTGTCGTCGACCTCCATGTTTTATATTAAATTTCAGTAAATTTTAAGTTAGAAAATAAAAATCAGGATTGTGTGGATGGATAATGACGAGTTGTGTGGAAAAGAGGGAACGAGCACGCCAAACTGAGTTGCATGCAAATTTCATTTTCGCAGGAAAGGGTCATGCACTAACAATAAAGTGTCATTCGTTCAACCACCCACAAAACATAATTTTCGTAAAATCTACAATAATTTTATATTGCTCAAATTAACGGTTAGAAATGAGAAACCAATTTATTAAGTGATATCACGGGATATATAAATACTTGCTTAACTTTGTTGATGTATATAAGAAAATAGTAGAAATATATAAATATAGGAAAAATGTCGCAAAAATATTTGCGAACAACTAATGGTAGATGTCATCCACATATATTTATAATTTTCAACTTACCATCACATTGCGTAGTTTTTCATGAGAATTCTCTCGACACATTTTATAAAATGATTAAATAATTTCTTAAACATAGATGTAAAACTTGCATTGAACCAGAGCGAAGAACAGAAACTACAACCGAAAATAAAAAATGTTTCATAAAATCACAGCCCTTAAAATGCTTCCAGAATCGGCCGGGTCAATAACTTGATTTTCCGAAACTGCATTCTTGAAGGGATTAGCGTAGACATATCCTTTCTAAAAATACATTTCATCACATTTTCCCATTGAAAAAATGAAATGCATATAGTTAAAATCATGTGAAAAGGGCATACTTAAATATGTCATTTTAATTTTGTAGCTATTTACTATTTATATACGTAAAACAAAGTTTCAAATTGCAAAAGAAATGCAAAAATATACCTGTAATAACAAAAGAAACAATACAATAACACGAGTCTGCATTACCCGAAGGCTCTCATTTATTTTTTAGCCACACCACTATCGTGCCCTGGAATAAATGGGAAATTAATGCATGACCAAATCCCCGAAAATAAATCGTAATATAAGAGAATGACATGACAGGCCTGGTAAATAGACCTTTTCTTCCTGGTGGCAAAGGATGAGAATCATTTCGTAATATTGCAACGTTACTGCATACATAGCTAACTAAACCTAAAGCAGCATATGCACATATGAATGTACATACCATTACATTACAGGGCTGAAAGTGGGTTGGTTTGGTATTTAGGGATCCATACTGAACAATAAGCCTTCATTTTCATTTTCATTTTCATTTCGCTACTGCACGCAAAGATGAAAAATATAAATTCTCCTCTTTCCTCCTGCTACCTTGGAATGAATGAATGATGATGAAATCCTTCCCTTTTTCCATGAGCCTGACCGAGAGAGAGAGAGAGAGAGAGAAGTCCTCATGCTAATAATATTTCTGTCGTCATAAATCCTTCCCTTCTTTCTCCCTGTCCTGCATTTTTTACGGGCCGAATTGGAAATGAAATTGCAATACAGACTGGAATTTTTGTGGCTTGGAAATGGGACTGGTGACGTCTGTGTATGCACACATGTGTCCAGAATTAATGGAACTATTTGCGACGACCGACGAAGGGTAATATTTTTAAGGGTGAGATTTATTCTGGTCATAAGGACAGTGTTAAATTCAATTAATAAAATCTGGGTGTATGTATGTACACCATATGAACAAGTACGTACCCGCACTAATGACGGCATTTCAATAAACCAAAGTTGTCGTCCCTTTCGTCCTCTTATTTATCAATAAAAATGCATAGGGTTCTACCAAACTTTTTAATTCATCTATTCAATCGATACATGTTGCACTTGAATTAATGTCGATGTCCACATTATCTCCCAGCCAGCAGGACTGATAGAAAGTGCATTTTTTTCGAAAACTCTTAAACAAATGCATGCAAATGAATTCACCGAAATCCAATTTTTACCCTCTTCACTTTCCCGACCCCACCATTTAATTACCATACTTCATCCTTTTCACCCATTGATTCCTCCCGTACGATGAGCACACACACATTAAACAACCAGTGTCAAACTGGGGTTGGTAGTCTCTCACCCTTTCTTTTGTGGAGAAGAACATGGTTCAATCCCCGTCGTCATATTTTTCATGTTGCCTTCTTCTCCCATTAAAGCGCATCCCCTGATTAAACACCGAGTGACTAAATGGACTGTTGGGGTTAGCAGGCACATCGGGCCGGAAGAATAATAGCTGTGCTGCCATGCATGCACAAAAGTCATTTAGCTTTTGGGCAATGCATCAACAGTTCGCATCACATTTATTTAAATTCAATAAAAAACCATTTCGTCCGAGGGCTATAGAATAAGATCAAAGGAGACCTGGCTCCGAATAAATGTTAAACGGAGACCAAAATGGGAATCAAACATCAATTTATTAACTAAAAAGAGGAAATCCTTTACGAGCACATTGATGTATAATCGTGACATAACGGAGTACACACATATTTGTAAAGTTTATACAATTTGTTACACAATTTTGGCCATGAAACGGCAACACGTCTGTCTGCATTCCTGCCCCCTTCTTCTCGTAAATATTAGATGACAGGAAAGCTTTCCAATGTAGAAAATACAACGAACTAAGCTCAAAACTATGTAAAATGCACAAGTTTCAGTAAATTGCTCTCCACCTCAGCGAGGAGAAGAAGAAGGTGGAGAAATTTCCAAAAATAATCAAGATTCAGATTCAGCATGAGAATCAAGTAGCACAGGCACGACTCCGTCTTGTGGTTTTTTATACCTCTTCTCGCCTGTCTGGCGAGAAATGTGAAACTTTCCGAACTGTTTGCGGTGGTGGGGTTGATGATGGTTGCTTGGAGTCAAAAGTCAAGTTGTCGACGAGTGGATGTTGAGGAGTCCCATGTGAAATTGTGGTGAAATTGTGAAACGTACGAAGCGGGCATTGTGATGAGTTGGCCAACTTTCTAAAAAATTTACACCGCTTTCCTTTCTCATTTCAAACGTGACTTTTCACACCTTGATGCCCACCTGGAATTGGAGTGGAAGCAGGAGAGCAGTAGCTTTATACTGCTCTTTTCCTCCGTTTCTCTCGGTCTGTGAGTGGAATGAAAGTGGACACTATCGCTTCGACGCTTTCACCCGCCCGCAAACTGACGGAGATGGCCATCCGTCCCTCGTTACATCTATTTTTTTCGGCTACTACAAGTGCAGCTAAGTGGAGACAAAGAGGAAATTGATGTTGCTTTCTGCTTGACAGGACATCAGGATTCATTCTACTCAAAAAATTGTCTTTTCTCGGTGTACAAATGGAATTTGTGCGGTGATGAGACTCCTGGTCTGTGAGGTGTTGTAGACTTCTTGAAAGTATGTAGGAGCACTTTCAGTTGCAATTACAATTATTTGTATTGCTACATTATTCTAATGGGAATGACGTACTTAACAAGATTGCAGACAATATGTATTGTAAATATGTAAATATTTTAAATGTGTAACATGGACTGTAAGATTTAAAATAGTCTCAACAAATATTATTTTAGAACACATTTCGCTCTCAATTACATCAATACCTGGATCAATTTACTGGTAAGCGTATAATCCAGCACTCATGAGATCAAATCTTAAACATCTTGCAAATCATAACTTTTGTGAAAAACCTTGTATCTTGTGATCCATTCAAAGTCTACTTTATTTGTTAGAGAGGACAAGTAAAGTCTTCCATTTTCACAATTTGGTGGCACGTCTGTCAACACTATGTTCTTGATTTTTGAGTTCCAATCCAATTTCAGAGGAACAACGACTTCCATATTTTGAAGAATTTCGCAAAATTTGTCCAAAGTTGTGAGAAAAACATGCTCTACATTGTAAAACCCTTTAAGCATCTGAACCAATTCGTGAGGCGAAACACCTCCAGTGACGGACAACGTGGTCACTCTGTTTGGACAGTCCGACTGGAAAATTGCGTCTCTTACAGGTTTCCAGTCTAGAAAACCGAGATGATACCTGTTGTGCAGACACGTTGAGTGCGGTTTCAAATCCCCGTAGTTATTTACTTGCAAATTAAATTCTTTTGAGGTCATGTCTGGTACAACTCTATCACCGCGACCAAATTTAAAATCTGGATAAGTGTAGCTTTTCCTTGGGATCGTTTTAGCGGAGGTTGTTGTCGCTATTATTCGGTCGTCAGGAGTTATTGGCATTGATGACTCGTTCCAATTTGACTTCAAAGTAATGTTTAAATGTGGTGATGAAGTACTGTATTCTTCGGTGTCGTTGAACAATTTGGGGACTATGTATATTCCCAGTATAGGTGCCAAAATCAAAATTAAAGCTACTAGCACAACTAACACATCCCGCATGCGCCTCTTCCAAAGTTGTGTTGGATTTACGATTTTGCAGTTTTCACAAATATGAGTATCTCCATCCGGGTTGAGAATGGCATCTTAAATGTTATTTTGGAAATTAGAATTGTCCTTGCACAATGGAACACTGATTATGATAAATGAATATACCTGCTTCAGCGTTCAAATTCATACCTCTCAAGGTATCTTGCAAATACCTTACGGTAGCATCGTCTGGACTGTTTAGAACCAACTTATTCAAAACGGCTTTATAAAATACGTAATTGTTTTCTCCAAAATATTCTCGGGTAAGATTCAGCTTCACCAATGAGGCGGAATTGTTTGGAGCCAATTCATCAATAAATCGTTCATGATTTGAATTCAACTCTTTTGAGTTAAGTTTCTCAAGTTTAGCAGCCATGTAAAACGTAGTTACTTTTCCACCTATTTTGAAAATTACCATTTTTCATCAATAATTTCTCAATTGATGAATTGATTGATTTTCGTATTAATTTGACTTACCGCAGTGTTTTGACTGCACCGGCATTGTAATAAAATTTCAAATTCTTCTTGGACATGGGCCAAAATAGAATTACATTTCTTAAAAGGTTTGATGTTCAGGAGGAATCCCTTTTAATTTCCCATCCAGGGGACGAGTGCACACTCTAAGAAATTGGGTGATAGGCGTTATCACCATGCGAGTGGAGATAGCAAGGGTCACCGTAATGGTGATAAACCTATCACCGAAATTTGTCACCATTGGTAGTGACAGCGCTACCACCGTACGATGGTGGTAGTCTCTCTGCACGTGACTCAGAGTACGTGGCGGTGAGTTTGTCCTACTCCACGCATCAGACACAAATAAAGCAGCGGAGTTGTAATTGTAAAATTACTCCGTGTTTCAAAGTTTAGGAGGAAAAAAATAATACCGTTCCCAAATATTGGTGCATCTATTGACACGGTAAGAAAAATAAATTTTTATTTTGAAGTTTAAATTTACAGCACCAGGGCATAAATTTAAACCCACTCATATGCTGCGCGCCCCGATCGCTCAAGCCTATCAGTAGATTTTATTCTGCCATCGGGTTTAGGTGTATGTTGTACAGAATTTAACTGGCTTTCCAACGGTAGTACATTTGCACACGATGAGGTATGTACAAACCTCATCGTGTGGTACATTTGGTTATGAAAAAGCTAACGGGTATGCGTAATTAATCATACCAGGAAAAAACACACAAAAATTAGTTGCAAAAGTTTAAACCCGCTTCTTATTAAAAATTACTTCATAACGAAGGGGGGTTAAGGCAAGGGTTTAGCAATTATTTACATTCATCCTAGGTACTCTACTTGCAGAAAAAGCTAAGAAATGGGAAAGAATCGGGAGTTGATCATTCCGATAACAAATTATTGTAAATCTCCGCGAGCGAGACCTGGGGCACATAAAAATTAGTGCTATTACCAAATTTAACAAAAATTCAATTAAAACAATGATTAGGAAATATAACAATATAGCTACTGTACCAAATAAGCCTAAATCGGGACGGCCAACAGTTAAATCTAAGCGAATTGACTTAAATATTGCTTCAAAGGAAATCCAAAATCGTGGGATGGCACTCCAAAATTTGACCTCCGACAGCAGATGTCCTTGTGAGATCCAAATGAGCCCATTAATTGTGAAGGGGAGACCCAATGGACAAAACCTCAGGCGATGATGACCTCGAAAAAAAATGTGCCTACCTGTGAAAAGCTTAACCCGAAGCCTGAAATGGGCCAATGAGCATTCTGAAATGTCTTTAACTTGGAAAATGAATGTATTGTACGTTGCGTACAAGTCATTGCTGTTTAAGACCTTCCCCAGGTCTCCCCCGAACATAATTCACCCCTTTATTCACCAAAATACCAAGTTTTATTTTTTCCGACCATGATACCTTGATCCAGTTTTGGGTGTTTTATCCAGAATGCTCATTAGCCCGCGGTGGCACATCACCGCGCGGTGATAAAAAATGTAGATCTGTGTACCACCATCCGGTAGACGTCTATCACCACGATGGTGATAGTACTTTTTATCACCGCGTGGTGGTAGGTAACCACCATTGCGGTAGAGTCACATATAGTCACCGCTCGGTGATAGAATGGTGGTAAAATTTCTTAGAGTGCATGAAAACCAACGGATTGGACTCAATACATAGGTTATATTTACATTTACTACATACGTAGCTGGACAACCTCAAATCTCAAAGATAACGGATGATGTAAATATATGCAGAACTCAGTCAGTATAATTTAATCCCCTCCTCACTCCTGACCCAATAGACATATCAGTCAAATTGTTTTTTGAACTCACAAACCAACCGAACATACAAATAATGTAGGGTTTGTTTTTTTATTTCATTTTAATTCATTTGTATTTTAATTCATTTTTTTCTGAAATACCAACACCATTATAAAATGCACTATTTACAAAGACTTCACTTCATGGATATTGTATGTACATATAATAGCTACCCATCTCTGTTTAATTTGCATTGCAGATTTGTTGGTTTGCTCCCACTACAAATATATTTATACGGATAAACAAATATTTTCTGAAATTTTCTCAGAATGAAGCCAAGATAAGAAGAGTCAAAGTTTGTTTGTACCCAATTCACTATAAAATATATGCATTCCAGACAAAGTCTTACCAATGAATTGTGAGATCGGTCTGCATAAATAAGCATGCAATGTAACTCCTACAAGAAAATGTCCCCCTATTAAATTCATATATACACCTTCCCATTATACAACGTAAAACTCCAATGTAAAGAGTTCCACGTGCAAATTGTGCCTAGTACTCAAAAAATTTAAAACAACTCAGAAAAACAGAGTCTTTTAAATCTTTGTTTCAAATCTCTCGAGACTTTCCTCCTCGTCCTCGAAAGTCGTAAAGTTATGAGTGAAAGTGAAGTAAAAAGTTTAAAAGGAAAGGAGAGAAGAGGTTGGATGTCAGTGTCACTTGACGAGAGTCACGCTTTAAATATTATTCCTGCATTTTTGAAATTCTCCATTCTCTCGCTCGCACAATTTATGACTAGTTTCAAGGTAAATAATAATAATAAGCGAAACAGGGGGAAAGTGGGGATGCGTGTCCCATTCTTCCTAAACGACTCGCTCCTTTTCCTCCTCTCTGAATTTATTTTCCTTGAGACAACGAATTTGTAATCGGGCCGACGACCTGTTTTTCCTATTTGTATAACATTGCCCAGCATATTTTTATTGTCAGCGTTGCCCTTGTCGTAAATTTTGATCCAGGCGTGACAAAATTTTTTGGCGTTCTTCTTCATACACTTTGGGCAATGAATTGGACGTGTTTTGGTAGGTAGGGCGAGTTTTGGGTGAAAGTAACCACTTGCAAGAAATGCGATTATTTTGACCTGCAAGAAATGCAAGGCACAAGAAACTACGCCCCGCCGCTATATTTCATACGGCGTGTGGCTAGATTGCACTTTCTCCCAGTTTCTTGCACCTCGCATTTCTTGCGTTTCTTCCTTTCCCGTGCAAGAAATGTAGCAAACCTGCAAGAAACGAAACCCTGCTGGTAGGAAAGTTGAAGTGCGAGTGGTTCGTTGGTGGGTAAGGTTTATATTTACACATTTACTACCAAAGGAAATTGATCGTACGGTACTTTCTATGTAACGCACTGGATTTGTTTATGCTGTCAAAATTCACTTTCAACTTTCTCCAGAAAGGAAAATTGTCTCTCCTCTCCTTGAAGTGAGACAGGTGAGGCCACGCAATAACGGAGGGGAGCCCATGTAGAAAGCGAGGGAAAGTGTTGCTGGTAAGAAATCATGAAATAAAATATCCACGCCATAAACTGTCTGTCACTGTGTATCATATCGAAGAGAGAGAGGGAAAGAAATGCCAAAATACTCCTTAGTCAATAGTCGAGTCAATATTACTTCGCTTCATACATAACACTGAATGAAAAGAAAAGACGAAGGAGAAAAGAAAGGGGTGCGTTTTGTTGTGAGAAAGAGAAAGTGAAAGCAAAGGTAACGTAACGTTAGGAACTTAACAGCATGGCGTTTCGTAGGTTGAAAGGAAATAGCTTTCTTTTCTTGGTACATATGGACATGCTTATTGCGTGGTGGTGCTGAAGAGAAGTAACTGGCCATGTCTAAAACTTGAGTGCTACATAGTCAACCAAGCCAAGCAGTGTGTGCACCATAGTTCAAAGGGAAATGATTGTTTTATTCTTTGTTTTCGAGAAAATGCTACATGCTGATAAGTACACTGTTAAAAATCTGGTAGGGTCAGATATGTACTGCGTACTGGGATTGATTTGGTGATAATGATTACCGGATTGGTAGTAGTTTGTTTCTGAGTGGTAAATTTTTCATTGCGACAACTTTATTAAACGGTAATGATATTATTACCAGTGCCAGTAGATCGGTAGAGTCGTACTCTGGTCAGTAATGATTTAACACCAGTTTTCTAAGAGTGTACAAATACATATCCGCCATACACCACGATTGGCAAGGATTACACGGCTCCGAATTTCTCAAAGGATTTGACATCCCGTGCACTAAATGTATGATCTGCTCTGTAACGGATCACGTAAAACGAGACAAAACAATTTTTCAATGCTACATATTTACAAAAAAAGTTGCGTAATCACATTAGGATTATGTACATATTTTACACCACCACCGCCGCGTTCAGGTTATTCGTGCTAAGCGTGTATATGTAAGTAAAGTAATGACTGCCTTCAGCGAAAATGTATGTGTGTGCGTGTAATACTATTTCCCATGCCGTAAAACCATCACATTACATCCTCCACGAAAGGAACCCTTCATTCAACGAAGCAACCCCAACCAACAACAAATGGTGAAACGTTCCCAAAACCTGGGTGAAGTAGAAACCGGGTGAGTTTTTCCATTCCTTGGATCACTCGAGGGTTTCAGTCTGCTCTCAGAGCTGAGAGTGAAATGATCCTGTGGGGCTCATTTCTTCGTCTCGTCGGCTACAGGTCTGCCTGGTGACACCGCACTCTTATTTCTCCCCGACAGTGAAAAAGTCTGCTGAATCCCATCAATTTGTAAAATGTCGGGAAGTGGTTTACATAAAATTTCTTCACTTTCTTCACTCCCACCTAAAGAAACCAATGAAACGAGTCTTGCATGAAGTGCTAGAGAGGAAGGTTTAGAAAGTGATTGGGATTTTGAGACTGCATGCAATCCTTCTTAATCTTGTTTCCAATTAAGTCTTGGACATAAATCAGATCAAGCACCACGGGATCAAGAAGAAGAAGAAGCAACATCTTACCTACTCGATCGGGTCTCATTTTTAACCTCAATTCCTTCATCGATACATGGGTCTCAATTCCACCTGAAATTGACAGGATTTTCATTCAAGAGAGGAGGAGGAGGGAAAGTTTTTAAGTGACAGGTAGACGCTAAGAAGTCGTGGTTTGGTTGCACAGACTTGACTGACTCAATCTCGGTTTGGAATTTGGTTCCGTTTTATTCCATCACCACAGAGAAGAAGAAGAAGAAGAAGAGATCTCTGTCCGGAGTGAGTGACAGTTTTGTTTTACTGGGCAAAATAGAGACTTAATAGAAGAAGGGAGAAAGTTTGGTGATTCGCCATTTTTTTACAAGGCTATAACGAGACTTGAGCTGCTTTTTCCGGGGCAGATTGTACGGTCAGAAAACACACTTATCATTGCTTATCGTGTAATAAGTGGACGATAAAAGAAAAACTTTGTGGAGAAGCGGAACGCTAACTAACACGGATTCGTGAAATTATTGTAAGTTTAGATGTCTGTATTTGAAATGCATTATGATAAATTGACAGGAAATTTCAATTATTGGATTAAAAACTGCATATGGCTAATCATACGGGGAACGAATTTCTCAAATTACGCAATTGCACTCAGATGTCAGATTTCATGTCACACATTTCCCCATGGTGCACATTTCTAAAAATAATATTTTTATTAGCCCTCACATCCATATTACTCATATATTTCTGTACCCTTAAAATGTGCATCCTAACCGGTTTATCCATCCATCCATTAAAGATAAAAATAAAAAAGTGGTAAGTAAAGCCCGCAGGGTTTTAGCGGATAAAAATCTCCCGTCATTTCATTCAGTCCCAGACAACTTACCACATTAGCCAACCAAACCAATCCAAGCACTCAGCAAGAGTTAAATTTCAAGGGATATCAGCAGAACAGAAGTCCACTCTCTCTCTCTTCAATCCGTCAAATGGATGGATCTCCCAAAATGTTGGATTCTATATCAATTTATTCCATTCTATTGTAATAATAATCCCCGTTTGTGGATCGGAGAAGTGAATCAATCCACCCGGGAGCATGGACTTTCTGTTAGCAGGTCTCTACCCTCGTGGGGAGAGAGCTTCCTATTCCACTTGGTTTTACAAGAAGGAAAAAAAACTTGGATGATGAAAACTGTATGCTTAAAGTCAGTCGTACACTCTGAAAAATTGGGTGATAAATGTGACTACTTTGGTGATCGGGGTTGTTACCATTTCGGTGGTAGTATTGTGTTTCCGCTTGGTGATTATTCTGTCACCGAGTGCTCCCACGTGGTGATTTCGCTGTAGCCGAGCGGGGACATGTTACCACCATCCGGTAATACTCATCGGTCAGTAATAATCCGGTAGTAAAATTTCTTAGAGTGTCCTCGTAGCCGTGCTGCACCCCTTGCACAACTTTCCACAGGATTACTGATATCTAAAAAAAAAAAGTTGTTCTTGCGGTTTCTGTTTTGAGAGATCAAGTTTTTTTGCCTTTCTCCCCGAGTTTGGTGAAAGTCTACGTATTCCCGTGTGTTTTAGATTATACCCGTAGCGAGACTCCGACGACGACTTAAACCCTGATGTGTATAGTTTGGAGGAGGGGGGACTTTCACTAATGGGACCGGTGGCAACCACACAAACCAATAATACGGAGAGTGGGATTAATACCACGCCAAGTGAATTGAGCTGGAGGGAGGAATAACTAAGAAGTCATTTTGGGAACAATTGTGTAATGCACTCTCTCTCTCGCATTATGTGATGGGGTGTGTTGGGATGTTTTATGACCGTCTCAAATTCAGCTGCATCCATATCCATCCACTTTGAGAAGAAGGTGCAACCACTTCCTAGAAGGAGTCGTTATGCAATTTCGAAAGTAAAGTTTCCTGAATTTCCAAGTTTATTATGTTTTCGAGTTGGGGAGAGAAATTCCTCTCAAAGTCGGACCAAGATTATGGATGTGATTGCCTCTCTGGTAGACCGGCTGCTGTTCTGGTTTGGCCTTTGTCTTGAGCTTGAGACCAGTGTAAGCTTTCCTCCAGAGTAGATTATTCTATAGCTGGTGGGATCGTGTGGAGGGCTAAATGCGGTGCAGTAAAGAAATTGAAAGTTGAGCCTACGAACGAGCTGAGGTTTCCGTTTGAGAAATGGCAATAAAGTGTGAATTATTGAGGAAGCAACACGAGCTGTGTGCCACCACTGGCAATGTGACTCGTTCTGGGATAAGTTCAATTTTGGAGTGTATGTCGTGGTGATCTTGATCTAAACTTGAACTTGAGCCTGCCAGCCAGCCAGTGCCATTGCAGTTCTTTCTTTCATGTTGTGCATTCTGCTTTTTGGAGAAAAGTTGTGGAAGGAAAATGAGTCCAGATCTGAACGATGGCCACAAAGACATTAATCACTTTTTGAATGAGGCAGCTTTCTCTCTTCTTTGGTCATGGTCTTGACTTCGGACGAAGAAGAAAGGAGAGTAGGAAGAAAATCAGCCTCCAGCTCGGCTTATATGTTCGGTAACAACGGACCGATTAAAAAGAACTCAATGCTTGACAGGGCACTGTACGCGCTGCTACTTATTCGACCGACATGAAAACATCCTCAACCCATGCTTTCTCCTTTGCAGAATAAAATCTTGATTTATTTTTGATACAGTTTTTTAAAATTCTGGAAAAAATTACTTCCCTAGACTAGCAAAATAATAAAATGAAAAACACAGATAAATTCTTGATTCGTTTTTGATACAGTTTTTTTAAATTCTGAAAAAAACGACTTTCCCAGGCTAACAATATAATAAAATGAGTAACCCAGTGCATCGAGATATACATACAAAATCTGCATTTTATTAAAAAGAAACTTCACTTTTTTAAAGTCCCACCTGCCACCGAATTGAAAAACCTTGTTCTCTTTCATTATGTTATAAAATTTCGCTCGATTTTCGATTTACGTAAGCAGAGCAAATACCAACCAAACTCTATTTTTAGTTACGTAACATATTGAATTCATACATACTCAAACTTTCAAAGTATGTATTATAAATTTTTTGACATGTGAATGCACTTCTGCCATGCACTTTGAAACAAGTCAGTTCGTTAGTAGGATGCATACTTTACTACCTTTTGCATTCATTTCAATTTAACAAGTAACTTTGTTCCCTCTCTCGTTTGACCATAACAACCGACCCGTTTTTCTGGGCTGACACGATATGACAGCTTTCGAAATCCTCCTTCCCATGTCAATCACCATTTAGCCAGGGAGCACTGAGAACGCGGATAATGTTACGTCATAACGTTTTTGAAATGTAACAGTTGCTCGTGGAAATCCACTCGTCGCACATGTATCGCCAGCACCACCGTCGAGTTGACACAACAAAAGTGAGAGGTTTGAGAAAAAAGGAATGGAAAAGTAAAAATAGAAGAAAATGAGCTTTTTACATCCAACTCACGTCTGTCAGTCAACCTGCATCGGTATCGAACCAGAAAATAAATGTTCCTTCCCCTCTTATACTTTTTTTCCTCGAGTAATGTTTTACTTTACAAGGAAAAACGCATACGAACATAGTTCTCAATATTTTATAGAAGGACTGTAATCACCACTTTTACTACAAAGTCACTATTGAGTCAGGACGTAACTTCAATAGTCGTTTCTGTACGGACGTCATCATGCAATACGTTCTGCGATCATTTACGGTTATGTAACTCACAGTGCGAGGTCTCTAAGAGTGTGCTCTCCGATTTTGACTAAACTAGTGTCCATCGATCACTAATTTAATTAGTATGAAATTTAAATATTTTTTCCCACCTTAAATTTTGCTGTACTATTTTACCAAACTATATTTACAATTTTTTAAAATTTAGTGTAAAGCCGGTTTCGATTTTACGAAAATTTTAAAAACTGGAAACATTGAAAACCGATTTATCAAAATGTACCGATTTCCAAAAGACACGGTTTCCCAATGGTCATATTTGGTGGAGATGTTTGCATACAAAGAGGAAAAACGTGTAGTAAATTTAGAAAGTATACATACAATGTTTAAACTTATTGCGCATTTACTCCTCTTTGTATGCAAATATCTATGCTAAACCTGAGAATCAGCGGATATTGTGTTTTACAAATTTCATAAAATTTCATAATTAAATTTGTGATGGATATACACTAATTTGCTCAAAATCGGACAGCACACGCTGGGCGACCTCCCTTGTCAGTCGATAAATGCATGTTACATAATCAGTTTCGCTTTCACTAACTTCACTTTCACTCCCATTGTCACGGTTTGGTCGACTCGTCAAGGTTAACGAGCTCTAAAGGAAAGTTTGCCTTTCCTTGCATTATATTAACCGTGGATAAATATGTATTTGTCAATTTAACTTATTATTGAATTGCATTTGTTTATCTTGTTTTGGACCCCAAGTTATCGTTGGTTGCATTCATTTCCCTTCACTGCATTTCTGCATAATTTATCTCTTAATATTTAGTTTTCAAGGAGAATTATTACGTCAGTAACTTGAAACTCGTCCTCTCCCGCTTGGCCTGTCATTTCCACTGCAGCGAATTTGATTATTTGGTTACTTGATGTCAAAAAGTTGTCTGAAAAGTGAAAGGTGGAGGTTTGAGCGGACCCACTTCTTAATTGATTGACTCTCATAATTTCATGAAACTTCAAAACTTTGGAAACTTTGGAACGGAAAAGTTTCTCACATTTCGACTGATCTCATGTTTGATAGCAAAGTTCACTTAAAGCCAGACCACGACTACGTACCAAACTGGCTGACGTAACATAATAGGCAGTCGTCATAAACGAAATGCAGAATAGAGGAGAAAATTGACGGTTCATTTATTTATCTAATATTTGCCTGTCAAACTCGTTGTCGGACAGTAGTCGTCACGTGGCGCGAGTAACACCCATCATTTTATTCCAACCCTCCCCCACCTGACAATAAGCTATCTAAAAGGATCAGATAATAGCAACCACTCACTCCACACCCATTCCTCAACTACCAAACGTATGACATTTCCCACAAATTTCTACAGGGTGTTTCTCCCATCGATTTATTTATGGAGAAAGAGAAAGTGTTGTGTGTACATATTTATTCGTTAGTCCCAAATTGGGGGCTTCCAAAAACGGGTTTTATGATTTTGTACAATCTGTTAAAAACCGGTTTTCGATTTTTTGTAATACAAATTGTTTTGGAGCTACTATTAACCATTTCATGTTTTTCACGTAAAAATTACTTGTTCTGAAATATGTTTATCCAAAGTAATGCCTAAATTTTACCGGACTATATTTACAATTTTTTTCATTTGGTGTAAAACTGGTTACAAACGAAAATTTCAAAAACCTGAAAAATCAAAAACCAGTTTTTCAAAATGTACCAGTTTTTGGATGCCCTAGTCACAATTGTACAGATAAGTAATACATACTGGCCCGTTCTTCCAGACGCCGAGCTACAAAGCCGTCCACTAGTTCGTACAAATGTATGTACCTACTCGCCCCGGTTTATTGAAACGGTCTGACAAGACCAGTCGAAGAAAATGTCCCGCAGCGCTATTGTTCCGTTACGTCTGAATAATGATGATGTGCATTTCATTTCACCTTATCTCGGATAATATTGTTTACTTCATTTGGTTTCCCTTTCCTCCCACAACTTTCCACCGCCGCCGCTGCCAATAACGCCAAGGCAAGACCCCCTCTGGCCAAGTGGTCCGTGGTACATAAATTACGGAATCCGATCCATATACACGGATACTTATTTACTACGATTTCCTTCCAGGACGCGTTATCTCCATCCATCCATCCACCTTCTCAAAGGAAACCAATTACGGACAACAAACGCCATTATTAAATACTAGCTGCAATTCAATACACAATAGCCAAGTAGGACTTGGGCTGAGAAATATCTCCATTAAAGACTTTTCCCTTTGGTCCGTTTCCTCTTGCTTTTCCCTCGTAGCAAACTTAATAAGCACACGGGCCTCGTAATGACCAAATGCTTTCCTTTATGCAACAACAATAACGACCCAGCACCAACTCTCCATTTCTTAATTGCGATATTATTATGATGATCTCGTGTATGTATAGGTGCACTTAATGATAATGGTTTATCGGTTGAGTAAGTTGATACAAGAGAAGAGTTGTTCATTGTTGGCAAGAGAGCTTGGGTGGTTGGTTGGTCATAATACACAATTTGTATGAATAGTGTTTCGTTAATGGTCCACTCAGTTAGTTGGTCGTAATGGGTTTGGAAAGTGAAATACCTACACACCATTCAGGATGCAGGGTATCCATAAAAAATTCAGGGTTTCGTTTCTTGCGAGTTCGCTACATTTCTTGCAGTTGAAAGTAAGAAAAGGAAGAAATGGGAGGTGCAAGAAACTGGGAGAAAGTGCAAGAAATATGCGTCATGTAGCCACGCGCCGTATGAAGTATAGCGTCGGGAAGTAGTTTCTTGCGCCTTGCATTTCGTGCAGGTCAAAATAGATAGCTTCAAAAAACCACTTTCTCCCCGTTATTTCTTGCACGTGGTTACTTTCATCCGAAACACTGAAAAAAATAGCCCCCTTTACGACTGGACATGGTCGTCGTCATCGTCCTTGTCGCCTATTCTGTTAAGAGAGGTACGACACATCCTTGTTGTTCCGGTTTCTCTCATCTCATCTCATCTCATCTCATCTCCTCTCCTCTCTTCTCACCCCGAATTTGTGTGGACGTCACGAAACACCTCAACTTAACTGATCAAGTTAATCCACTCAAGTGTCGTTTCGAAAGGAAATGAGATTTCCATTCTGCTCCTCCCTCTTGTCTCCCCGCTTGTGTTTATCCTCTCAGAGATTTTTCACGGTTGAGGAGAAATTGAATCGTGTTATGTATTGAATAACAGGAGAACGAGACGAGACGAGAGATGGGTGCCTGGCTCGCACCGAGAGAAAGGACAGGATGGGAATTTAGTTTACATATTTGCATTTTAAACACGCCACTTTCCATTCTCCGGAGAAAGTGGGTGGGTTCGTGGAGGAGAAAGTGAAGAGCACACCTTGGCGGCGTATAATTCCGTCACCCAATTCAATCTCCCTCTCTTCAAGTGTATTGGATTCTATGCTTTCACCCACCCGCTCGGTTGTGAGTTGATATTGGACTTTTGACGACGAGAGTGTCCTCAATCTCATTTGGTGTCACTTTGTCAATTCAATCGGCCCTTTCTTCTCCTCCACACGCTGTATTCCGCTTTGTACTCGAGAAGAGAGTTGAAGAGGTGATTGTTTAAAATGTAGATTGTCTCAAGCTTCGTTAGAAAGTTTGGCGGCGTGGTGGTGGCAAAAAAAGTGGGAATATTTTTCGCCCAGGTTCCTTCACTCGGTTAGGATTAGTTACCTTGCTGCCATTCGATCGAGTCTGCATAGATTTTGGGGATGGATTGAATTTCGGAACATGTTGACTTTCCGGATGAGAACATAATATTTTGAGACATATTTTTTGTAACGAGCTGTACACGAAATATGGGAAAAGTTGAATAAGGATACAGTGGAGTTATTTTTACGTGACACGTCATTTGCGTATTTTTGGCCATTTTAGAGTTTATTTGACATATCGTTGAAAATGGGGGCATAGTGAGATTTATGCAAATGAGGTGACATGCACATCTTGCTTGCTCATCTATACTTCACTTCGTAACCCATGATGACACTCATTTTCTTGCTTATTACGCACGTGAAACGCATGATGCCACGCCACGCCACGCCACATAATAACAATGTAACGTAATGTTGCACATTATGCAAAACCAAGCGTCCTGTCAACAGGGTCGTCTTCTCGAAGAGTGAAAATGTTCGTCTCACTCACATATCTAATATTTTATCTCCTTTTTTCTCTCTCCTTTCCAGATTTGAAATTTCGTATTCAGCCGAGACGTACCCAGAAGATTTGATCATTTTGAACTCTGCTAACCAAAGATGGAGACGAGCCATCAAATTTGCATAATCTTGATGCTAATCATCATCGTGTCGGCGGGTGAAAGTGGGCTTTCTCCAGATTTGCGGATTTCTCCTCAAGCTTCCTCCCTCATTGCGGAACCACCACCACCACATCGGGGTAAGAACAAGACAAGCTCTTTGTTGTTTTGGTGGTGAGAAATGTTGTGCAAATTTTTTTTTGCAATCTCAATCCAATGATTTATGTGGGCTAAGTCAAAACTGGATTGGCGGACTGGATCACTTTCTTGAAGTAGTGTTTACACAGGAGCGGCAGAAACGTAGGATTTAATCCTTTCTTCTCTCCTTCTCTGCCAAAGCGAGGCGACCACAGCATTTAATCATAGTAATGGATTGCTTTAATAATTTATCCGTCCTCCTCCTCCACCGCCTCCGTCGGTCCGTGGGTCTGGTTGTTGGGGCGAGGAGACAGAGATCGGAGGAGAGGTCAAGGAGGGGGCACGATTTGTACTTGTCCGTCTCCTTATCCCTTTGAAGCCATTATCTCAATTTGTTTGCACAACACAACCACCAATCCACCCACGCAACAACCTGACCGAAATCTGGGTCAGGTTCTGTGAATGAATTGCTAAATATTCAAGTAGAATATTTGCGTTTGTATTTATTTATTCCTGCGTATTTATTCATGTCGGGCAAAGCCAAATTCATGGGTATAAATAAATAAGTCAATTTTGTAGAATTTTTGCAATTTGAAACGCCGATTTGCGAAAGTTTATTCAGTTCAATAATAATTATTGGAAATTTAGGTGACTTTCACATGTTAGTTTTTTTTAGGTACAGAATTTTATGAGGCTCGAATTTTTTTCGGAATTATTTGACCACATAAATTAGTCTACTTTCTCTCTTCATATATCACTATAAGTTCCCCGGTTTTTGTGTATTTATTCATGCCAGAAATTAACTAATGGGTATAAATAAGTCAATCTCGCAGAATTTTTGCAATATTTGCTAATATTTGCTACATTAAAGCGCCGATTTGCGAAGTTCTGTTCACTTTTAATATCTAATGTATTATTATGGTCATGAACTCGTGATACGCGTAGTACAGGATTTGAAGAATTCAATCTTTTTTAGGAATAATTTAACCCAGTAAATTTGTCCACTTCATATATCACCATAAGTTCCCCGCTTTCTGTGTATTTATTCACAGAAAGACATAAACTAATGGATATAAATAAGTCAATTTCGTAGAATTTTTGCAATAATTGCTACATTAAAGCGCCGATTTGCGAAATTTTGTTCATTTTTAGCCCGAGTCAGGGCTTATGGAACCGTCATGTCCGTCCGTCTGTCTGTCTGTCCGTCTGTCTGTCCGGCACGATAGAGCCAAAACGGCTGAACCGATTGACTTGAAATTTTTACCACATGCATATTGGACAAAATTAGGAAACGAGTTCGAAGATGGGCGAAATCGGTCCAGTGATTGACCGGTGGGGGTCATCGGAGTGGGTGGGGTCTTATGCACCAAAATTTCAAAATTGTCGTAGAAAGCTGAAATTTGGCACAGAGGTTGCTAATGGCTCCTACTAGATAAAAATGACTTCAAGTTGGAAAAATTTTCATCTTGAGCGACCCTATGGGGTGACCCATACCGATTTTTAAAAACCATCATATCGAACTGAAATTTGGTGGAGAGGTTGCTTATGGGGTTTAATGAAAGAATATGATATGATATTGGTAAAATTGTTATCAGGAGCGACCCTATGGGGTGACCCATACCGATTTTTAGAAATTGCTTTAAAAAGATGGAATCCGGCACAATGATACTTAATGGCTTCTAATTAAAGAATATGAAGTTAAAAGTGAGCAAAGTGCAACCAGAGTGACCCTATCGGGTGACCCATACTGATTTTTCAAAATCGTTATATTGAGCTGAAATTTGATATGGAGGCTGAAAAAGTGAAAACCACTGTTGGATAGTACATGCATACAGCTTAGAACTTCATGATGTTAAAGAAGCCCACTGGTCATGGTGGTCAAGGCACATGATTTGTAACTAATTCAAAAATTTGGTACCAAATAGTAGAAACTATCTAACAAACTTTTAACCATCCACAACACGGAAGTTGGTGATATTATGTCGGTCGGATGTCCCTGACTCGGGCTATATGGAGTCTGCACTGTAGGTTTTAATATCTAATGTACCATAAAAGGTCAGAAATTCGTGATACGCACAGTACAGGATTTGACGAATTCAATCTTTTTTAGGAATAATTTGACCCAGTAAATTTGTCCACTCTTCCTTCATCTATCACCATAAGTTCCCCGCACATTCCCTTTCTCTCCACTATTATGTACATTATTATGTATCATTTGTCCTCGAAACAAGCCCATCTGTTCTTCTGTCCTCCACTCCCTTCATCGTCCCACAATGCACACACAGATCCAGTCCAGACCAGACTACAATACGAGCTCATTTGCACTTTGTGGCATTTGTCTCACTTACAAAACCCGACATGCCAACAGAGATCATTAATAATGTCACTTGTTCACTATGTCATCTCATTTTCTGCGTCTTTCTCAATGAGCGTGACGCACCACAGACGGAGGCGAATAATGAGGAAATAAACGCGATGGACATTAAACTCGAAATGTAATGTCCCCCACAAAACCGAACAATTCGCTCTAATCGGTCAGAAAAGCAAGTCATTCTCGAAGCCACATTATTCACACGAGCAATCCATCCGAAATTGTAACACAGTCATAAACACGCGGTAAAGAAGAATGAGGAGCGTGTTACACATCTTCCACCAACGGTTTAGGTATGTAACTTATGCCGTTGTTTGTGGGGTGCCACTTTAATTTACCGAGCTCCCCGAGAAAACTACCAGAGTTGTTGAGTGGCTTTGGGATTTGAATTTGGAAAGTGAGTCGTCGTCCTTCGTGGTGAGAAGAACGAGCTCATAAACAAACGGGGAGCAATTTGCATTTGATGTCGGCAATAAGTCCACACGGTTTGTTGGAAAGGTGCGAGTTTACATTTTACTGCTTTCGTCTTGCTCATTATAATTACGAAAGCTACATAATAACAGTAAGACCGAGTTAGCCGAATGGGTGGGAGCATAAGTTGGTAATGAAACTCTGTAGCAAGCAGTTGTCCTCGTGAGTGAGAAATGGCGGAAGGGAAAGTTACTGCTGGCTGATGTATTATGCTCGTTTTAATACTTTCCTCTTCCTGCCCCACAAGTCAAGTCGACCGAGTTGAGATACGACGCGTTTACTACTTTACGACCTGCTGGCTGGCTGGTGAAATTTGTAGTTAGGCAGCCAAGAATTGTATGTACATATTTTGGTAAAAGAGTCCATGTTTGAGGTGTTACTTTCGGAAAGATAAGGGCCACTACGGAATGGAACATCATAAAGTTGTCCAGTTTATTGCAGATTTAACAGGAAAACTTCCACATATGTGTGTACACACCTTCATTAGACTGGATTTACTTGTGGAATGAAGCAGGTTAGTAGGTAGTGGCTGGATAAAGTTATGTCTGCCGTGGTCTACTTTCTCCTCTCGCAGAAATTTACGAGGGGAGAGAGCATGTGTCTGGTTTTTAAGAAGGTGGACACTTGCAATTTTATGCGTCCAACATAATTTAAAGTTGTGTCGGGGACAGGGCGCATAAACTTTTTGTTGTCCGTGGTTTCTCTTAAGGGGGTGATGCAGGGATGAGCATTTTTTCTAAAAAATTAAAAGTTCGGGAATTGCATGCAATTTTCCCATGAATTTGGTTGTCAACCACATATTAGAAATGAAATAAGTAAATCTTATCTTGGTCTTCATCTCTGAAGATGAGGAATAAAGTTCCGCGATTGATAAGATCCGTCAAATGGATGACCAGTGGGGGCCATATGGGTCGGGTGAAGCCCGTGGTGCAGAATATTATCCTTTGTAAAATTTGGTTGACAACCACATTCATGGGAAAATTGCATGCAATTCCCGAACTTTTAATTTTTTAATTTTTTAGAAAAAATGCTCATCCCTGCATCACCCCCTTAAGAGAAACCACGGACAACAAAAAGTTTATGCGCCCTGGTCGGGGAGCATCACTTAGTATGCTGAGAGAGAGTCTTATTTATCTGCCAGAGAGTAACAAAACCTGGAATGGAATGTCCAACCGCGTTCAAATGTGGAAAGGTAATTTGATGTCACGACCTGTCACCAAAACTGTCAACGGCAGAACAATCTCAATCTCGAAAAGAGACAAAGCCTTTGGGGACGCTGCTCCTCCTCCTCGAGTGAAATTGAAGATGGATGATGATAACTTATAACTTGTACTTTCGGCCATTTAGCAGACACTTGAGTGGTCGTGGATGGATCTGTCTCGAGTGGCCGAGGAGCCGACAGAGTTGGCTTTATTGTAAAATTGGTAAAAGCAGCGCATACACACAAGTAGCAGATTGTGGAGGAAAGGAGATTTATATTTGACTACTGCTGTGAATGTGGCGAATGACATAAATAGACACCGACCGACCAGTCGTCTCGGTGTCGGCAGGGTTTCGTTTCTTGTGGGTTTGCTACATTTCTTGGAGTGCAAAGGAAGAAAGGGAAGAAATGCGAGGTGCAAGAAACTGGGAGAAAGTGCACGAAATATGCGCCAATTAGCCACGAGCCGTATGAAGTATAACAGCGGGGTGTAGTTTCTTGCTGGTCAAAATACCTGCAAAAAACTACTTTTCTCCCGTTATTTCTTGCAAATGGTTGTTTGCCCCCCCGAAACACTGGTCGGAAACCTGCTCTTTTTGGTGGACTGGACTGGAGAAAGTTGTCCCTTTTCGTCCTTTCCTATATTTTCGAGGGGCAGAAGAGAGACGGGAACAAATGTTACGTCGCAAGAAGGTTTTCTGTGCGTTGTGCTGTTGTCTACACGAATAAAATGTCCATCCATCAGAAACAGTTGCCTTTTGGCCGTGACACGTCTGTCAACATGGTCCGTTACATGCAGCTCGATATTTGTACTATGTAGACCTGAACTTGAATTTATCGTAGTCGCGTTGCAAAACAAGTCTCGTTTTCGTTTTCACTGAATGCGTAAATAATTGTGTTTGTTTTTAGCAGGGCTGGAAGGATGTCATTTTCCGGTGAGATGGGAAGGCAACTGGTTCCAATCCGGTGTGCATCAAACAATCACAATCAATCGGAACACGATCAACACGAAGGGACGATGCTTAGAGATGGATGGAGAAAAGTATCTCGTCTATAATGAGTAAGCTAATTTTAGATTTTGGAAAAAAATCAGAAGTGAAAATGCACGATTTTGAGCTCCGTTCTTCCCAAGGTTTGGATTTCCGGGTGTGTTACACCCACAAAAAGAAGAAAATCTGCATGGAGAACACAACAGTCTTACATATCTAAATACGTGATTTGTGAAGAAATCAAATATTTATTGCTGTCAGAATAAATAGTTTTCACGATTCTTTACATAAATAAAATATTTTCACAGCGATAAAAAGTTAATTTCTTCAGAAATCATGTATTTTCGTAAGACTATAGCATCCCACATGAAAATTCTAGTCTTTTTGTGGGTGTAGCAGCCCTGGAAATCAAAATCCTTGGTTAAACGGAGCTCAAAATCATGTATTTTGACAAAGGAAATATTTTGCCTACCCCTGAAAATTTGACAACATTTAAACATTTTAGTGCCATTTTAGTGCCATTTGCAATATTTTCGGTTAAGTTTTTAATACTTTAATCACGAATCAGATAACGTATCCAAATACAATACCATATAACGAAAGCCACAAAAAGCTAAACCCTCCTCCCCCTCTCTCCTCCTGATTAACTAAGTTATTTCAATCACGCAAATGCAAATGAACCCCTGCACAAAAGGGCGCATTAAATTAAACTCAACATTATCAAAACTTTCTTATCCCTGCTTAAAAATTAGTGAAAGCGGAAGACGAGAGGAGGGGGACCCATAAAGAGAAATTGTTAATCAAGGAACAATTCACCATTTAAATTATCCACCAACCCACCAATCGGATTAAAATGGGCGAACCGTGTACTTTAAGTGGTCCCCGCAGGATTACAAAGAGAAAGTTAATTGCACACTCTGCTTTTTTCGCCCAATAAAGTAAAGTTGAAAACCTTTTTTTAGTTCCCGTCCATATTTTTTACCTGGCTTAATGACCCCGAACCCCTTCTCTTTCTCCCTTCATGTTTTGCTTTATTGGATTAAACTGTCCCGATAATGAGGAGGGGAAAAGACGACGACGATGACTAACAAACCCACCGACCGACCAACGGTGGCTGAGTAATTTTCACTTCCTTCTCGTTGTTGTTTTGTTGTCAGTGGCCGCGGAAGCGTGGGGACAGAGGGACAATGTCCTCACGGTTATTCAATGTCCGCATCATCTGCCCATGTTATGTAAACCCCGCCCTCCCCTATCCTACAATGTTAATGTCCCCACGGCTTCCGCGGCCACTGGATGTATGAAGGAGAGAAGCATTATTGCTGTGCGGTTACTGCACTTTTGTACTTTCTCCCGTACATAATTGTCATTTATCACGAGGCACAGTTTATCACATTTACTGCAATATTATCACCGGGATTAATTGCTTACAGGATAATTAACTCATTATTTGCGACTGGGTGTGGTTTGGGCCACCATTACTGTCGCGTCTCATTAATAAATGTTTTATTATTGTGATTATTACGTGTCTGATGATTAATTAAACTGCTCCCTTTCAGGAAGGAGAACTGCTATCGGTGCGGAATTTTTCACGAGCGGCACTACAATTTGATCACGTACAAGGAAACGTTCTGCATTACGGAGAGGACCTCGATCGAGAATCTCTGCAGAACGGATAAGTTTTCTGAAAATTTGTACTCAATGTTCCGCTTGGACGCGGTGCCGATCGACTGTCCATTCCGAGCACCGATGACTTTTACGTACAATGAGTGTCGAAACCCGGTCTCAAGTATTGAGGCGTGTTTAAAACCGTCCCAATTGTTGTTTAACTATCAAGCGTGTGCTGATATTCCGGGCAGTGAATCGACGGGTAATTAGAAAAATACGAGTTAAAAGTGGGCTTCAAATGTCTCACAGCGTATGCTCTCAGATTTTGACGAAATAAGCGCTAATCGATAACAAATTTAATTGATATGAAATGTGCGAAAGATACGATCTCCTAATGCGCAAGTTTGGCAGAGATATTTGCATCCGAAGAGGAAAAAACGCACAGTAAACTGGAAAGTGTAAAATCTATCAACTTTATGACGCGCTTTCTCCTCTTCGGATGCAAATATCTCTGCTAAATGTGAGCATTGGCAGATCTTGTCAGTTGCAAATTGTATATTAATTAAACTAGAGATCGATTGACACTAATTTGCTCAAAATAGGAGAGCATACTCTGTGAAACCTCCATTTTTTAAGTGAAAGTTGAATTTTTCTCTGGATAAATTGCAGTGGAAGAGTTGAGCTGTCTCGGCTCCTGGAAGGAGGGATCTTACCGCTATCTCGTCGGGTTAATTTCCTACCAGCATCACGCCTCTTATGAAGAAAGGTTCAGGTGAGTGTGTACACGCATAAAAGCAGTCTCGTATAATTTAGGAAACCAATGCATAAAATACTGGGTTTCTCAGGTGCTTTGTCTACGAGAAAGTGAAGAAGGGGTCGATAGGGCTGGGCCTTTTGGGGCATCAAGGATATTCCAACAGCATTGTTCGAAGTTCACCATTAACATTTAATTCGACTTCCTCGTCCTCCTCGTCCGCGTCCCTGACATCCGATGCGAACAGCAATAATAACAATAACGCCAACTCCAACACGGTCTTGTACCGCATCTCGGTCGGTGCGGATGCGACGTGTGATGGCCTTTCCCCGTACGAGGGATCCAGAACCATGACTTTCAGACGAGGTAAGGACGCACCTAAATAAATACGCAGTCAACAAAAGTAATTCCGGTTTCCTTGCTTAAACAAGTCTGAGACGGGAGAGTGGAATGATGAATGAGCTTTTTGGACAAGTAAATGACATGCTCCTCCAGGTCGACTGGTTATGGTTTGCGTTGCGTAATGCCCTGTAAACTGGGAAGGGTTGCAAGTGCAAGGAGTTTATTATTATGAGGAGAGGAAGCAGAAGTAAATCTCAGTTTTTAGCCCGAGCCAGGGCTTATGGAACCGTCATGTCTGTTTGTCTATTGATTACGCTCGTAAAACTTGCCCAGTCGACTTAAAATTTTGCATACACATAGAATATGCAAAATTACGAGGCGAATTCCAAGATTAGCAAAATGTGTGAAAAAAGTTTAGCAGTCATATAAACCCACCTCAATTATTAGTAAGAACCTGACTCGGGCTAAATAAGGCTGCAATATGGTTTTTTAAGTAGCAAGCCCATTATTCTGAACGAACCATGCATCATTTTCTATGCGGTTTCGAACCCTACTCTCTTCACTTTTGCTGACTGCTTTCCCTTCACTCCGTCCATCCATCTAATCCAATGCCATCTCATCAAATGGTAATTCTTCTGCTGCAACTCTGCTGCATTTCCTTTGATTGCAGTCTGCGTGCATGCAAGCAATGGAAACATACGTACCTTTGCTTTGTATGCTTTGTGCTTTCACTCTTGAAATCTCCTGCCTCCCTCTTTTCTTCCTGCCGCTTTTAAGAAATTCATTATTCATTACGCTGAAAACAAGGGGAATTCAAATTACTTGTGAATGCAGCAATTCAATGATACATACTTTCCAGTTAGTGGAAGATGGATAGAGAGAGAGAAAGAAAGTGGTAACAGAAGAGAAAGCAATCTGTATGTGAAATTTGGTCCGAAATTGACCATCTCTTCAAAAATTTCTTACTTTCCAGTTAGTCCGAGAAAGAAAGTGGTAACAGAGAAAGCAAAATTTGCCTCGAAAGTGACCATCTCTTAAATATTTCTGCTCTCTCAAATTCGCTACGAGATCACGAGAAAGATGTTCATGTTTAATCATCATCAGTTTAGAAGAGAAAGTAGGAATCAATTCTGGGCCAATTTTCTCCAAAGAGCAGTCGGTACATAGATATTTGCGTGTTGAAAAGAGTTTACTTTACCCCACGACCGGACTCCTCCTTCCGGAATGGATGGAGATGTTGGACAGAAGCCTGGGTGGGTGGGAGTGGTTGCAAAGATAACGCAGCATTCCTCCCCAAGGAACCATTTCCACGAGAGAGAGAAAGACAAACAAAAAGTGCTCCTTGTTTTACTTACACGACTGAACTGACGGACGGAGAAAGTCCGTAAGTAGTTCATCTCATCTCTGGCGATAGGTGAAAGTAAAGTGTTTTCTTCTTCTGTGCGGGGAGATCGTGAGATGAGAAACACCTTCTGGATTACTTTTTAGTTGTTCTGACCATCTGTGATCAAAACATTCATGATCTGAGCCCTTCTTCCACCCACTTTCTCTCGATCAAACAGTGGCCGCGGAAGCTGTGGGGGCATTAAAATTGTAGGGTAGGGGATGGAAGGGTTCATATAACATGGGGAGATGATGGGGACATCGAATAACCGTGGGGACATTGCCCCTCTGTCCCCACGCTTCCGCGGGCACTGCTATCAGGTCACTATTGAGTTAAGAAATTGCCAATTTTTTTTATCTATCGTCCGTCTCTCCCTGCCCGACACCTCCTCGATCTTGCATTACATTACGTAATCCATCCAACCGATGGACCAGACCACATAACAAATATCCAATTTATTTTTTTTTGTCTCTAGCTGTCCAGCCCCCGAAGCAGTGCTACTTTCCATCCTGGCTGCAAATCCATGCTCGTTGGCACACCCTGGATCAAAGGACACTCTTCATGTTTAATTCCACCGTGATGCGAATGGCAAATGGGTCAAAGGAGCACGTCGCAAATATCGGGACAACCACGGACCTTAACAACTTTGCGAATCCAAACGTTTTGACAAGCATTGCCCTCTGCTCGCAAATTGTGGAAAATCCGTCGCCCGATGAATACACGGTGGTCTTACAGGTCACCTCGTCCCAGTGGTAAGTGGATATTATTAATTTCATAGAAAAATAAAATCGTGTCAAGCTAACATAAAAAAGTAACGTCAAAGCAATTGAAAATTCCTTTAAAATGACACCACATATGTATAACAATTGAGGTCCAATTTGGCGTTTGACCTCACACCAAGGTCAACTTGACCTTGACAGCAGGGATCCTATTTTCTAACTCGGCCGAAGGTCACAAATTAGGAGCACAATCGTGTAAATGACATTTGCTTCTGTCGAATCGTTCTGGTCTGGAGATATCTTGCTTACAGACGGACGGACGGACAAAACGATACCATAAAGCAGATGACGCTACTTAAAAAAAGCATATCAAACTAATATCGTGTTCATTTGTATGCTGCATTTTATTAAACAGCGCAATTACTAAACGTCTCCACTATTGTTTTTCTTTCTCCTTCGTGACAACAATTTTAGTCCGTATTTACATTGTTGTTCATGTCGTAAGTGGACTGTCAGTCCGCGTAAGTAAAACCACCAAGGAAGCCGACTTCTCAAAATGATTAATGGTTTAACACACTCGAATAAATAGTGGAGGGTTGCCTTTGGCTGAGACAATGCTACTGCACGTTTTCTCATCTTGTCATTTCTTCACGGCTGGTAAATTGTTTTCGTAAAACCAACCAGTGAAATAAAATAAATGCCTACTTTTGGCAGAAAATAGAAATTGTACAGCACTCTACTCTCGAAGCTTAAAACAAAAAAGGGTACAATTTTTTTCCGTCTCAAACCATGCAAAGAATTCTTAACTTACGGCAAGAATGTTCCCTCTCTCGCCCAACTCGACACTGATTTAGATTTACTTTGACTCCGGAATTTAGTCCCATTTTCAGCTTAACTGAGAATGAACCGAGTGTAAAACTTTTTTCGCTTAAATGAAAGCAACATTAGAGAGAGGACTTTGCAATTCAAACATACATATTTTTTAGGACTTTTTTGAGACGAAACTCTTAACTTGAGCTGTGTAAACTTTGTTAAAAAGTAAGACTTTTATTAGGTGGTCTTCCCCTCTCGGAACGTATGTAGTCAGCATTTAAAAACTTGAAAAGTCAACATTTGTCGATCTGTCAACTGACAAAAGAGGAGCATGCAGGAAAAAAGAACGGGGTTTAATCAGTAGGTCGGATCTCGGCAGTTCTTATCACATTTGCTCATCATGTCATCCCAAACTTGTACTTTTACTAGGGTTTACGTGATTTTGAAAAATAAAATTTCCAGTGTGCAGCCCGAGTCAGGGTCAGAGTCCTATTTTAAATTTTTGTCCAACGAGTATTGCTAAATTATAATGAAAATTCTGTAACAATTTCTGCAAAATTTTGAAATTTTGGTGTATAAACCCCACCCACTGACATACATGCCCCACACCTGTCAACCACTGAACCGATTTGGCCCATACTCAAACCTATTTTCCCTTAGAGTATTTAATAATAATAATATTAGTATTATCAAATACTCTAAGTATTTTCCTAACTTTGTCCAATATGAATATGGTAAAAATTTTAAATCAATCGGTTTAGCTGTTTTTGCTCTTCGTGCCTGACAGACAGACATGACGGTTCCATAAGCCTTGACTCGGGCTAAAAAGTACGTGTGTAGTAATTTGGTTGACTAGTTAGTCTGCATATTCTTTCTGTTTTTACTGTAAAGTGAGGAGAACAAGGACTAATGAATTTGACATTTTTCTCCAGTTTGAAACGGATATGTGAATTATATAATCCATCTCGTTTTCCAGCTTTCTCAACCCGTCCTACATTTGTTCACGGATTGTTCGAAGAGATACGCACATAGTTGAGATGCAAATGGGGACATTAACTCGACAAGCTGACGATGCCTGTCATCCCATCAATTTCAACGCTAATCAGTTGCCGTATACGACGCTAACTTGTGAGTGACAAGAATCTCGAAGAAATTGCGAAACCTGTCATAGATTTAATTAATTCCTAATTTACTAAAAACTTATTTACAGCGTCCAACTCTGCAAAAAAGCGGTGTCCAAGTCTGGGTCACTTTGGCATCACGAGTCTCGCTCAGGAGGGTCGAAGTGTGCGAGACACGTGTAAAAATGGTCACCGATCCTTCTCCGTGGGCTGCAGTAGCAAAAATACGATGGAATTTCGAGTCCTCTGCAACACGGATGCCCATCCTGAAGTTGTTTCCGGTAAATTAAAGACAGATTTCTGTATAAGTAGTTTTTTCTAAAAAATAGTGAAGTGAATTTCACGCACCAAGCAGAACTGGAACGTTGCGAAATTTATTGATGACGTGGTAAAAAAACTTGAACTAGAAAAATGTAAATCTTTCTCGTTTCAGAGTACGCATGTCACGGTTGGTGGGAAGAGAATGGCATAAATTACCTGATAACCACGCTGACATCGCGATCCATCTCGTCTCCGGGACCACGAAAGTACTGGTAGGTTATTTTATTGCAGTGGCGGCGGAAGCGTGGGGACAGAGGGACAATGTCCCTACGCTTATTCATGTCCCCACGCTTATTCATGTCCCCACGCTTATTCATGTCCCCACGCTTATTCATGTCCCACGCTTATTCATGTCCCCACGCTTATTCATGTCCCCACGCTTATTCATGTCCCACGCTTATTCATGTCCCCACGCTTATTCATGTCCCCACGCTTATTCATGTCCCCACGCTTATTCATGTCCCACGCGTATTCATGTCCCCACGCTTATTCATGTCCCCACGCGTATTCATGTCCCCACGCTTATTCATGTCCCCACGCTTATTCATGTCCCCACGCTTATTCATGTCCCCACGCTTATTCATGTCCCACGCTTATCATGTCCGCTATTCATGTCCCACGCGTATTCATGTCCCCACGCTTATTCATGTCCCCACGCTTATTCATGTCCCCACGCTTATTCATGTCCCCACGCTTATTCATGTCCCCACGCTTTTCATGTCCCCACGCTTATTCATGTCCCCACGCGTATTCATGTCCCCACGCTTATTCATGTCCCCACGCTTATTCATGTCCCCACGCGTATTCATGTCCCCACGCTTATTCATGTCCCCACGCGTATTCATGTCCCACGCTTATTCATGTCCCCACGCTTATTCATGTCCCCACGCTTATTCATGTCCCCACGCGTATTCATGTCCCCACGCTTATTCATGTCCCCACGCGTATTCATGTCCCCACGCTTATTCATGTCCCCACGCTTATTCATGTCCCCACGCGTATTCATGTCCCCACGCTTATTCATGTCCCCACGCGTATTCATGTCCCCACGCTTATTCATGTCCCCACGCTTATTCATGTCCCCACGCTTATTCATGTCCCCACGCTTATTCATGTCCCCACGCGTATTCATGTCCCCACGCTTATTCATGTCCCCACGCTTATTCATGTCCCCACGCTTATTCATGTCCCCACGCTTGTTCATGTCCCCACGCTTGTTCAATGTCCCCATCGTCTGCCCATGTTATATAAACCCCTCCCTCCCCTATCCACAATGTTAATGTCCCCCCAGATGTCCCCACAGCTTCCGCCGACAATGTTTGATTGTCCTTACTTTAGTCTCAAAGCATACATACATACACATAACTAAATGCAGTAATATCGTTCTTACCACCTTTGCAGCTTCATCTACCGCGACATGCCAATCCCCCTCGAGTCGAAGACATATCAAGAAAAGTTAAAGTTGCGAAAGAAATCCTTCATCGGTGGTGACGACGAGCTTTTCCAGGATCACGATTTCCAACGGATAATGCAATTCTCAGCAATACTTGATTCCTGTTCACGCGACGTGTCTCCAGGGATCGAGGGTTTTCTCGCCTTCAACGTGACAAGCAAAGGTTCGCCTTTTCCGAAAAAAATCCAAATATGTTTGATAATTTTTAGCCAATGTTTCCCCCAATGGGGCAACTTGCTTGCTTAAAGAATGGGGGGAATTGCAGCAATAATTTTTTATCTGCTATTTAGGACGTTGCAACGACATATCAGGGTCATCAATACCAACCCTCTTGACAGACTTATGGCTGCTTGCCACCATTGTGCAGATGGTGATTGCGATGCAGTAGTGGCTCCTGAGATGATATCGTCCCATCATTGTAATGAAATGGGGAAGCTCCTTGTCCTCCTCGTCGTTGGCGTCTCGTCGTCAAATATTCTGAAAAAGTACGTACCACGCTGCGCTTACAGGGGAACAAAAAGATTTCTTTGGTTGATCTTCTTCTTGAGAAGGGATGCGTTTTAGAATAATGGATACGACACGGAGAGAGAGAGAGAAAGTTGCAGAAGAGAAGTAAATAATGTCATCGCCATGTGTTGCACTGTCTGCGATGACTTTCACTGCTGGACGAGCACAAGAAAAAAATCCAGTTTTTTTGCAATGTATGTAGTATAATCACTACCACCAGTGGCCGCGGAAGTTACGCTGTGGGACATTAACATTGTAGGATAGGGGAGGGAGGGGTTTGTATAAGATGGGGAGATGATGGGGACATAGAATAACCGTGGCGACATTGTCCCTCTGTCCACACACTTCCGCGGCCACTGATCACCGCCCACCCCACCCACCCTCGAGATAGATAAATAATACAAATTCTTAGTGCGTGCACTTCTTGGTATGAATTACTTAGCTCGTAATAAAAACAATCGATTCATGGAATGGAGGACTGAATGTGTAACAGGGTAATACAGGTTGTATACTATACTAACTTATGTATGTAATACTGAATGTATTAATTTATTAGTGATGAAAATGAGGAGTAAGTTGGCACACGGTTTTGCACAATTATTATAATATACTAGATATTCTTCACCTGTGATACATTTTAAAATGTGTACGTTTATATTTAAGTGAATGTACAAAATTACGGAATAAATGGTATAATTGTGTCGTATAGGTCATAAATTATCTTGTGAATTATTATGATTTCTTATCCAAATAAAGATTGTGTTTTGCAAAATAAACTGATAAGCTACTTATTCCTCGCATGGAGAGAAAGCAAATTTGCGAAGAGACTGAGGAGCTGACCACTAATCATGCCAAACCAAACCAACAACCGTGTGCACGTGGTATGACCAACTTCTTCCTTCTAGATGAGGTGATTTATCCCCAATCCTGTCCCATTTTCAAGTCGTCCGGGACGGATTTTGGAAACGGACCAAACCCGCAGTCGGAGCCTATGAGCTGGACGATATGTCAATTTGGAGAGATTTGGAGCAGAAACTGTCTCTCTCTCTTGAGGTGAATGTAGAGACACGAATTGAAATTCGGAGTGGATCACCGCACTAGACTGGAGAGATCATTCAATTCCACAATGACTACACACATGCCCCACAAACCGTCACTTTCTCCGACTCCTTCAATCATACTCGTTCGTTTCTGAGCCAGTGAAAAATATTGGGCGGCGAACAAAGTGTAAAACATTGATCCAGCCAACAATATAAATTGACAATAAGTTGTATGGCAGGCCGAGAAAGAGAAGAAGAATGAATAACACGATGAGAAAAGCATTACTCATCCGTGAGATAGGCGAGCGAAGGTAAGTTTTTTGCTCTTTTCGCTCCACCGGTGAAATATATTGCAGAAAATCGGAGCCTTGACAAGCAGCAGCTGAGCGGAGAAAGGCGAAAATATCAAAAATGAGGAAATAAATCGATGAGTTCTTTCGTAAATGGCAACTTTTCCACTTGAACGACCCCTTTGCCCGTAAGGCCAGTAGTACGTACACACATAACAACGTCATAATACTACACAGCCGGCGAATATATGAATCTGCTTGGGAGAACATTTTCACATTTTTGGCACGATTTGCTGCATTCTCGGATTGACTTTCTCTCACCATATCGCCATCCAATATCCGCAGAGGGTGGATATGTAGCTATTTTCGGCGGTTTCATTTGGTGACGACGGACGGTTAAATTTTGTGGGTTTGTTCCCTAACTCGCTTATAGCATAAAAATTTCAAAATATTTTTGAATATTTAATATTTCTAGGTTTTCGACATAAAATTTATTAATATTTCCGCTATTAATTGAAAAATCCGTAAATATTTTAGATATTTTTCAAAAATACATATAGTTTGTAAATATTTCAAGGATATGAAACGAATTTTTTTCTCAAAGAAATTCGACTACAAAAAAATTCAGCAATACACATTTTGCGAAAATGTGTTTTTTACATATTTCGTAAATATTTTCCCGTTTTTTTCGTAAATACATAACCGCTCTCTGATTATCCTACATACATGATGTATATGTAGCGGGATTCATACGTATGTATATGAAATTTATTTGGAGAGCTTCTCATGTCCGGATGCTCAATCTTACATGCATTTTGCTCAAGTCAGTAAGAAAAAATCTGTTTTTCGACATTTGCTGCTGCACCAAATACACGAGTAACAAAAATCCGTTGAAATATTCGGAACGCGGTCGAGCGAGTTAAAGAAGCTTGACTGCAGTCGAGGAATTGAAAAGTGGGTGATTTATCCCTTTCGTGTAAGCAACAAAAATGCAATAAAAAGTAGAAAAGTGTGATTTTATTCGGTGCAAAAAATAAAATTGGATCTTGTAAAAAAATGTGATACTTTTCCTCCTAAATATTTATAGTTAGTTAGTTAGCCAAGTTACTGTTCAGTAAAAAGTCATGTCGAATGTGATCCAATCGAGCAATTCATTATACTCGTGTCGATCAAGGGTCCAATTAGTGCGGGTGCTTTCACCTGAATGTAAGTAAGTAACTTGACTTTCACTACTTTCACAACTCCTCCCGAACCCAAGACTAATTGCCCTTCAATCAAGCTTAAGGAACTTGAGCTGGGCAGTAAACTGGATGGAATACAATTCATTGGGCACTTGAACTGACCACTGTGTGAGCCTTCACTTGTCCGTCATCATTTCCTCTCGTGCAGCCTCAAGTAATCCTTTCACCCATTCCATTCTTCGTCCTAAATACCAACCTAAACTGACTCTGACTCCACGAAAACAAAGAAGACCTTCCCATTTAGCGTGAATCCAATACATGTATTGATACCGAATGGCAGCATGATACCAACCATTCTGTTCCCTGACTGCCTGGCTCTCCATTTATTTGTATTCTTCCCTGCTTGTCATTCAGGGAGAATTAGAATTGGCAATTGACTTGATGCAGGGTGGATGGATTACATTTATTTTTACTGGCATCTCACCCAATCCGACATGTGGACCCTTGGCGGATGGAGTCAGACATAAGAATCGACAGCAGCGAAAACTACTAAACGTTGTTATTTATTTAATAGGATTACCAGGCTAAAGAGCTGTTTCAGCTCAGTGTCATTGCCAACCAGGCAATAATCTCGACAGTCGACAAGAATCCCGTCCAGAAATATGTAAGGGTTGGCCAAAAAATGTAACAATGATGCTCCATCTCTTGTTAAATATTATTCTTTCTCCTCCTCAACGAGATGAGAAACACGTTTCAAAATTTCTCAAAAATATGTTCCTCACTGTGTGCCCTTCTTAAATATTGGGTCGTTTAAGAGACAGTCTTGTTGTGGTTTGGATGGATCTCGTGTAACGATCAATTTGAGGGGTACAAATTGTACCCCGGATAATAAAACTTAATGTCTTGCTGGGTGCTCGTACCGTACACACCGTTATGTCAGCAATTGTAATGTGTACACGTTTTATTTTTAGTGCAAAACTATGCACATGTACGTACGAGAAGCATGCGTTAGTGTTGATCCTTCACGCTGATATGGTGAGACATTAATGGAATGTGGGATACTTATGACTATCATCATCTACCCCAATTCGTACCCAAATTCTCCCTGTACAAATAGATACACAAAATAAATCAATAGTATAAAATCACATGAAAACGCAATTTACAATCTCCGCTCCATCCATGCACCAACAAAACATTTCATTTGAGCTAATTGTACTGCAAACAAGCGTTACAACAAACTGCAAGGCGTGAAGAGTTCGAGAAGCCAAGCCATCAACTTATTTCCCTGGTGGCTTCACCCTAATCGGATTTTTACGGGATCGTTTCTACGTACGTATTTTTGGGAAAAATTGAAACTTCATGGCACTTGCGAACCAATTCAGGCCTACCCTTCCTTCACGCACCCACCTTTATTCAGTTGGGTGGGCTTTTGATGTTTTTATTGCCACTTTCTCCTAAGCAGCAGACTCAAAAATCTCAAGGGTTCTGCTCCTCTCTCCGATCCGATGAATTATTAACAATAAGTCTCCCAGTCTTTTTGGTGCGTGTAGCAAATGCATGATTTATTCGACTCGATTATCCTTCATCCACATATGGAGCGTGTCCTAATTTTTCTAAACTGCGAGAGGAAAAAATGTAGAGAGACATCATTGAATGGGTCCCATGCGGAGTATTGAATACCTTCCGAGAGAGGCAGAGGAGCTATACGTATCTGTCCATTTGGGGACTGGATGGGTGACTTTTTTGTATTATTCTCACATAAAAAATATACTTAGGCTCATTCATAAAATGTAATTTTGTGAAATTTAGTGAAAAATCGCTCCAAGCGTGGCCTACACAGTTGCAGTTAGGAAATTGAGGAGGTAAAAATAGTCTGATTATACATATCTTGAAATGGAGGTGTCCCAGCGTATGCTCTACGATGTTGAGTAAATTTGTGACAATTGATCACAAATTTAAGTAATATGAAATTTGCAAAAGGCATGATCCTCAAATTCGTAGGTTTGGCAGAAATACTTGCATCCGAAAAGGAGAAGCCACGCAGCAAATTTTGAAATTTGTGTCAAATTTGTCAATTTTAGGCTGCGCTTTCTCCTCTTTGGATGCAAAAATCTCTGCTAAAGGTGCGTATTGGGAGATTGTGTCTTTTGCAAATTTCATACTAATCAAATTTGTGACCGATTGACACTAATTTCCTCAAAATCTTCTCGCATACGTTGGAGACCTCCATTTTTAGTCCATAAAAGTTGGCATATCTCTCTCTCTCTCTGTAGAAAAAAAAACTTTGTTTAAAACCCGAACTGCTTGCCATCCTTTAAATAAAGTGAAAAGCAACCCCAGCCAAAAAGTAAGTAAGTCTAAGAATAAGAAATGAAATGATATGTGCAATTTTTCCTCTGCGGAGGAGGAGGTAGAGCAAAAATTTATTGGGAAGTTTCAAATTTATGAAGCTTCTTGGGAAAAGGAAAGGAAGTCGTTTCTATTCATGATGGAACTTCTAATGGCTGACTGGCTTCGTTTTCTCCGTCTCTCTTCATTTTCCTCAACAACTTACTTTCCTGACCCCAGGCTACTCATCTTACTTGCTGCTTGACTCTCTGCTTATTCTCAGACTTTTGGGTGGTTCGTGGGAGGAGAAATCACACAAATAAGCAGAAATATAGAGCAAATACGCAAAATGCTAATTTCACCAGAGAAAAGATTGGGTTAACAAGCAGACTCGTGAAATGAAATGAATGTCTGCAGGATGTTTGCATCTTTTTTGTATACTTCTTCTAGTCAAAGTAGAATTTAAATAAATAAAGAATTTTAATGAACTAATATTTCTTACGTGGACTAGTTTCTTCAAGGAGAAAAGTTTCCTTTTAGTGTATTCTCAAAATCTTTTGGTGCTTAAGTTATCCGTATTTCGCGTAATTTTTTACGTTTGACGTCGTAATCAGCCAATTAGAGTATTTTTATGTAAATATCGCTTTTAAATTGGCTTAGGCAAACTTTTATGTTCAATGGAAGTCATAATAAATAAAGTAGGTTTTTGACAAATTGCACTGAGGATTTCACCCGATTTCGTGGAATTGATTGTGTGGAATAAACTTGTCATCGTGCCCAGTGCAATTTCAATCCGGTTATTCTTCACAATATGCATGTGTAAAATAAAAAGTGGCCGCGGAAGGGTGGGGACAGAGGGACAATGTCCCCACGGGTATTCGATGTCCCCATCATCTCCCCATGTTATATAAACCCCTCACTTTCCCCATCCTACAATGTTAATGCCCCCACAGTTTCCGCGGCCACTGTAAAATGAAGCGATTTATGACATTCAGTTACGCAATATGTGCACACGAGCCAAGAAAAATTACTTGAACTCATTGTTGCACAAATACGAGAAAGATACTGGGAATTGTGTACGGACAGGATGCTACAAATAGCAGTTATGTACACACAACTAACGACGCCATTACGGAGAAAACATGATCATCAACTTCAAACTGCTCAGAATATTCATTTATGTAGGAACGTATTTACATTGCAGGCAAATAATAATGCGTGGTGGTGTGTCGTGACCCAGGAAAAATAAAATAAAACCAGACTGAAAATGGCATCATTATGACCGGTAAAAGGAGTAAGGTGTCCACATAATTTGAAGAAATGTGGTTTTGGAAGAGACAAAAAAACTATTTGCGAGATGGTGGCATTACTGTAAATCATTGTGTTGGGCATCCTTTTAGAGATAAAGGCACATTTATTTACTTGAATCATCATTTTGGGGAAGAAATGCACCACAGCAAAAATATAACATGTGCTTATCTGATTCATAGACATGTTATCAACTTGATTATTGCATTTATTGGATGTGGATTTGTACTGTTTCTTTATATAAAATGAAGAAGAGACGACCATATTTTTCTAATGAACTATGTTACATGATACGAATTGAAGTTGTGAAATCGGACAATGTGTAAGATTCGAACGCCAAAACACAAGTTTTAGTCGTAATGATTTATTTAATTAAATGGTGGTGGCGGCGCTGTCCACTCGTTTTCAAGTGACGTCACATTTTGGACCACCATTTTTTATTTCGTCTTTTCATCTCCAGACTCCAGCACAATTTTTCACAAATCATTTCCGAAAAATACCTGCTCCATATTCAATTAAAATTTTAATTGTGGAAGCAGCACCATGATGTCGAAGGCCGATCAATCCGTCGCTGGACCTTCTCACGGGGGAAATAGCAGCCAGGTCATGGCTGACACCGTCACCACGACCTCCAAAACTAATTCACATCAAAAGAGAACGGAACCGGAGGAACAATTTGAGGTGTATTTAAGCAGTGACGAAGAGGATCAAGAGGAAGAGATTGAGGAGAAGAAAATGGTGAGGAAATGACGACTTTGAAGTGTTCCCTAATAATTTTGCGGTATATTCATTGTCCGGTTGTTATCATTTTTCCAGAAAATAGTTTACACCCTGATGGAAATTAGACATTGGGTTCAAATAAAGAGAAAATCCTTCGCACCAAGCACCCATGCCGTACCGGTGAGATTATTGATTAGTGTTTCATTTCCAATTTATTCTGAATTTTAAGTTGGACTCATTTTGCCTGGTTATCTTTTGTGCAGACTTCCGAAGAGGCTCGGATTGCCAATCGCAAGTTTCACAACGTTGTCAGCGCGTTGGACGACCTTGTTGAAGTTCTGGACGAGAATAGACGCCGAGGATGTCGCCTCTACGAGATGAGAAGAGCCCAGAGTAATAAACTAGGAAAAGTCGCAACAGCAACAGAGCCAGAAATTGTTGATGACTGCGTTCAGGACGAGGAAATGTCGACAATTCCGGCACCGCCAGCCACACCAAGACCGTCAACTCCAACATTGCCAGTCGCTCCTCCAAGGCCAGTCTCGAACCAATTTGCAGCTCAGAGAAAATCAAGGCCGACTGGGGAGCGAAAATCAAACGACTCTACCAAACTCAAGTCCACCTCTGGCAGAAGCAGAAATATGGTAGTCTTTTCTTATATAGTATTTCATTCTAAGTATTAATTAGTATTAAATAATAATAAAGGATTACTTGTGGCTAGTCAAGAGTAAAAGATTATAAGGTTGCATTATGTTTCCATATGCCTGTAAAACGCGACTTCTTTCTACCACGATTGCTTGACATTTAGTATCTAGGTAACTCTTGGCTCTTTTAACGGTTGCGACAAATGGTGGAGTTACAAATAAAATAATTATTTTTTTAATCGTTGGTACACGTCCCCTGGGCCTGTGTACCAACGACTTTGACCTTTAATAACTTTTGAAAGGGCAGACATAGAGACTTGATTCTTAAAGATGAAATCATCGTAATTTTTAGCTTGATTTTTTAAGCAAAAAATCTCGAGGCTACTATTTCGAGAATTAAATTTGAAATCTGCAGCGTGCAGCCTTTATTTAGCCCGAGTCAGGGTCAGTGTCAGCTTCTAAATTTTAGTCAGACGACCTGCACCAACTACTATTCGTAATCGGCAAAAATGTTCCCATAATCCAGCATGCAAAATTTCAGCTCATTGACCAATTTTAAAACCAATACGGGTCTCAGTCTTCTGAGACTTTTCTGGGCTGGGCCCACAAAAATATTCATTTTCATATTCTTTAGTCTGATGTGCCCTTACCTATGATACAGAATTTCATTTTTATTCTACCAATATAAAAAGCAATGTGGGTCACCTTGTTAAATCTCTGTGGAAAAAATCTTAATATTTACTTCATATTTTTCAATCTGGTCTACCCCCGCAGGGTCATGCCAAATTTCAGTCTTCTACGAGTGTCTGGAGCGAATTTCATCTTTTTAATACAATTTTTAAAAATCGATATGGGTCACCCCCTTAAAGGTCCCTCCACATAAAAATGTTTTAATTCATATTTTTTCATCAGGGACCATTAGCAATCTCTGCACTAATTTCAGCTCGATTGGATAATTTTCAACAATCGGTATGGTATCGGGTCCCTCCAGTCGAAAATTTTCCCAATTTAAATTCATGTTCTTCAATTAGACACCATTAGCAATCTCAATGCCAATTTTCAGATTTTGAAATACTCCACCCACCCAGATGACCACCACCGGTCAACCACTTAATCGATTTCGCCCATCTTCAAATTTAACTCCTCATTTGCCACATACTACACATACCAAATTTAAAGTCGCTAGGACGAGTTTAACGAAAGTTATCGTAAAATAATCGAACGGACAGACGGACGGACATGACGGTTCCATAAGCACTTTGACTGAAAATTACATTTCCAACTGTAACCAATGACATTTTCAACAATTTTTAGTTTTCTAAAAATGAAAATTTATTTTGTAACTCGGCCATTTGTCGTAACCTTATAGATTGATAAAGTGTCAAATAATCTTGTCTTTCTACCTAATTATTGAATAATTAATATCCTTCCAGAGTTCCAAAACCAAACGCCACCGTTGCAACATTTGTCGCAAAATGTTCTCCTCCAAAGCTGCCCTGACCCTTCACGGTTTCACCCATCTCACCGAAGAAGAGAAGACCGTGGCGAAGCAGGGTTGGAAACACGTGTGCTTCTTTTGCAAGAAGAGGTTCTCCGCGGAATCTCGTTATCATATTCACCTGGTCACTCACACGAAGGAAAAATGCTTTCGTTGCGACCAGTGTGGGAAGCAATACAGTCGGAACAATGACTTAACAAGGCACCAGCACACCCATAGCGCCAACCCAAAACCCTTTAAGTGCGAAGAATGTGGCAAAGCGTTGTCCTCCAAGAGATATTTGCTCATCCACAAAAAAATGGTTCATCAAAAGCTGAAGGACGTCGACTGCCCCCAATGCCCCAAGAAGTTCAGCACCAAGTCGAATATGGTTGTTCATCTGAACTCTGTTCATCTCAAAATTCCGCACCCTTGCCCCCATTGCAACACGTCATTCACACGGAAAGAGAGTGTTCGAACACACGTGAAGAAGTTTCATTAAGAATCCCATCCTTCTCTTTCTCTTGCTAAATGAAATTGCATCAATGGAATTTTCAACCGTTTTAAATTATACAGATAATTTACAGATTTTACAATTCGATGAAATGCAATAATTGGTAACAATTGCTAAAGCAAATAATAAAACTTGTAAACATATTGGTTAATGATTTGTTGGATTTGATGTTGCAAAAAAATTAGTCAATTTTAAATAAATATGTAATACAATTTTCTACATGCTCTTATTTTTGGCAAATAAATTTATATGTAAATTGATCTATTTTATCCAATAATTTGACCTCGATTCAACCATGATTTACATTTCATAACGTTCATTCCTTTGCCTGTTTTCACTTACACAATTCTTTCACGTTCATCCATATGCCAATTAAGCCCGGTCAGGAACTGGACACTAAAACCCGAGTAAACTTTCCCTTTCTTTCTCTCTCTCTCTCCAGTAAACTTTATACCTTCTGATGGCATTCTAATCGAACCTTTGTTCTCCGAGGACTGGACACACACTGCTCTGCTGGCCCCAATCTGATATGGGCCGGAATGATGATGATGTGGAGTAGATAAGATGGAAATGAAGAGAAAGACGAAGGCTATGAAGTAAAATGGCACATTCTTCCGAGATAAGGGTGCATTTTATGGTCTGCTGGTTATACTACGCACAATGGAGGTCTCACAGCGTATTTTCTCAGATTTTGAGCAAACTAGTGTCAATTGATTACAAATTTAATTAGTATGAAATTTGCAAAGACAAAATCTCTCAATGGTCACGTTTGGCAGAGATATTTGCATCCAAAGAGGAGAAAACACGCAGTAAATTTAGAAGGTGCAAAATTTGTCAACTTTAGAGCGCGTTTTCTCCTCCTTGGGTGCAATACCTCTGCCAAACGTGACCATTGGGATATCATGTCTTTTGCAAATTTCATGCTAATTAAATTTGTGGTTGATTGACACTAATTTTCTCAAAATCCGAGAGCACACGCTGGGAGACCTCCATTGTACGGTGGAAGGAAGAAGGGAATGAAGACGGCTGCTGAATCATGAATACGCGGAACTCGTGTACCTACTTTTACCTCCTCAAAGTCTGATCCGGTCTGACCATCCGGTGAGAGAGAGAAAAGCGAAGGGGAGAAAGTCCGGAAATAAAGGAAGAGGGAACGAATTTTTGATTCCCATCAAAGATAAATGTAACCCATTCCGACTTTATGTAATAGTTTTTGCGCTTCGTTTCAGACATTTCATGACTGGTCATCCTTTCCTCCCAAGAAGGATTAAATAGTCGAAATTGAAGTTTTCTTCCGCTCCTCTCCTTTCGAACAGGGTTACAAAATTCATTCGTGTTCGACGCAGCAGACAAATTCCACCAGGCAAATTCTCTCTCAATGCACTTCTCATCATTGAATTGAACATTTCTCAAATAATATTCTCCTCCGTATGTGAATGAATGAATGATCGAACACATGGTTCAAGTTGATCCCCTCAAAAAAATTGACCACTTTTCCTTCGTGGCCTGACTTCAATATTTCTAATACGAGATGACCAACCAACTTTCTTTCATGTTTTACCTTATGGTCACTCACTTTTCCTTCAGGTTCTTCCTCCTTCAAGTAAGTCTACCAAATCCGCTTTTTATTAGACTTCCACGTAAATGGAAGAGACAGAGAGATGGAATATTCAAAAAAATGATGGATGAGATGAAACGACGACTTTTTTCTCCTCAACTTATTCCACCAACCTCAACCCTTTGACTTCTTGGTGGGGAAAAAGTATTAAAATTGGACGAATATTGGAATTTCGAAGGAATCACATATGTCCGAAACGTGGCGTGGGTTGTAAACTCGCCAAATTTTTTTTACAAGTAAAAAATACAGAAAGTTTTTTGTGACATTTTTGAAATATCTGTATTCATTTATCATAAATATTTTTCCTATTGTTTCAAATTCGTGATGGACCCTCTTTTCAAGTATGAATGGGAATCTGCCTCGGCAAACGTCAAGTTTAAGGTTGGCAGCCTCCTGAGCAGATAAGGCACCTCTTCGTAGCGATCATGCGAAATTGCTCGATCCATAATCGTCAAGTGGCGAAGATACGGAAGATTATCCGCAATGCTCCTCAGGCACCAGTGCGGTCTATTATTAGCACACGGACGCAGTTATTACAGGTAAATGCATAATAATCATAACTCGTGCTGATGGAAATGACCTCATGATAAGGTGAAACTCTTACCCAAGCTCGTGGCACGTGAGTCGCAAGGAAACCAAGGAACGCAGCTCGTTCAGGCCGAGATGCAAGGACAAATTTGTTAGCGTCCAACTCGTCCCTTGCTCAGCCTCGATGCGGAGGTCTTTCAAATCTGAAATTATTATGAGAAGCAGTAATTAACTAGATTATTTATGAGATGGATAAAGGCTATGAATTGTGTTTGCTTGCTTTTTAAGAGGGCGAGATGCGGTGTGACCCTGGCCTTGGCGCAGTCAGCCTTCCCGTCTACCACGTTGAACGGGACACCACACCCACACGGGAGGCGATGCTCGGTTTTCTGAGTCTTTTGCAAAAGTGAGGCAGGCAAACTGTGCAATTTTTTGGAAATGGGTAATTATTGCACTATTTTCATTGTTTTTTTTTGCAAAATATTCATAAAACTCTGTATGTAACTCACCCAGTTATACCGGAATCTGACAGTGCGAAAGAGGTCGTGATGCGAAGTGCCTCCAATGAAGGCCACCCCTCACAAATAATCTCCAACATTTTATCAGAGACTTTCTTTTTTAGGAAAGAACAAAACTTATTTTTAAAATTTCCCTAAAAATAGTATCAATTATTTTACCTTCATCATAAAAGTTTTCAGATTTGGAAACGCTGCCACAAGACTGCGAAGGACTTTGAACGCTTTCTTTATCGAGTGACTACCACTCCCAAAATTGATCTAATTCAGAAATATTTGAACAGAATTTTAATAAATAAACCCATAAATCAATTAGGCATTGGTTCCCCTTACCGCGAGATACTCCACCGTGGGGGCCGTTTTAATTGAATCTTTCACATAAATGTCTGACGGATTGACATTGCTTAGCTGCAATTTTTCCAGAACTGGAGCATACGAACAAATCGAATCCAGCATGATGGTCCCACACCAATTCGGGAGGCGAATCGTGTCCAACTCCTTCATCGTGGTTGGAAGCTTGAAGGCAATCTCGGGATTGTGGAGACTCTTGATTTCCATGTATTCCAACGAAGGGGCCACATTCTCCAAAAATGTCGTGAAATATTCCTGCGTCACGTCGCGAGACAGTTCAAACTCAATCGTTTTCAAGTTGGGGAGCTGCTTCTTGCCCAAAATGTGAAACCCCTTATCATCAAGACTTTTGAGGCTTAGAAACTTTAAGTTTTTAAATTCGCAGCGCTGGAACAAATTCGGCTTCAACATGAACGGCCACTTGTGCAAGTTCAAGTTCTTCAAGTGGGGTGAAAGTTCGAGGAGTTTTTCGAGCAGGAGGGCTTCATTTGATGCCCAATCGGGTTCACAAGATAGCACGAAGGATTCCAGGTGTTCCAATTTCTCGCGACCCTGCTTCTCTCCGAGGGAGTAATTGTCGATAAATATTTTCACCGAGGTGGCCTTTCTCTTCCGATAAGTGGTCGAAGTCAGTTCTGCAGTTGCAAATTCTTCCTGAAATAGGTTGAGGCTTAATTGCTTCAAGTTTTTGAGGTGGTGAACTTGCGATAGGAATCCGGCGAGGGATGCTCCTTCCAAGTTGAGGACCTAGTAAAGAAAATACTGTGGTGATACGGAACGGATTATGATATCCGGCTGACTACTCAACAACTTTATTCTTAGCTGACGATAAGTATGTAGGACTCCGCCAAAATCATCAAAATCACTACATTTTAATCATTTCTCGGCTCTCTGGGAATTGATTTTAGAATTATGGATGGCTAATTTGTGAGCAGGTCGTTTCTAATTTAAAAAAATATACGATACACTCCAAATTTCGACACTTTTTGAAGGAGGAGGTCTCAAGGTTAAGAAGCCTTCAAAAAAATTGAAACTGGCTTAACAAAAACTCACCGCCATTCTATCAATCAACACTGACTATTGTCGTGTAGAATTTTGGAATAAATTTCCCAAACTGAGAAATGATTAAAAATGTATTGATTTTGAAGATTTTGGCGACAATTCATCTATTCCTACGTTGATTACAGAGCAGAAAATAAAAGGATGGTCAGAATTGTTTTTGGATCCATTTCAACGCCATTTTTTTTAAATGTGCAAAATACGTTTATTACTAGTGAATAAAAGATCAGAAGTCCTGACAATTTGTTATAAAGTTAAATGATGCTTTTCTAAAATTCTTTACTTACCAAAAAAATAATTCTGGAAGACAGATTTGTAGAGCAGGTCGTTGCAAATTTATAAAAATATACATACACTCCAGATTTTGGCAGTTTTTGAGGTTTAAAAATCCTTCAAAAAAATTCGAACCCTTCGAACTTGCCTTTAAAACCTACAGTGCAGACTCCATATAGCCCGAGTCAGGGACAGAGTCCCTGACTCCTCCAGGGTCACTCTGGTTAAAATTTGCTCACTTTTAGCTTCATATCCTTTCGTGAGAAGCCATTAGGTATCACCGTGCCGGATTTAATGTTTTAAAGTAATTTCTAAAAATCGGCATGGGTCACCCCACAGGGTCGCTCCAGATAAGAATTTTACCAATTGCATGTCATATTCTTCTATTAAGACCCATTAGCAATCTATCTACCAAATTTCAGCTTGGTATGACGATTTTGAAAAATCGGTATGGGTAACCCCGTAGTCCCTCAAGATGAAAATTTTTCCAACTTGAAGTCATTTTTATCTATTAGGAGCCATTAGCAACCTCTGTACCAGATTTCAGCTTTCTACGACAACTTTGAAATTTTGGTGCACGAGACCCCACCCACTCCGATGACCCCCACCGGTCAACCACTTGACCGATTTCGCCCATCTTCGAACTCGTTTCCTAACTTTGTCCAATATGCATATGGTAAAAATTTCAAGTCAATCGGTTCAGCCGTTTTGGCTCTATCGTGCCGGACAGACGGACGGACGGACGGACGGACGGACGGACGGACATGACGGTTCCATAAGCCCTGACTCGGGCTAAAAACTGTAATTCTATTAACTAACCTCCTGACTAAAAATTTGTCGTCCAGAATTTTAAATAAACTCCCAGACTTGTGAAATGATTTTAAATGATTTTGGCGATGAGTCATCTATTCCTACGTTAATTGTAAAGCAGACAGTGTTTGGTCAAGTTCAACACCATTTTTTAAAAATGTGCAAAATACATTTATTATTAGTGAGTAAAAGATGTGAATGACTGACAATTGTTATAAAGTTAAATGATGCTTTTCTAATAAAAGTCTTACTTACCAAAAAAATAATTGAGGGTCCAACCACTTGGAAAAACTTTGTGGTACTTGGATCACCCATGTCATCAATTTTTAGGAAGAGTCTGCCAATCGGAATGTCCAAACTTCTACTCATCACGTGCGTGTAGTAGGACAAGCCCCGCTGGAGGATAATTGCCCCCTCGATCTTTCTCCGGAGGACGTAACAGGCCGAAGTGTTCCATCGCTTGCAAACCTGACGCACTCGGAGGATGTCATTGATCGGGAGGTAGCTGAAGATCTCTTTGAGTACCTGCACATATTTACATATTTACAATGGGAACGAAAACCAGATCATTTTTTGACAAGCTCAGTTTGAGAACCCAGCCTTGCAGAACCAACATTTAGTTCGGAACTTGCCCAGATGCGAAAAAATCAGAGCGTTATTGTCGCCGCAAGTTCGCGAAACGTTCGGTTTTCAAGCGGAATCTGTGTCTTGCAGCGCAAACTTTTCTTGTATGATTCCTCTTGAAAATCAAGCGTTTTCGCGAACTTCTGGTGCCTGAAATTCTCTGAATTTTGCACACCTGCGCTAATTCCGAATTAAATGTTGCTTCTAACGATTTAGTCTTCCAAACTGAGGTGGTCAAAAAATAATCTGGATTGAACAACATGGTTTACACGCCCTTATTGTTAGTCAATTTTATGCATAATACGCAAATTATAAAAAATTGCATAATAATCTTCTCACCTGCGCAGTTTCAATTGGATGCGTGGCCACGTATCTGTTTAAGAAAGAGCTTCTCATAAATTGGATCGACTTTTTCGCTTCACCTCCTCCCCCAGTTTCGTTGACCAGAGTCAGGGAAGACTTTGCAGAGCCACCGACCACTTTTTTCTTATTTCTTCCCGGCCAACACGGCATTATTGCTACTGATTGTTTATAAATTAGCGTAATAAAATTTTGCGTGTCAACCTTTCCAGGAACGAAATCGCAAACAATACTACGCACAATATTTAGAAATCGGGTGTTATAAAATAATCACTTATGCATTAATCGGTTGAAACTGGTAAGTGTTTACTTGCTACGATTTCCTCCGAGGGACAATGAACACTCAATTTACCATTGTAAATATCTACATATTTGCAGTTTGACTTTGTTATTGAAATATGTACGAGATAAATCAATCAGTCACTACATACTCGATATGCAGAGGATACCTACCTTCAAATAAGCTGATAAAATAAGTGACGGTCAGGTTAAATAATATTTATGTGGGACATGGACATGTCCATGTCATTCATGTCCCAGGGGAAAAGATACGCTGGAAAATTGGTGGCCATGCCATTTGCATGCACAATACTTTGCATGTTTGTGCTGCGTGTTTAAATATCAATCTATGCTAAAAAACATGATATGCATGTATTAATGCCTGCCGCCGGCTGGACATATTTCGTGTCTATTGACACTGGTTGATAAAAACTGCAGTTTCATTGTTTGACATGATCTCAAAGGTTTAAGCATTGCCCAGGTTTTGTCTCCAGGATAAAATGTTAACTTAACCTTCAAATTTTGATAACGTAATTACTTAATCTTACAGTTTTTTTCACCATTTCGACGAATTACACGAGTTGATACTGCTTAAAGAATTGAGCATTGGACATAATTGAATTGGGAAATTAAACGCAACAATATACTTACTTAATTGTTCATCTTATCTTGGTCTTATCTTCGTCTTATCTGAAGGAAAACTTTTGCCAAAGTTGGGTCTTGTTCTGTTCTCTTATTAACAAAAGTGTCAACCAAAGTCTCTCTCTTTCTCTCACCACTCACAAAATTCTCTCAGAATCAAACGCAGCCAGAACCGGAAGGAAGTCGAGCCCCTCACAAAGAGGAAGTCGTAGTCTGAACTTTCCAAGATAACGAGCACCAAAATCAAGTCATCTTAAAACTAGAAATGACACGACAACTTTATTCTTAGCTTAATTGCGTACAGAACAGAAAATGAAAGTATGGACAGAACTGCTGTCCGTTTTTGGGTCCAGTTTTGACGTCATTTTTTAAAAATTTTCAAAGCGAGTTAATTATTAGTGAGTAGTAGATGAGTTGAGTACGTTCTTGAGTGCTTACAAAAAATTCGTGGAGTTTATCGTGATTATTTGTCTAGTAATCTTACTCAGAAGAAAAATAAATGAGAGTCCGGCCACTTGGAAAAATTTAGTGACACTTGAATCACCCGTATCATCAATTTAAATCAAGTATTCAAAATTAAATTAAAGGGTATATTTTTTATCTAAATGATGATAAGATTTTCTCTACTTTGAATATCTTCACTTCACTTACTTTACGTAATATGAATTGACTGAATACTTTGTATTAAATACTTTTTCGAATGCCAAATGTAACAAGCTTTGAGAAAAGGCAAGTTTGGTTTAATTTAGTAATAAAGAAATAAATAAATACTTTTTTCAGATTTTTGGGTCCAATTCAACGTCATATTTCAAAAATTTTGAAAAATTCATTTATAATTAGTGAGTAGTACATAGATGTGAAATAAATAAAATATGTATCATAACGTGTTAATATTAAAATAAACAATTTTAATGTTAACACAAGATGAAATAAAATGAGACTAATAACTTAATAATTAGTATTCTTGTAAGGATTTCGTCATTTGAGCAGCTTATACTTCAAGTCCATCCACTGGCCCACATGAAACGCGTCCCTTCATCTGAATCGAATCTCACAACCAAATGTGTCCGTTCAGTTCTCTGAATGAAACAAAGTCCATTAGCAGCAGTCTCTCCAATTGGAATGGTCGATGATGTGAGACGAAATCAGTTCAGTGTGTCCCATTCCGAAACTTGGGTTGTTTTCACCCCAAAAGAAAGAACAAATAAACTCTGCGTCTCGTCGTCTCGTTCTCCAGTCTCGAGAGACCATTGAAAAATAAAAGTGTCACAGATTTGTACTAATAAATAGAAATTACCTCCCATTCAATCTTGATCTCATTGTACACACGACGACGAGACTCGGCGTTACTGCTATTATTTCCACTCTGTGTTTATGGAAGTGTAAATAAGGGCTGAAAATACATAGGCACAGTCGGAATGAGAATGAAGTGAGACTCGGCTCATTTATCCACTCACGACGAGCTTGTCTTTGAACTCGTCAGTAACTCTTGTGTCGCTAAATTGTTTTTTTCTCTCTGCAATTTCCATAAACAAAGGATCAAGAGGACGTGTGTACATACGTAGAAAATGCATGATTTGCCCAAAAATCACTCAAGTGAGGATGTAATACTACGAAATTTCTGAAACAACACAACTTTATCAAAGTGATGGACACATGAGACGCACAATTTTTATCATTATTTTCATTTTCATCCCTATCCATTTCTTTCTGTTCACACGTTCATAATCCCACGCTAAGAAATCATACAACGCAATATTGGTCCATTAAATAAGATGGATTTGTTTTCATCCCCGCGACGACGACGACGACGAGGACGACGACCTACTCAATTTATAGAATATTGATACCAATCAGCAATTGATTTGATGTTGATGGAGTATGAATGATTTATCGTGCCCAGTCCTCAGTCTTCAGCAACATATTTATATGAACCCATACACAGCCACAAAATGCATCCCACAATACGGTTATATTCCATGACCCAAAGTCATCTGCAGCACGGAAAGTAGGCGTGTGGGGCATCATTATCAGATCGAATGGTTGACAGTAATAATGATTTTGTCACGTTTTATTTTATTGCAGCTCCCACTACTCGATAACTGCATATCTGCTTGCTACACACATATTTATTGTCTTTGTTCCACGCACTCCTCGTTTAAATGGGCAGTTTACACACTATGGTAGGAAGAATAACACTATCGAGATAGTTGGGTACGTGTATCGATCATCATTCATCCCCCTCGTCCAGCTCGTCCCCTCCTTTGCAATTTACACCACCCCATCACCTTCCATAAATAAGTAGAGATACGTACGTGGAAATGCACTTCCTTCCCTTCTTCCTTTAAGACGGCGTGTTAAGAGAGCGAGAGAAAATCGAATATTGTGCAGGCAGTCATTAAATTAGGTGGATTGAGAAAATGCGTGTCCGGAGGAAAATGATGACGATTGGACGGACGGACTGGATGGGCAACGAATTGTTGGGAAAGGTTCGTCTGGTTCTGTTTGGTTGATCTTGTTCCATTCTTGTATTTCTTTTAGACAGGGTTCCACCCTGGTTTTAACCAAGAATTTTGGAAGTCCAAAATGTCAAAAAGCGTAGAAAATAGAAAATGGTACAAGTTTTGATCTGTAATACAGCATGGTTTAGAAAATTTATTAATTTCTCACAAGAAAACTTTTTTCTAAATTTTATGGCATTACAGACCAACCAAAATGCTCAAAATTAATGGGAGATAAGGGAGATTACATATCTGTGTTTTTGCATAGGGGTTGCAAAAAAGTCTTTAGAGAACTTGTAACATTTTGCCCCATTTTCCAATGTTGGACGCTTTTGGACCGTGTCCACTGGACACTGTTCAGTCAGTAGTTTAGGACGTCCAAAACGAAACACTGTTTTTCGGTCTGGTTGAGGAAATAAGGATGAGGGTGAAAAGGGTGGCAGTGCAGTTCGTATATAGAAATGACAGTGAAATCTACAACCCCAAATGAACACCCACCCTGACATTTCGAGGTAATAAATGGCTCTGGATTAAGGATCGTCCTCTTTTCTCCTTCCCCCAAATATGATTTTGAGGTTAAATTACGTATTATTATCGAATAGCTGACTGAGTTAGGGGAGCTTGCTTTCTTTTATGTCCACATTAAAGGTATTTGTTCAAATGGAGGAAACATACCTTGCACATCGCCTCGCACCGTTTTCTTTCTCGGTCCGTAATATCTGCACACTTTGAAAAGAAAATATTTAGCTAGGCAGTGAATTTTAAAACTCATTTCGACCCACGATAAAAAACAGGGAGGGAGCAGAAAATAGGATAAAACTCAAACTTATGCACTTTCTCGAGGTAATAAGTAAGGAGAAAAATACATTTCCACTTTTCAAAAGGGATGAAAAATCCACCTAAATCATGGCACAAATCTGGCCTACGCGACAGCCAGTAAATGAGCTTGGACCTGAATTATGATTACTTTTAGGCAGGGAAAATAAATAATAAAAAAATGCTGAAATAAAATAAAATGGGAAATAGACACGGTGCGAGTGGAAAGTTTTTACCGTTCGTAATCAGATTTCGAGCTATAAATGCATCAAGTACTTATGTACAATGGAAGTCTTCCAGCGTACTATTCGATTTTGACCAGATTAGTGTCAATCGGTCACAAAAATTAATATGAAATTTGCAAAAGGTACGAGCTCCCACTGGTCACGTTTGCCAGAGATATTTGCATCCAAAGAGGAGAAAACGCATAAAAGAAAGTGTAAAATTTGTCAACTTTACTGCACTTTTTCTCCTCTTTGGATGCAAATACCTCTGGCAAACGTGACCAGTGGGAGCTCGTACCTTTTGCAAATTTCATATTAATTTTTGTAATCGATTGACACTACTTTAACCAAAATTGGGAGATCGTGTCTTTTGAAAATTTCCGATCTCGCTTCGTTCCCACGTTATACTGCTAACAGAGAGACAGACAGACGGACAAAATCTTCGCATAAAGTATCTATCTGAAGCTACTTAATAATCCAAACCTGAAACCTTTTCTCATCTATTAGTCACAATAATAAATGTACTTTGAACATTTGTAAAAAATGACGTTGAACTGGACCCAAAAAACTGAAAACAATTTTACATATTTATTTCTTACTAAACCAAACTTGCCTTTTCTCAAAGTTTATTATGCATTCGAAAACATATTTAATATAATACAAAGTATTCAGTCAATTTATATGCATTACATAAAGTAATTAAATTGTGATCCATTGACATTAATTTTGCCAAAATCGGAAGGTATTGGGAGATCTTCGTTGTTAGTTTCATAATTGTGAAGAATTTTTACACAAACTTTTCCTCAAAATTTTCTCTATACTTCATCATCCACCACAATAATGATAATAATAATGCACAAAACATCAACTTGAAGGATGGCTGGATGCAGGTTTGTTCCTTGAATTTATTCACTTTTCAATTTTTTCAGCCAACAAAATCCCAGCACTTTCGTACAATTCTTCAATCAGTGAGTTCGGCAGGGTTGGATTTCAGAGGGGAATGGATTACAAGGTTCGCTGGGCTTCAAACACGAGTCTTTTGGGACTTTCTTTTTGTTTCATTTTTCACTTGTTACATACGCACAACGTAACGTGGGGATAAAGGAGTGGATTTTATGTGTGTGTGTACGTAAGTGAATTGAATTTATAAATTTTGGAGGAAAAAATACATGCTAGAAATGCACTCACTCACTAGTGCAGTTTTTTGAGGAGGGGGTTGTGGTGGTGGGGATGAAATGGATGCGATGTGGGTGAGACGACTTAACGTACGTAGAAAGCACAAGAGAAAAGTGTCAGAGAGACTGTCGACGTCGGCATTGTTTCGTTTGACTGATTTGCATCCAAATGCATCACATTTGACGTGAGGACATTGTCGGAGGGTGTGAAAGTTGCATAAGTACTTGTTCTGCATAAAAGGAGAAGAAGAGGGAGGCTTTAATGCGGGATAAATTCGGATAAAACAAAAACATGCGGCAAGACTTGGTACAGAATTTTATTCAATTTTGAAAAACAAAATGCCAGAAATGTACGGACAATAACTCGAATTTTGACACGAGATAGAGCAAAATTTATTATCCATTTCTGGTTGATAATATCCATCTGTAAAAAAGTCGTGATATTGACAAACACAATAAATAAGAATCTTGTCATGTGTCTCAACGTCCAAAACTGAAGGGGAAGGACGTATTCTCCATTTTTCTGCTGTTGGTCAAACTGCATCAAGACGTAAATGCTCACGACATGCACTACTGCAATTCCTTAATGGATGGAAATTCACCCTCGCCTTGGTCTTGGTCACACTCCGAATAAATAAATCAAATTTCAAGATTTCAAGTGGAAATAAGTGCCGTCTCGTAATTCGTATCGATATTGGTTTGTGACATGACATGCAATCGTCTCAGACGACAATTGACGACGACCCAGCAAACAACGTGACATTGGCAGTCGACCAACACAAGCAGAGGGTGAGTGAGTATGTATTAATGGTGAAAAAGTAGTATGCTTTTCTGCTACTCGAAGAAATCTGAATGATTAATCTGTACTTTTCGTGACCAAATTTTTAGTTTGCCTTGCGAAGGATAAGATCGGGAAAAGGGTTGACAGATATTGGGAGTCTGGGAATTAATGGGTGGCAATTTATTTACTGCTGCGTATGTATTCCGCCGACATGCGTTGATGGGTTTCATACGTCGCTAAATTGTTGTTGTTTTAGGCTTTGAGAAGGGATAACAGAAATTAGTGGTTGTATTCTAGAGGTTGTTCACTAACTGATAGCAATATTTTTACCATTTGTGTGTATTTATTAGGGTCTCCCAAGTTTGTAAAAAAGATCTGAAAAAGCGAAAAGCTAAAAAATCTGAAATCCGCTTTTTTCGCTCAATACTTGACTGTCCCGATTTTTTATCGCTTGAATACTCAGGAGCAGAGAATGGCTGGTCAGGAAACTTTCGAGTTTCTTTTAAAATTTAAATTTGCTTCATGTTGGATATGATAAAACAACTATCTAAGATCATGTAAATCCAAAAATTACCAAAATGGGATGAAAATAGGATTTTTGGCAAAGGTTTGAATGCGGTAGTTTTAGTGGTTGCAATGCTTTTCAGGGGGTGTGGCGGGCGCAGGTGGGGCAATGGAATAAAATCCTCCCTCACTTTTCATACACTCACCTGATATTGCAATATATTCCATAGGGCATCAAAATCGGGCGATGTCCCCTTAAACATGTCTCTGAGAGACTGATTTTTCACTCAAAGTAGTAAAAAGAGCGAAAAAATCATCTTAAAGTAGATTTTATTTTTGAGCAGAAAAAGCGGAAAAAAGATCGGAATCGCATGCGCAGTGCGGTTTACAAAAAGAGCGAAAAAATCGTGAGCGGAAAAAGCGATTTTTTTTACAAAGTTGGGACACCCTATTATGCACACGTAGTTTTCTTTTTTTACATGGAAAGAAAAAATCGGAAATCTATACATTTTTTTAAAAATCAGACAAGGAATTCAGCAGCCAACAAAAAATATGTCATCGCCACGAGTCAAAAGCTACGGTTTTATGAAAATGAAAAGTCCCCGCATTGCGAGAGAGATTTTTAATATTAATAAAAATTATCCACTGTCAACAACTGTGTTCTGTTTATTGGTTTTATTATTGGCAATTGTTATACAAATTCTGTGAGAAGAACGCATTTCATTGTATTGTATCATTTCGTTATTTAAAATTATATTTAATTTAAATATTTATTTATTTAGAAAATAAAAAAATAATCTGTATTATTTAAAACGGTTGAAAACTCCATTGATGCAGCTTCATTTGGCAGTAGAATGATTGAATTATGAGGGATGAAACTTCTTCATGTGGTTTCGAAGACTCCCTTTCTTTGTGAATGACTTATTACAGTGGGGGCAGGGGAGCGGAACATAGAGATGAACAGTGTTCAGATGTGTCCTCATGTCGCACTTGGTTCTGAACTTTTTGGGGCATTGGGGGAAGTCGACGTCCTTTAGCCTCTGGTGAACTCTTTTTTTGTGGATGAGCATAGATTGCTTGGTGGTAAAAGCTTTGCCACATTCTTCGCAATTGAATGGTCTTGGGTTGGCGCTGTGGCTGCGCTTGTGCACCCTTAAAGGACCCCTCTGGGAGTACTTCTTTCCACACTGGTCGCACCGAAAGCGCTTCTCCGCCACGGTCTTCTCTTCTTCCTTACGATGGTTGGAACGGTGACTTATTAGGTTTAATTTGGTAGAGAAAGTTCTTCTACAAATGTGGCAGCGGTGGCGTTTGGTTTTAGAACTCTGGGCAAAGGATATTGAAATCGATAATTAGGTAAAGAAGAGTTACACTTTACAGGCAAATGGGAGCGTAATGCAACCCTGTACTAATGGAATAGTTCCCGTTGAGTAATTATCATCAATCCATAATTTCAATGTTAAATTTTTACGTAATAGTAAGTATTATTTATTACTAAATAAATATTCCAAATCTTAGAATTTTTATAAGAAAAAATTACCATCTTTTTGCCAGAGGTTGCCTTGAATGTAGTGGAGTCGCTTGGTTTCAGAATTGGTCTTCGAATCCGGGTGGATTTTCTCCTGGTTTCACATTGGTTTGAGATTGACCTTTGTGGAGTGACAGGCGGTGTTGGAGTTGACGGTCTTGGTGTGGCTGGAGGATCCGGAATTGGCTCCGACCTTTCCTCGTCTTGAACGCAGTCAATTATTTCTGGCACTGTTGCTGTTGCTGTTACGAGTTCTCGTAGACGCTGGGCTCTTCTCATTTCATAGAGGGGATATCCTCGGCGTCTATTATCGTCCAGAACGTCGACAACGTCGTCCAACGCCATGACAAGTTTGAGAAACTTGCGGGCAATCCGAGACGAAGTTGGATATCTCTCTTCGGAAATCTGCGCAAATTGATAACCAGGAATGAGTCAAACTTAAAAAATACGGAGTAAATTGGAAATGAAACAGTAGAATCTCACCGGTACGGCCGTGGGGTTTGGTGCGAAGAATTTTTGCTGTATCCGAACCCAATGTTTAATATCCATCAGTACGTCAGCTATTTTCTGGAAAAATGATAACAACAGGACAATAAATATACGCAAAATTATTAGGGAACACTTCAAAGTCGTCATTTCCTCACCATTTTCTCCTCCTCAATCTCGTCCTCTTCATCTTCGTCGTCACTGCTCAAATACACCTCAGACTGATCCACCGGTTCCGTCCGACTTTCGGTTTTTATCGTTGAGGTCGTTCTGATGGTGTCAGCCATGACCCGGCTGCTACTTCCGGCGTGAGAAGGTCCAGCGACAGATTGATCCGCCTTTGACATCATAATTCTGTTTCCAGAATTAAAATATTTTAAATTAATAAGGAGCAGAAATTCCTCGGAAATGGTTTGAAAAAACGGACTGGAGACGACTGGAGTGAAGACAAAAACACAAAAATAAAAAATGGTGGTCCAAAATATCATAGAGAGAGTGCCACCACCACCTTGAATTCAATAAAATCATTATGACTAAAACTTGGATTTTGGCGTTCAAATTGTACCAAATAATCCGAAATTTTACGTTATGAAATTATACTATGAGGAAATTGGTACATAATAAATTACACAGTTTGTTAAAATAATTCATTGTCTTCAAAATTAGCAAGGCGTCAAATAATTGGCTTGGACATACAAATAGATTAGGAGGTATTCAATTTATTTATTTAAAAAAAATAAGCGTTCCCCAATTGCAAAATTTGCCAACGACTTGTCATCCTAAAAAAACTGTCCTTTAATAAAGAAATAATTGACGTGATGCATCTCACGTCCGCTTTATCCTTAATACGAATTGATTTTTATTGCCTTCAAGATTATTGTCACAAAAGTACCTGTGCAATCAGACCACCGATTAAGAATGCAACCGTGTCCTTTTATGAATTCAGAATGCATTTTATTACGATTATTATTATGTATTATTCATCCCGTTATTAAGCATGAACAACCACCACACATTGCAATCAGTCCTTGTTTAGGATGTGTCTGATTTTATATTCACATATATTTATGTTCACACACGAAGATAAGCATAATGTATTACTTGCATTACTTCTTGCATTACTTGCATTGTCATTTTTGCACTTTGCAAAAATGCGATGAGAGTGAGAGCCATACATTTTGCATGGGCATTACTAAACACATTGCACTATTTACTACCTGTTGGTTAGTAGTGGAGGATTTGTTTAAGCAGGTCTACACAATGCCACGCCCTAATAAACTAGATGCACTTTTGCGAAGGTTATTGAATACCAAAAGTTATGCAGGATAACAACAACGACGATAACACCTCGGTGAGCAGATTTTTACTCGTACTCTAGAAAAAAGGAGGAGTAACAACTACATCCTTTAATTAACTTCTGATTACAGATTAAATATTAATCTGATAAGTACAATGATAAGTAAATAAGTTCCAAGTTAATTGAGTGCAAATTGGATATGACTTTGATAAATTAGTGTGGTTTTGGGTCCATCAATTTGGGCGTATTTCGCACAAAATGCAATACCGCATTCTTGCCAAAGTAGGAAACAATTTTATGCCCATAAATTGCAACATATTTGCACTGCATCCTTCTCCAGCCCTTGTCATATATAAAAATCTACATCAATTTATTCCTAATCAATTGTTCACTCAACAATAATATGTACAACAATCGACAAATCTTACTCAGATTTAGCCAAGAATTCAACAATAGGGTTGTGCAGGAATGCAAATGTCACGTCAGTCATGTCACCAGATAAATGGCCCTCACAATCAAACCAATAGAGATCAATTTATTACTTATTCGCAAATAATGTCGTTTCATCGGTCAATTTGATGCGATATTGACGTTGAAGCTTCAGGAGCAGGGGTGAAATTTACATATTGCTTTTTATTATTTACAATCCACCATTGTCCCCACGCTGCCTGGCTGCCTGCACATCACGCGCAAGGTTAATTGGGTGCTAACGAGACGTTCACATGCAAACATTAATTCAATAAAGGGATGATGAAGAATGAAGTGAAATGATGTGATCGATGGCAGTATTATTGATCCCACATCACCACCGGTCCATTATTAGCGAGGGATTGGTCATTACTGACATGACACGGCGTAATAGCGTCAGTTTAAGGTTTCTCTTGTACAGGAAGGCCACAGGTCTGGGGGACGGACAGAAAAGGATTTCCGTTCGGTTGGCAGTCTAAAAAAATGTTTTTGGTTTCATTTGAAAGTTTGATTACCTGAAAAAGCGATAGAAGATCATTGAATGACTGTAACGCCACTGTTGTTATTTTTTTAAGTTGTTATTAAGCCCGATTCAGATTGTTATTAAAAAAAATAATACCTACAAGCACTACAACTTTATTTTTTATTTTTTGACAGATTGTGGTCATCTTTGAATTTATGCAATTCCTAATTTTGCATATTCTACATATGTACATGCATGTGCAAAATTTCAAGTCGATCGAATAAGTTTTACCTGCGTAGCCTAATCGATCGCCAGACAGATAACCACGCCGAATACATAAGTCCTGACTGACTCGGGCTAAAAAATCAGCATATATTTTTAATCGCATTTAACTAATTGATCAAATCAATTGCAAAAAAGGTTACGAAATCTAACCACCTCAAGAGTCAAAGTCAAAACAGTAAATAAAAACATCAGAAGCTTTGAACTTTAAAGTTGCAAATTAAGATGACATAATGAGTGGGATGGGTCAATACTTTATTTTAATCATCTGCCCATTACATAATTGTCTGAACTTGGACTTGGTCCCAGGCCCCATGAAAAAATGAGTCAAGCAGTCGAAATCTGTCAATTAGTTACTGATTGATTTATCACAAGTAAACGTAAATCTAACCTAATTTATTTATTATTAGAATGTGAACTCAAGTATCTATTATTTCAAATCAAGCCCTGTTTAGGGAATCGGGCGACATTTGCAAGCCAAGGTAAAGGGTAGTTGCACAATCCTACTTATTATGTAGTCCAAATAAGCACAATCCAGGGTACTCAATCTTATCTTGGGTCCTATTTTCACGTAGATTTAGTTAGTGGGCCAGTGTCAAATGTCAAACTTCTCGCCACCCAGTTAGGACAAGAGGAAAAATGCCTGCCTCCACCACCCACCCACTGCAAAACCCAAGTGATTCGACCGATTGATTACTTTTAAAAATAAATCACAAGACAAGACAATTAGTTTGTTATCGATTGTCTGATATTAATCTTAATCATCAACGCATAAAGTTTCGTTGAGCCCAAGTCACTCACTCAGATATTGAAAGGCAACATGTGCATGAAGAAAGAAAGGAAAAACCTGGTGGGAGATGGGAGACGATGACGAAGAATAATACAAAATGCTTTCAAACGATTTTGCAACACGTGAAGAAAAATTATTTTAAAATACGTACGTATTACGACAACAACACGGCCAAAATATTATTGTAGATATAAATGTGCACTTATGTATAGAGGGTGGATATGCATTTACGAAAAAAAAATTTTTACGAAATATGTAAGAAAAAAACATAAAAACAAGAATTTTCGCAGTATTTCTTAATATTTATAATCCCGTGGATTTTTTATAGTCCAATTTCTTTGAGCAAAAAAATCCGTCTCGTATCGTTAAAATGTATAAAACAATGTACATATTTTCGAAAAATGGCTAATATATTTACATATTTTTCAAATAATAGCAGAAATATTCATAAATATGTTTATATCTCTGAAAACCCAGAAATTTTTAACAATGTGTAAAATTGTTTTGACATTTTTGTGATCTATGCGACTTAGGTAACATCCCACAAAGTTTGACCGTTGGTCGACATCAAATGAAAACGTTGAAAATAAATACATATCCACCCTCTGATAACTTACATTCATATGTATGTAAATATGTGGAGAAAATCGCAGTAAACAAATCCAAAACTACTGACTGACCGAATCAAAACGAAATCAAGGTAGGTATAAATTTTATATTAATTTCGTTCCATTTAATTCGAATGAGGTCTAGGTCAGTCCTCGTCGTGGGGAATATTCAACCCATACGTATGCATGTACATACCAATAAATATTTAGATTCTACATTTCTCTGGAACTAATTGTTCAAAAAGTGCTTAGTTAGTCATGTTACTATTAGTTAGCTCTGGGCATGATAAAATCTTCCAATTATACAACTCTAATGGAAGCTGCGTGAGATCTGGCTTAAATTCGTATTCATTTCTGCCCATACTTAACAAAACGAAAATGAAATTCCCCTTTTCTAAATATCGATCAGCAACGGATAACTCAATTTTGTGGGGCGATGATGATAACATTGATCATGCAGAATTTGAAAGAAAGGAAAGTAAGAATGTGGCCCAAACAGTTTTATGTACATGTTTATAATCGGACACACTTATCTCGGCAACATTGACACATTTTTTTTATTTCACGTGTTCAAGACCCAAATTTGTACGGAATTCTAAATATGTACGAGGTGGATGATTAATTAGAAAAACACCCACAACAGCAACAATCGATCCCACCATTTGATACAATCGGACGAATGCATGAATATGTACGCGTGGCTAAATATTTACAGGGCTCACCCGTGACTTGTTACATATATAGAAACAATTTGTAAAAATTGCTGACACCTCGTGAATGAAAGAAGATGACTAATAACAAAGTGGAGGAGGTAAAAATCTTGGGCATAGGCAGACAATGGACTTTATTTACAGCGTTACTACTCCACTCCACCCACCACAGATCAAATATCGGAAATGATTTATTTACTCAGGTCAGGTCAGGAGCCATATTTACAAATTGAATAAAATCATAAAATTGTAAATCAAGTTCAAATTATTTTTTGAAAATTAAATATTTATAAGCGTGAAAAAAGTAAGTAAATTCTTTGACACCTTTCGAACCTATTTATTTATGATGATTAGGTACAATTTGCCCATTAAGTTTCAGTCCACAAATAATGATCAATTCGTCAATGTTCGTACAAGTGACAAGACAGCCAAACTGCACCCGTTGGGCATTTATTTTGTGCTTGCTTTGTCTTTCATTAATCTTTCGCAGATGAGCTCAAGTGCAGGATAAGCGGAATTTGTTGGTTTATTTTATTCTGCATTTAAACGAAACAATGGCCAGAGGAAAGAAATACACACCCTTTTGGTAAGGTCAATTCAATAAGAATGTAAATTGCACCCTGCTGCTTCTTACCACGGCTGACTGACTCGTATATTTGCCATCCTGCCAAATAATTGTGTTAACTAAAGCGTCAACGTCTCAATTTTTGTAATTTATGACGCAAAAGTTTGATTTAACGAGTAAGATAAGATTTTGATTAGTATAATAAATGCTCACACGTTGGAAGAATTTGGGTTCATTCAATTAACAATTTTTACAACTAAGTTAAATAAATTTATTTGATGGATTTGCATCCCGAAAAGTGTAAATTCAGAAAAATAAAGATTACTAAAATGCAATTTAGATTAAATAAGCGCGTGGAGATGTATTGATTTTAAATGAGAAACCCTATCGATTAACTATTAGCATTATCTGAACTCTAAAATTCATGGATAAGATAAGCCCAGCAAAGTTATCGGTCGATAATGACCAGACGACAAGTCCATCCCGTCTTGATTTTGCCTCTGACGCTTTGGCACCACTCCATTATTGACGCATTCCGTTTGGACATCTTTCCTCTGTACACAAGATCCTTCAAAAGTCGTGGGTTGATAAATAGTTGACATTTCGGCCGACTTGGTGGTACTCGTCGTCGTCGTAATATTTATCCTTACGTATTTATCCTTACTGCCAGCTGGCTGGCTAGCTGGCAGATTTGGTGGATGGATGCAAAGTTATATAAATCTGATCAAATCATTCAGCCGCATCTATTGTCGTGGTGGAATTGGTTCTAAAAAGTGGTCAAGCTCCCTTCTCGCCAAAAAGGCGCAATCTAATCTATTACCAAGCCATCAGTTTAGTTTAGTCAAGTGAATCAAGGAACGAACGAGAGCCATTCTCAGAAAGTGAATCTGCAACAAGTGTCTCACACTATTTCGTAGTAAATGCAAGTGATGCACGTTTTTTTGTCTGTATAAAATAGCGACTAATAAGGTGACAGTTATCGGGAAATTATAAAAAAAACAACGCTTCCTTCCGCATCGTGGATGAGACGATAATGTTCAAATTTGTGATATCGGATTAAATTATTAAAAATCGAGTGCTTATCAATTTTTATTTTACCCATGTCGTTCCAAAATTTTGGGATTTGTACACTTTAACAAAAAACTACAGGATTGCTGAAATTTTTGAAAAAAAACATGGAGTTTTTTAAGAAGGTATGTCAACATTCTCGACTCGACGTAAATCCCACTTTTCATTTCTTCACCGTCGTTTTACATGACAGGTTTGATCGTAATAACAAAGGAGCTGGTCTGGTACCTGTAAATAAATAAGTAGCAAAAAGGCACGAGTTTGTAGTACTTATCAGTCAGTTTTACAAGCATATCGACAACCCCGTGTGATGGGTTACATTAATTATCTCCCAGGCAGGCATGCAATACTTGCTACTTTTGTGTTTATGTCATAATTTTCGTCATCATGGTTTGAAATCGAAAGTTATCTTCGTGTTGTGTGTGCCATGTAAGTAAGAAGCTGACAAGAGAAATGTGAGATTCGTATCGTCGTAAGTGAGTCGATGCATCTCTTTTTACGACTGGATTGCCTACTTGTATTTTTATCTTTTGGCTACCGTATAGGTTGTTGTCTGATTTTCGATTTTGAGAGCTTACTTACATGCAATATGCATTAAGTAAGATCAAGCAGCTTTTTGACACTGCAATATTGACAAGGAAAAATCAATGCAGTTTCTTTAATAGTTTATGATAGGTGGATGTTTTTGAAGATGAAATTTTGAGACTTGATTCCAATTTCTCTTAATTTTATTGTCGTTTAAGTGGATGATTGTTGGATTCAAAATTTTGTAAAGTTGGACGCCGTTAAGAAAAATGTGATTAATTCGAATTTTATCAGAATTAATAGATCATCCGATTGATTTATTAATGTGAACGATTTTATTTGGATTTTACACAGTACGACAGATAACTTTGGCAATGCTGCAAAACTGAATAAAAAAAACTGGATAAACTGGACCATTTATTTAACCTGGTTTAGTTTTAGTTTGACGATATGCAAACTAAAGAGGACGGAGACACATGCATGCAATTTTATGACGATGTGTCCATTTCTTGAGGTAACTGTTATGACCATCAGTCAGCCTCCAGGGTGTTCTTTTTGGTAATGATGATACAATGGGAAGAAAGGCGAGGTTTTATTCCTACGAGAGGAGTACATATAGACAAATGTATCATCAATAGTGTAATTATTTAAGGATAAATACTACCTGTGTCGATTTTTTGCACCAAATCTGTCGGCCTTCACATCACACACGGAGAACGAGTTCTTGCTTGAGAACCACACCACAACCACCTTTTCAATAAATCAATCAGACTGATCTAGAATTGTAGAATGTGTACCAAGATTGTGCACAGAAGATTGCTAGGAATCATCGCCTTTTATGAAATGAAACAATGGGTGCAATAAGTAATGAATGCAATGTCAAGTTGCTAATTCAGCATTGGAGATGATTTCGCATTTAATTGTAATCGTCATAATTACAGACGGAAGTTTTAGTTCGATCAAAAAACGCCGATCCTTATTGAACTTGACTTTTATCGCAGTTTTTAATCGCATTGTGGGTCAATTTGGTCTCTAATTTTGCATCTGTCATCGTTGGATTGATGGCCGATGAGATAATTACTTATGGTATGACATTTTGACTTTTCAGACTATTTTTTGCCGTCTCCTCCTCATCCTCCTCATTTTCGTGGACATCAGCGTGGCCCAAACGGGGTCCAGTTTTTTCTACTATTACTCCCCAAATCAGCCCATGGTCGTGAATTCTCAAACGTTCGGATCCAATCCGCAAGCTTATCATCACTCGTCCACGAATCCGTTCGACTTTATCCCGTCCGACCAGACGAGGGAAGATCGACAGGGGGCGGTATACCCCACGGGGGAGGAGAGCAGTCCCTTCTTGCCCCAGAGGAACATTCCGTCATCCCTGCTGGACAAGATTGCTTTCACCAATGGGCCACCAACCCTGCCCTCGTTACATCCTCAGTACCAGTATAATTATCAGGTCAACACGGACCCACCACAAACACCTCCAACACCGACGAGAAGTGCAAATTCACTTTTCCCAGGACAGACGCAACCTTCAGGGAAACTCTTTAATTTCTTGAACCAACCGTTCCAATTTTTTCAAAATAGTTTCAACCGGTTTCACCACCAGCAGCAGCATCAACAGCAACAAGAAGAGTATGATGATAATCGACAGTCTCCGGTAAGCTATAATACTAATGAGGGGAAAGTAGCGTCGCAAGAATATGTGAGCACGCCGTCCAGAGTGGTAACGGTGCCACCACCCACGAACGACCAAAATCAGCAAACGATCTACAGTTACTACGATCAGGGACGACTTTCTCCGGCTCGTTTTGTTGTGCAAAAGCCTAAAAGTAAGTATCAACATAAAATTTTGAAAGGTGTTGGCTGTTGCTTTTCTGTGAAAATTTGCGTATTTTTTGCCCAGCCACCCCTCTCACTTTCTCCGTAAACCAATATTTCACCTCAAAAACGACCAAGGGTCCGGCCTCCTATACTTTCACGATCGAGGCCAATCCTACCGTTGGCCCTACGGCAAAAGTTCAGGTCAGCGTTGGATCAGATTCCCTCTCGTCTACTTTCCCCACACTGCCACCTGCCCTGTTTTCCCCTTCAGTGGCGACGAGAGAGAATAAAACGACGACGCAAGGTGAACGTGACGACGTGAATGTAGTTCAGTACGAATATTATGACGATGACGTCGTAATGCAGCCAGTAGTGACCACTACACCGACAAGTAGTTCAACACCACCTGTGGATTCACAGACACCAGAACCGCAAAATCTCGTCACTGAGAGCGCATCCTTTCCATCTTCAACGCCAATTTCTACCACGCCAGAGCAACAAGCTATCCCTGAAACGACGCCATTGCCAACCACCACCACCACCACGACCACCACTGTTTCTACTACTTCTACAGAAAAGATCAATATTGATCAGGAAAATGGTAACAGTGTTCGAAAACCCGTGAAACGAGTCATTATCGTGAGGAAGAAACTAGTCTCAGGGAACAAACAGCAGCGTAAGAATAATAATGTCGCAATAACGGTGAGTTATTTCACTAAATAAATATGTAATTTACTATTTAACGATCTACAAATACTTACAAACATGCTTTCTCCATGCATAAATATTTCAGGAGGTCGACTCCAAATTCAACAATGAGCTTGTAAATTCCGAGAAAAATCAAATTATTGAAAACGTTCCCACCTCGTCAACCTCCTCACGTCCTGAACCATACGAAATAATTTCGAGTCCCGTACCACCAAAGGCACAGAGAGTGAAGCGGCCACGATTCAGATCTTCAACTCCTGCCCCCACAACTACAACAACGACCTTCGCCACCACTACCACTACTGAACAAGCCCCCATCATCCTCGCCGCCGAAGATATCGAACCTGCTACGACCACAAGTCAACCAGAAGTCCAAACCACCACCACCACCGATGCCCCCACAACGGTGAGACACAAACAAAAGGAGGATTACTTTATTGAGCCTCTTATCACCACCACCGCTTCGAAAGCCGACTCACTCGTGTCGACGGAAACACCTGTGGCTCCAACAACAACCGATGCGAGACAAACGGATGAACAAAGAGATGCGGAATTCGAATATTACGAATATTATGACGACCAGACAGAAAATTCTTACAAGACGCCGTCCGTCACTTCCTCAACAGAGCCTTCTTCTACCACCACCACGGAACTGGTCTCCACATCCACCGAACTTTCACCATCGTCACCTTCTTCCCTCCGAGAGGATAATGCTGCCGCGATTGAAGATTCCAATAATCCCGTCACCACAATCCCAACAACATTGATCCTGGAAGCGGAGGAGGATGAGTTGATAGAACCATTGTCAACCACTGAGCCATACATTTCATCCACCTCCGCACCCACGACTGAAAAGGAAATCATGTCAGAGAGAGAAACCGCCACCACGACGGAACAAATACATAAGTCGGCAACAACGGAGGAATCCATTATCACGGCGACCACATTCAGACCAAGCAATCGACTGTCGACACAGGACGACGAGATGGACGAGGAGGTGACCACGATAAGGCCAGTGATGGACTATGACGTTGCCAAAATTGAAGGAGAGACAGCCACCAACGGACCACAAACTCTTCTAGAAAATACTCGTAACAATTTGCAAATTTTTAATGCATACCCAATAATTTGCACATTTTGGTTTCTGATTCAAAATTTTTAATTTCCATTTCCAGAAAATACTACGGATCTCACCGACTCGACGAATAATGCAAATCTGAGCACAACTACTTCCCAATTTGAGCACGACTTTCACCAAGAAGAGGAATATTTCTACTCGCAGGAGGAATACATTGGGCAAGATCCTCTCGAAGATGAGCGGATTCAAGAAGCTCAGAGACTCGCTTTACAAAATGCTCTCAAGAATATTCGAAGTCGGCAGCAGAACGCGTCAACGACAGACAAACCCGACGAGGAAAATGCAGATCCGGCAAAAAAATTTATTCGAAGACCTACAAATGTCAATTCCTTCCCTTCCAGTACATCGATATCCGTCTCATTCAGCAGCACGGAGCAGGATGATGAAGAGTTGGAAGACTCCAGATCCAATATTATCCACAAGATTCAAACTTTCAGGACAAAATTGAGAAAAGTGGTGAACAGGACGGGAAAAAAGTCAACCACTACAAAAAGACCGAGACGCGTTACGCGACCGCACAGCATCGTGACCCCGGCAGAAGTCGTGGCAGAAACGTCACCCCCAGTCCCCGAGAAAGTTGTGGAGGATCAAATAACTACAACTTCCACCACGACAACGACAACAACCTCCCCACCGGAAACTACTCCTAAGAAGAAAGAGGAAAAAGTCAAACCAACTCCACCCCCAACTTTGGGGTCTCTCATCATCACAGAAATTCTCCCCACGTCCACGTCCACATCCACCCAACCCAACACTACTACGACCGACGCAGCCATGCAGGATGAGCCCAGTGAAGATAACCAGGAACCCGTCGACTTTGAGACAGAAGACGACGATGACCGCAGAATATCAACGCTAATCTCGTCAAATCCAACCACAATAAAATCCACGGAGGAACCGGAAGAGATAATTTCCTCCTCCACCACGATAATCACGCAAGAAGGACTTTCTTCATCTCCACAAACCACAGAACTTCCGCTCAATATCACCACCACCACGACCACGCCAGATGAGACCCTTCTTGTCACCGAAACGTCCACCTCAAGGACAATTAGGGAACGAAAAGTCAAGGTTATCCTGAAAAGAAGGAAGGGTGCGCCGAAAGGGACGGGAACCGTGGCCAGACAAGTAGTTCGTACCAGAACGAGGGTAAAACAGCGAGAAGACGCAGAGTAAAGAAAAAAATTAGCCAATTTTTAAATTATAACGCAATCTTTGCATGCACTGATTTTGATTTCATGATACAATGCTTGTGAATTGGTGCTTTAGGATTAAATAGATTTAAGTGAGGTGGTGGTGAATGTTGACGAGTTTCTTCCAGTAAAGTTTGTATTGTACGCCATTTAATTTTAATAAACTTGTAAATAAATTATAACAACAATTACTATTTAAATACACATACATAATTGTAAAATGTGACTATGTTTATTTTGAAAAAAATCACCAATATCTTCACTTGTCATGGGTTCAGATTTCATGTTCTTCCGTTGTAGGAATAATTACCACCTGAGAATAAGTAGTGAGCGGAGGGTCGTCTGGAGGCATCACCTCTTCTTCTTCTCCTTGTTCTTCTTCTTCTTCTGAATAAAAGCAATCGCTTTCACTCTCCGACAATGACGACGACGAGGAACGCGATGTTGTACCTGAGCGATTATTATTATTACTATTATTGGAATGCATGGCTTGCTCAGCTTCTCGGATTAATTTTTTCAACTCTGAAAATCTAGGACGGTCGTGAGGGTTTCTTAACCAGCATCGCAGCATGACTTGATATCTGCAAAAAAATATTTCATAATTTGTCGAGTTTGGAAAACCAATCGAAGTTTAATACCCATTTTCTAAGCGGTTTATAATAAGTTTATTTAAGAAAATGCTAACTTTCACCTATACTGCGCAGGCTTGTTCAGACATAAGATTTTTGAAGTCAAAATATGAACAAAATCATCATTTCATAAAAATTTTTACTCACATTTCCTCATTTGCATAACTCGGCCTGCACAAATTTCTTCCACTTTTCAACTCCTCGATGAGATTCTGCACGAGGTACGCATTGTTCGGGAGGTCATTGTACGGGAGAAATTTACACCGGTTGAAGAGTTCCCAGAGCAGGACCCCAAACGCCCAAATGTCCGTGTCCTCCGAAAATTTTCCCGAATCCAATGTCTCCAGTGCGACCCATCGGACCGGAATTTTTTCACCGCACCGCTAAAACAAAGAATAATTAAAATCCAATCTAAGCAAACCTGAAAAACTATAAAACTTACGGAGACGTAATAATTTGATTCGTTTTGGTAGTGATTGTCTACTTGTTCCAACGTTTTCGAAAGACCAAGATCTGATATTTTAGCCGTCCAGTTTTTCGCCAACAAAATATTTCTTGCAGCGATATCTCTATGTACGATCTGAAATTTACGGAATTTAATAATTAATTTATATTTAGTCACGCTTTATTTTAAAGAAAGCTGTAATTTATCTAAATCGCTTTAATTTCTGTAATTTACCCCCAAACTTGACAAGTATTCCAGTCCCGACGCAATTTCGTAGCACCATTGAAATATCTGCGTGGTGTTGATTTTGCACTGTGCTGCAGAGTAGGAAACATCTCCTTCCGGTGATCTGCAAGATTGGGTACATACATATTTAACTAGTTACTATTTAATTGCACAAATAATTAATTATGTACATACCCCGGCGAAGAAGAACTGATCACTCCAATCGCCGTGTAATGAGTCGCGTTCACGGGTCGAACTTCGTCTTGAAAATTATAATCAGGAATACTTCTAAGAAATGAGTCCATGTCTTTAAGATGGCACAGCTCAAATACAATTTTCGGTTTTTCTATAAAATAAACAAAATAATACATTTTTTAGCTTTAATTAAAGTTATAGTCAAGTAGATAAGTAACCTTACTCGTTTGCAGCATGTTATGCGTGACAGCTCCAAAGAATCGGACCACGTTTTCATGCCCATCTTCCAATTGTTGCAGCAATTTGATCTCTTTGAGAAAATCTTCAAGCTCTTTTTGCGAGGGGTCGTCCTTCAACTCTTTCACGGCTACTTCGATGGTTTCACCACTCGCGAGGGTCAGAAGACCTTCGAAAACTTCGCCAAACTGACCCCCACCAAGTCGCTTTCCTAAAAATGGTCACAATTTTATTGTTTATATTGCAAATTATAACAGAAAAAAAAATGTTTGCAATTTTAGAAATCAGTTGACAAGAAAAAAATTGAGGGTTAAAATCTCTTGGAAAAAACGACGACTTTTTACCAAAAATTCAATTTACCGAATAAAACATATAAACTCTAATTTTAAACAAGTAAAACTACATAAATCGCGAGACGAACCTATGACAAGATTTTTTTGCCAGTCCTTAATTTCAAATGCCGTGTTGTACGGCAGTGACAGATAATAGTTTGGATCACCACGCTTTCTTACGCCTAGTTTTTCACCCTCATTAAATTCCCTCTTTCCCGATTGATTTTTTACTCCTTCGTAAAAATCTTTCTTCAATTTGGCCAGTGCTTTCGTTTCCCACTTAAAAAAGTTTAATTATCAATTAATTAGTAATCATTAAAGTTAAACTTGTACAATTTTGTACCTTTCTTCTCAAACATTTCGCTCCTATTGCCATCATTGTGAAACAAACGATCAAAATGCCACCAATCACGGAGAGGAAAACCCAATAAGGAAGTTTAGATTTGACCCATTCAATTGTAGTCGACTGGGTTATCGTTTGGTTGAGAATTGAACTTTTGGCGACACAAGTGTACACGTCTGTAGTGTGGCTGGGCCGATTACTGCTCGTGACATCGTAGATGACCAGGATAGATGACTCTAAAACGTTTTCACTCTTTCTAGAGTAGTTAACTGTATGAGTCCCATCGACATCCTAATAAATGTATGAATTTTTATGAAATTTCGAACTAAATACTTCAAATAAAAGTTATATATTTAGAAAAGTCCTTACATATCCATTCTTCTTCCATGAAATTGACAAATTTGTCCCAGAAGCGATGCAAGTGAGATTGTGTTCGTCGTCCTCACGACTTTCTTGGGACACTTGTTTTGCCCCATTTTCCCCAGTGAGAAATTTCAGAGGCGAATATGCTACATGAAGACATGAATTTTTGTCTAACCTTTCAAAAGTAAATGGTTTCATAATTATGTAAATACTCACGACTAATCGAAATGTTCCTCGATATTTCATACCACTCATTCGAGTACAATTTTGGCACTCGGCATATCAATTTGACAATATCGGTATCGTTGAAATGAATATCTACAGATTTTTCGTAACTGTCACCCGTCCGAGTAACAACCTCGCCTGCATAATTAAAATTAACATTAATTATCACGAAATTCACGAATAATTAATTGTTATTAATAATTAGTTAAACAAATTGTTATGTAAATATGTACCCGACGTAAAAGCTGGTATTTTATGACCATTTTTAAGCTCGACCAGCCACTCAATCCCATCCGCGGCGAGTGTACGGGACGCATTACATTTGAATCTGGACTCTTCATAAAGCGAGAAATTGCCAACATTTTCCCACGTTTGGTACTCGACGGGGATAAAGTCGATCGCCTTCTTGTAGTCGCGTTTCGGCGAAGACATTCCGGTTGCAGGGTTCAAATTTAATGCTAATTACATATTTAGCAAAAAAAGATAATGTTTAAAAACCAGTCGTCAAATTATTACGAAATTTCTGTCAATTTACCCTTGTTGCCTTTCACATCACTGAAAATTCCTTTCGTGATCACATCTTCATCACTTGAGCAGAAAATGAGTCCTCTGAACGAATCATTTGGCGAAGTTGGGAGTGTGAGGCAGTTATGAGACGTGTAGTTCTTACACTCGTCCGTATGAAATTTGCAGATTTGAGAGGATGCTAGCTGACCAAACTGTGGTAACAAATAATTTGCGGCAATTGACATTAATTAGGCTTTCAATTTTCGTATTCCATATAATTTCATGTAATTTCATGTACATATTCCTACCGGAGTTCCACAACTCTTGAGAAATTCGCATTCTAATGGATTACGACATGCTACCGAGGACATTGACGTAGCTTCGAGACATCTGTACTCGGATAATTGGAGCAATTGAAACCCCAATTCTGACTTATTTCCCATACCTGAGTAACATTTAATTATCCGTCATGATTAAAAAAATAGTAGTATTAAAGTTAAAAGTATTTCACATTTTCATACTTTTGCCACAATTCAGACTAAATTTTGCATAATTTCCTCTTCTACTTGCCACGTTGAAATTGCTATATTCCGAACACATGTATTCACCACTGCATGAAAAATTGGATATCATAAAGCCTTCCATGGGATTGTATGGAACGGTTGGAAGAACTTGTTCTCCGTCCTAAAAATCGCGATTAATCACGTGCAGAATTTCAATGAATTTTCAAGCATTGATAAATAAAACGTAAATAAATAAGCAGGACAGGGTTATAATGTCGAGATTTTGCTGAGTCGAAATTAATTCTGGTACCTTAAAGAGATACATTGGATAAGAAGCGTTTGTGGTCAAGCAGGGTAGCAAAACAAGTTTATCTTCTTGGGTAGAGTTGACTTTCAAAGTAATCAATTTATTTCCAGCGTACAGGAGATGAGGACTCGTATTTCCTGGAAGTCAAGATTTACAGGCTACAAGTTAGCATTTATTTATGCGGATAAGATACGATTTTAATAAGTACTTTGAGAAGACTAACCTGAAGTAAAAATATAAGTGGATGATTGTACAGCGACATTTTCAGCATTATCGAAACTATTCGCAGCAAGTCCTTCCGCAGAATTGTCGACACATTCGTACAGCCCGGTGGCACTTTTATGCGATGCTAAAACCACGGTGACTTCATTACAGAAGGTTTCAGGGTCACTCCGTGACGAAAATCTAGAGCTTGACGAGTCCAAGATGCTATTAGCCTGCGAAATATGTACCAATTAATCTGATTAGATCTATTTTCATGAAAAACTATGCATGACAATTGATGACAAATTTTACCAATAATCCATGAAATTTCAGAGTTACGGGAGATCTTGATAAGCACTTTACTTCAAAGGTATCCCCACTCGGGATTTCATATGAAACATTGCCCACACTTTTACTGTAGGCATTATACTCAACGTTGCCATTTGCCGTTTTTCTGCCCACAATTATTTCCCTATCCTTCCCAGAAAGGTGTCCGCATTTTGAGATCGCGTCATCCAAACGAGGATTAGGAGATTCACCGGTCGGCAAAATTGGGATTGATTTCACCACAACGAGCAACAAAAACACATGAAAATATTTTATTGTTGAGAACTGGCACATTTTTGCACGTGGAAATTTTCTAGTTCACTTAATTGTTTAGCATGTAATTGAGCAGATTCATCGAAACTATTTTTGAAGTATCACTGTTGCAGGAAGAATTAAGGTCAGGTTTACTAAATTCAAGGGAACAAGTGTTTCATGACTGATAGTTTTGGTAATGTTGCGTTGTTTGTAACTGTACGTATTTACATATTTACATTTGTGACTAAATGACTTTATGAATTATGTAACTAAAATGCCTCATGATTATTATTGGGGCGCGACAGGTTTGCGCCATCGGCGAAAGGTTGTTTGTATGTGTCTGCAAATATAAAAATAAATGTTTTTGTCAACTACCTTATTTATACGCTAATTTTAAAACAATCACATTTTCTCAGGTCCTCAAAAATAAATTTGCACCAACTTTCATGCAAACTTGGCTACGTAAATTCACCACGAATCCATTTAACAATTGCTACGTAGCAAAAACTGGTACTTGTCTGTTCAGAAGAACGAGCACTACTGCAAATTTTGTACATATGAGCTCACGCTCCGCTATAAAAAAAATGGCAAAAGCATATATACATACATAAGAATCGTATACTATTTTACTATGCATGCACAGTACAGTCATTGATATTGTCGATGACGACGGTCTTCTTCATGGAATTGGAGTGGCATTCGCGAATAAACGCGTTGGATCAACCAACAAAGAACAGGTTAGGATAGCTATAGCACATCATCCTTGTTCATGAAACAAGTCGCTTCTTTTAGGGATATTCTTTGTGGTAAATAGTTATTTATCTGACTGTTCAGTTAGACGTGCTTTGCAAGCCCCATAATAATAATTAATTGAGCTGTGTATTAAGTTCTGGATGAAGCTTATCAGAGAAATGGTGAGAAAAATATATTGGAAGTGTACAAAAAGTAACAAATACCCACAATTATCCGTCACAAGTTTATCATTTTAATCTTTTAACCTTGATTAATCCTTATTTTTAAGTATATTATAATTTTTAATCGTTTTATGCGTTTCAATTTTATTTCAGTTTTAGTTATAATTTTAATTTTATAGGTATGATAATCAGTCTCTTTTCAGTCCAGCCTTTGTATGGTTAAAGAATTGAAGCTGATGAAGAGTGGCGAATCAAGATACCCAAAGATCAAACAAAATACAACGTTATGGACATACGTATCATGTCCAACTGGTTTCGTATCTTTAATAAGAGCCGATTGCGAATGGTGATTTCCACGAAATTTAATGTCCTATGTGTGTGGAGTGCTAATAAGTAGCTTAACATGGCAAAGTTATGGGATAAATGTGTACTTACAAGATTCAACGAAATGAAAGACTCTTACCAAGTAATCACAAAGTAGTCAACAGGTCGCAAAAAATGTGATAGATGAATAAGCATAAAATAGTACTGGATGGTTCACGTATGTACATATGCAGAATACGACATACTGTATATAAACAAGTACTATTAGTTGGTTAATATCTTCCAGCAGAGCTATCGCAACCTCAATTAAATACATAAGACTCTCATCCACTAAACAACTTGAGATATGTGTTACACAATAAATGTACATAAATTATAATCCCCCAGTCGGGCTAATGTAAGTACTATATAGTATTCGAGACGGGGAACTTGAGACAAGTATAAAAGAAGTCTTAAACCGTACTTATCTTTCTTTAATCTTTATTATATTGATTTAATTAAGTTTTTGTAAACTATTTATTTCAAGGAGATCATTACATATTCGTGACTGTCAGTAAACAAACAATTATTAAGGGGTGAAGCGAAGCGAAATCCCTTTATGGAAATGTCTTGTCTGTCTGTCCGTATCCACGATAACTTTAGAACGGGTTCGAATTTCGACATACGGTTTTCGTCGACGTGCTTCTAATTTTTTGTAACGGGATGAGTTCGAAGATGGGCGTTGTAGGTCATAAGGTCACGGCGCCACGGTGATGACGCCAACGGTCAAAGGTGTCGAATTTTTTGTTTCCACCGTTTTAGAGGATTTCAGAAATCGCCATCATTTCGACGTGCGATGACCGTGTGACCGTGTCGCTTCACCCCTTTGCTACATTTCGTTTGCAACAGTTTATTAATTTAGAAATCTATCTGTAGAGTAGTAAAAGCTGAAGAAGGGAAAAATCCTCACGGCTGGTGAAAAATGGACCCTGCAAATTCTCGAAAATTCCCAGAAGCTTTTAAAGTTTCCGAAAAAGATTCTCCGTTTTCCCGGCTAACGAAATTCGAACCCACGAAATTTACTTGGAATCATTACAATCTCACGTAGAAAGAATGCATCTGCCCATAAATTTCTCCATATTCGGACCTTGGAATATCTGAGATTTATTAGAAATTAAACATTTCACAACAATTTCTTTTCAACGTCGAGTCATTACATGCAAAATTTCACATAAAATAGTTATTATTCGATTTGCTCTACATATGTTTCACAAATGTAAATGGCTTGATGACGACGATATACATATCTCGATTGATACATATATATCACGCTACACTTAACCCATACCCTTAACCTTATAATGCAATGGTGTGAAGTGTAACACTCAGATTTTGATGAAATTTTGGAGTTATGCAGTCCAAGTCAATACAATCAACGTTTCCTGAGGCAGTTTGCGCCATGGTTGGAATTTGTCAAAATATTTCACGTAAATTGTCACTTTTCCTTAATTTGAGCAGCAACGACTTGGCCGACCAATCCTTCCTTTTTAGTAATTTAGGGAGGATTTAGAATAATTATTTATATAGATCAACTTGGTCAACTTAAAGCAATAGATTTTCCAGAAAAGTGTGTAAAAATGTAAGATTGCGCAACAATTATTTACCTACTTTGCCTTATTATTGTGAGAATTAAGTGAATTTTGTGCATATTATCCTGCCCTATGTACACATATATGTACATGCATACATGCGTAAACAACATGTCATTGTGAGTCTCGTACGTAGTCTCGTCTTTACACGTGGAGCAATTTTTAAAAATTACAAATTACATATATTTCTGATAAACATTTAAATACTTATCTGCATTTATATTTAATACATTTGCGCTAATGTTATAGCTTAACTATGACGCAAGTTAGCCGTTATAACTGCATATGATTGAATTTTTGTTATTATGTACTCTGACTCTGGGTCGTAAATTACAACAAAATGGATTTACGAATCGTAAGTACAACTTGTAGTTAACAACAATTACCTGGAAAATATCAAGTAACTTTACCAGGTTGAAATTTACCATCACAAATAACGAAACCTACACTCTTACATAATTCAAGCAGCCGTAGTAGTAGTAAATAGTAGAAATTACATTTCTCAAAGATGAATGAAATCATGTCCCATTTTCCATCCTATTAGTTTACTCCGACGAGACGAGATGGTGATTCTTGGTGAGCCGTTCCTGTGGTTGAATCAAGTTGAATTTCCCTTAAGAGCAATTTGCCTAAGAGCATTTGAGAGCTTTCACAATTTCCTTCCGACATTTCCAGAATGGCCGAGAAAGAAGAAGAAGACGACAACAAAACAACGGCCCCCACCACCAACGCCACGCCACGCCACACTAGTTCTTTTTTCCAAAAGTGGTTGTTGTCGGTCTCATCTCATCTCTTAGCTGAAAAAAGAGAAAAAAACTCAACAGTTTTCATCTCCCTTTTTTCAGTCGGTCCTCCTTGTTCCGTTGTGTCGAACAGTGGCCGCGGAAGCTTGAGGACAGAGGGACAATGTCCCCACGGTTATTCGGTGTCCCCATCATCTCCCCATGTTACATAAACCCCTCCTTCCCCCATCCTACAATGTTAATGTCCCCACAGCTTCCGCGGCCCCTGGTGTCGAATAATGTTTCCTCGCCGTCTCGAAAAAATAAAACGTCTCCCTCCCAATCGCACCCATTGGAAGTGGTGCCGGAGTAAAGTGCCTTATGGAAAATGACTCGAGAAATGAAAGTGAAAGTATTCTTCAATTTTACTCCGGAGATAAAATATCACAACCAACCAACCAACATCGCATTTTCTGCTTGTTGTTGTTGTTTTGGCCATTTCAAATTTTCGAAATGGAAACATCCCACCAAAGAAGAAAGTGAAAGTTGATCAATATCTCGCCAACTACCATTTCCCGTGCGTGGAGCAGGCAGGCAGGAAACCACCACCGCAAGCAGTATCCAAATTCACCTCGTATCAAACGACGACGACGGAACAAGGAATGACTTTGTTGTTCCATGCCTGGCTGTCAGTCCAATTTAATAAGTTTGTGTCTTTATGCATGTATATTTACGCCGTGGAAAGTTTAAGTTTGCTTTGAAACCAACTAATTATGAGAAAAGTTTGTGTCTTTGTTTACCAAATGATTTCACTTCGCTCCACAAGTTTGGAATTATGTGGAAATGGTTCAAAAATAGGACGGCAATGTGTACTTAATAGCTCATTAAAGTCTACTTGGAGATACACAAGTATGTAAATAAATACAGTAATATCTGTACCTTAAACTACGTAACAGATTTCCTGATGGTAATTTTTTTGATACCACAAATTATGCTGCCCACAATCAAAACTCTCATCATTATTTTATGGCACAGGGAACAAAGATAATTTTTTGTTAATTACGAGCCTTCTGAACAACACACCGCGTAACTAAAACCATCCAAGTAAAGAGACACCTCCACTTTTTTTACTTAAACACAGGTCCACAAATTAATGCTGGTTCGTTCGTTACAATAACCTACACGCAGTGCAGTCCGTAACATATGCACGTTTTAAACAAAAGACGCTTCGCGAACCATATACTGCACACATAGTTTCTGTAGATTCCGACTGTTGGATTCAGAACAGCGGGGGTTTCTCGGGCAGGAAACGAAACTATAAGATTCCGCTTCTGGACATGAAATAAATGTTTTACTGGAGCATTTCAGAATTGAAATGAAGTTTGTATTTGCAACCAACGAGAGGAGACTATTGAGTCTTGCTGCATAATAATATTCCTGCTGTTGCCTCCCGTCCCATGAAAATAAACTACCAAGACAAACTGTCTCAACTTGTGTATTACCCTTTATTGAAAAACTACTCGTCGTCTCATCCACCAACTTCTGATATTCGCTAGTCAGTCCATATGCACATCCTGCATTTGATACACAGCAGCAGGTCGTTTTTATATGAGATTCAAAACTCAAGGCGGAATGGTACATGTCATCGTCCTCGTAGCTGTTGAATAATACGTTGCAGTCCTGCGAGATCGTTGTCGACCGAAAAACGCCGCAATTCAATGCATCTTAAAAAACCTACTTTGAAACTTTCATCAAGACCCTATTTTTTTGGGGGGGGGGGACGAAAGTCATCAACTTTTTTGGGAGGAAATTGCATAAGATTTTACAGCGTGTACGTATATAAACTACTCTTCTAAAAAGATTCATCCACTCGCCAAACTAACCATTAGTCCGTTTCAGAATCAGTTCAAATCCGAAAAATCCTGAGGGTTCTGTATCCCATAATAAGTTCCCTTTTTGTGGGATAACATTCACTCACTCACCATTGTATTTCACGAGCAGGAGCAGAAGACCGTGTAAAAGCAGAGAGCTGAAGAACTCTGTAGTAAAAGCTCAGCTTTAACCAGTTTGCCATCAGTCGCCTTTTGGGTTTGAGGGGATGCGGAACGACGACGACGGTTGGTAAAAGCTCTCTTCTTCTCTTCTCTTGTCGCCTGTTCTGTGGTTTGGTTTGGTAAAAAGCAAACGGTGGTTTGGTTTGTTCAGTTTGGTTATTTTGGTTTCGTTCTTGCGGTTGGAAAAGCTGGTTGAATGAAAGAGACTTGTCTGCACTGCACACACCACTTGACTTTCTCTAGAGATTCGATTTCGTGGTCTGCTCTGGTCTGGTTTGGTGGCAGTGTTAATCTGTATTAATCCGTGAGAGTTCAGTGTGCAGAGAGAGCAGAGAAAACAACATACGTATGTTATATACGGCATTAAATCAAACTTCAAACTTGTGACCAGACAGAGAAAGTGGAAATTGGAGAATGAGTAAATCATGGGTCGTGGTGGTGGTCCGTGTCGTCGTCGACGCTATTGCATAATGAACTAGCTCTTATTATTACATATTCCTTAGAATTGAGTTACAATTGTGTCCCCGAAAATGAAAGTCGTCCTGTGCAAAACTAAATAAGTGAGGATTGCGAAATTTTCTCTGGGTGCAAAAACTCGCATGTCGAAAATACAATTACTTTTCTCCCAGCATATAATTTTCTCGCCTTCATTTTACATTACACGTCGAGCGAGCGAGTGAGAAAGGCGTAATAAATTATTACGAAATATATATTCACGGAAATAATGGCGATCTAATCAGTGACACTGACTGAATTTTACGACATGAGGAGGAATCAAACTAATAAAATTCAAACTCAACGTTCATCTCCTCCGCCTCCTTCATGCCGTAAAAGTGCATGATTTAATCCAATCCAACCAAGAAATGAAAAGTCAACTTCAACCTCCAAGTAAGTACGTAAATGCCCAATAAGTAATAAAGTGGTCTTCATATTTACACATACATACGTCCTGTTCTTCTCTCCTTGTTATCATCATTTTCTTAACAGAATTGACCATACATACATAGCTTTGATACACAAATCTCACTGACTGACTGACTATGAATGCGATGACCTAATAAATATTGTTGCAAGATTAGGAATATAAATAAATTTGCTCTGCGTGACTGCACCCCCGAAACGATTTAAGGAGAAGATGAAGACGAAGAAGTACGTACGTAATACTGCTCCAATTTTATTTTCATCTATTTAATCCACCATCCATCCATCCAGAGAGAGAGAGTAATAAAAAAAAGTGGAGAAAAAAAGTAGAAATTGCTCTCATGTGGACTGTGTGCACCTCACCAAAATGGAATTGGTTGTGACATCGATCGATTATATCCGTATCGCGTTTGGAAATTTGAAATATCATTCCAATTTCATTTCCTCGGAGGAGTCGGTGTGTAATCATCGACCTTATTTTAAAATAAAATTCGTATATGTACTGACAATCCAGACCAGAGACGTTGCAAAGGGATCGGTGGATTGGATTGGATAGATTTTCGTATGTAGCATCATTATCCCAAAACTGGGCTTTTGTACCGTACATATTTATTATATTGAAAAGAAATGTGTGTGTGATTTTAGTCCCATAAAATATCTACCACCCTGTTTTTCTTCCAAATCCTTAAAAAATCATTCCTTTTCTCTTCTCTCACCAACCAGCCAACTACTGGGAACAAACTTGTTAACAAAACAATGTAAAGAATCCAATCCACACACCTGGAGTCTCACAAACCAGCAAACCACACAGTGTTCTTATAAACCGTAATACCACCACCGTCGTCGTCGTCATCAGTGACTTTGACTGAGCACAATTCGATATCCTTGTCTTCTTTCTCTTTCTGATAGTGGAAGCAATCCGCAGGAAAACTCTTCTTCTTCTCAAGAAGAAGACTTTACTGGGGACTTTACTTTGTTTTATCTCAGCCATGTGTGTCTCTGCCTCTTATTCTCTCCATAGTCGATCCTGTTTGTATGTATGTACATACAGACTTATGTGTTGCTTTAAGTTAAACAAACACAGACAAAACGGTGACATTTGTCTCTTCAGAAGAAGAAGAACTTATATAAACCTCTCAGAGCGTTTTTCCTTACGAAGAAGGAAAAAAGGTTTGTTAACGTCATTTTATCAGCAGAGGTTACATACAAAAGGCGTTAGGACATGGTTTTGACGAATTCATGCCTTAATTGCGGGATGGATTTTAGTCGTAGAGATTTCTAACTTTTTTTATCTGAAAGCCCATGTCTCAAACTATAGGTAAGCATATCTGGCTTCCGATTTTGTGTACTCTGCGAAATGAGGCAAGGTCAAATTTGGAGAGGTGTCCTTTTTTAGTTTTCCAAACCAGTGTTCTTATAAAATGGCGTCGAACAAAATATTTTTTTCTGAGGTCCTGATGCAAAAATAGTTTTTGCGACTATTTTTAAGGGACTTAGCATGCTTTTCACTATATAAAACCACTTTTGCCTCATGCTTATCTTTTAAGTCCGTTTTACAGTCTAATTTCATACTTGTCCTAATGAAATGCGCTCTTTAACGCAACTCTTCCACTTTTAAGGCCCCCACATTTTACGACTTTGATGCTAAAAATCCCTAACGTGGTTTTTATCCAAGGTACATATAGTATATTGCACTGTAAGTACTTTTGACAAAATTTTGATAAGTGGTTACACCCCACGGACTGAGTTTTCATCAGACCTAATAAACTTTTTGGAAAAGTTCCCGTCGTTTTCGATGTCGAACTTCAGAAATAATTTAACTAACCAAAACGCAATAATTTTATTATTTTGTCACTTGTACCTTGTAGATAAAATAGTTCTGCAGCAGGGGACACCAAAAGATTATTAAAATTTATTTTCGAAAAAATTTGACCATTAATTTTCCAAATAAGTTCACGAGTTTTTTAGGATTCTGCGACAGCTGATTAGCTCGGGTCCTTCTATAAAACTGTTTACACAAAATCTTGACTGTTTGTTTTAATATTACTTAGGACACTTCCAGCTTTACCCTCAAGCTGCATTTGACCCGGTGGGTCAACTTTCAAGGTCAGCAGGTTAATTTTTCCGCGCACGGTCTGATTTATCATTTTTTGGGCAAACTATCCGCGATGATGGAAGGCCCACGTTGTGTGATTCATTACGGATTCTTTTATTATTACATGCAATGATTATCTAGGGTTATTATATTAACAATCATTCACCTCTGACCTCTTTGGTTATCATGCTATATAAGCAATTAAGTTTGGAAAGTGTTTTTTGGCTTCTACCAACTCCGGGGGCACTGTAGGGTGCATTTGTGAAGCTATCACCCTAAAATTTTAAAGATATCTTTTTGAGAGTATTATCTTGCAACCTACCAAAAATCAGTCCAAAATTCAACTCCCCGCCAAAGATATTCACCCGAGAATTCGTCAAAACCATCACCTAACGCCTTTTGTATTCGACTTTGTCTCGTTACTTAGAATGGAGGTCGTCCAGAGGGTGCTCTCTGATTTTGAGCAAAGCAAACTGGTGTCAATCCACCACAAGTTTAATTAGTATGAAATTTGCGAAAGGCACGATCTCCTAATGGACACATTTGGCAGAGATATTTGCATCCGAAGAGGAGAAAACGTGCAGTAAATTTAGAGAGTTTAAGATGTATCAAATTTAGGGCGCATTTTCTCCTATCCAAATATCTTTGCAAAACCTGAACATTGGCAGATCGTGTCTTTTGCAAATTTCATATTACTTAAATTTTTTACACAAATTTTCTCGAAATCTGAGAGCATACGCTGAGAGACCTCCATTGTCAGTTTGTGAGGCAAGGTGGGACTTTTTCGACGCTGCACGTTGCGTCCGAAAGACTTATTAATACTTGTTAAATTCCCTATCTATCGTATCATATCGCAGACGACGGAGAGAGATGAGGTGGTTAAAGAATGCTCATTATACGTATGGATGGGCGTTCAAAATCTATTTTGAAATCCAAGTTGGGTTTGTGGTCGTATCTAAATCGTGTCATGACATGTCAAAGTCGTCTCGTCATGCATGTTATTACGCACAGACCCGAGAGAGCAGAGAGCATCTCATTTCTTATCGGACTTGTTATAAAAATCTCGTCGTCCGTTCCTTGGCATTGCATTGTTTCAGTAGTTTTCGACTTTGTCCGGCTGTCAGCACGGAGAACATTTCCGTTTTATCATTTCTCCATATTCTCATTATTATTATGACATGGAAGAATATTGTAAACGAGCAGGTGAATAAATATTGATGCAGATAAGGCCAGATTATGTACCTCCCCGAGAAGAAGAGTTGTATAAGAAGGGATTGATCATAGTCAATAAGAAAGGAAAGGAAACGGCTGCCTATCCAAAAATCAGAATCACATTGTTAAAAGAGTCGACTTTTTCGTCTTGATTGATATTGATGAGTGACTGAGCAGAATATATTCAAAAGCAGCAATCCCTTCACATCAGTCTCAACTTTTGACAAGTTGCTCTTCTCACAAGTCACACACTAGTTTACAACAATACCTACGTAACCGCAGTGGCCGCGGAAGCGTGGGGGGACACTGACACTGTTGGAGGGAGGGGTTTGTATAACATGGGCAGATGATGGAGATATCGAATAACCGTGGGGACATTGCACCTCTGTCCCCACCCACGCTTCCGCGGCCCCTGCGAGCATGTACTCGAGATGCAGAGAAAAAGGCACCAGAAAATTAGGTCCGTAATATTTACTACAGTATTTGTGCAGGAGTAAAAGGTAGGCAACTTATTTTTTCGCCCGACCTGTTTGATTGAAGGAAGGTTGATTTTCTCAGCTTGGTCGTCGTCGTTTTTGTTTTGTTAAGTTTTCTTCAAGCCTGTCAGCTGCATGATCTTCTCGTGATGATTCTTCTCTCTTCTTATACAACAACAGAAACGCGTAGGAAAGAGAGTGTGTTGCATGCAATCGCAATCAGCATCAAGTCTCACTCAAGAATTTGTCGGAGAAAATGTAAGTAGGTAGTAGAAGAGAAAAAGTCAATGTTTTATATTCCTTCTGGTTTGATGATCTCTCAAGAGCTTCGTGAGTAAATAAGTCCCAAGGCACCACCGTTTCCATCAAAAAAATCAAGAGCTCTCTCCATTTGACCCCGTTTACTTAATACCAAGTCACTTCTGTTTACTCGCCCAAATTCTCACCACCTGAGAAGAGACTACTTTTATTTTATTTATAAAATATTTTATTGCATCTCTAACTCTCCCTCTAAAATTCGTGCTGGGTTTTGTTTTGTGTAAGTACACATTTTCAAATTTATTGTAGGAGGACGTAAAGTGTTAAAAATTCGATGGTTTTTGATCGTGTTGCATTCATTTATTTGAGGAGGGAATAAATAAATTCTACAGGTTTTAAATTTTCTTTGGCATCTGGAATCCCACCCACCAGAGAAGGGAAAGGATATCGTTAAAAATTCTGTATCATGGTATTTTTAGGATGCAGTTTTAAGACGAGAAAACTTGTGTACAACGATGATAACATAAACTGGAATGAAATTGGGCTAGCTGAGCAGTGGCCGCGAAAGCCTATGGACAATGTCCCCACGATTATTCGAGGTCCCCATCATCTCCCCATGTTATATAAACCCCTCCCTCCCCCCATCCTACAATGTGAATGTCCCCACGCCTTCCGCGGCCACTGCAGCTAAGTGAGTTTAGTTTAGTTTAGTAGGAAAAGGTGTAGAAGTGGAAAAATACATAAGAGAAACGAGGAGAAGAAGAAGTCCTCTTCTATTTCTAATTTCTATATACGTCCAACTTTTTCTCATTCGAGTACAAAAGTCCATTACAAGCCGTATGTACAATGGACGAGAACAAAAAGTGAAAAGAAAACAGAGAGGATATGATGGCGGCGGTATACTCTATTCGAGCTGATTATTAAAG